TAAACAGCCTTATTGAACAGCTTGCTTGTGGCTGCAGTTTTTCATATGTATAGCAGAGCTATAGAATGGCCTTGAATGCTTTCAGTGTTACAATAACTGCACACACAATCAATGCTGTATTGATTTCTCTATAGACGTGTTTCTTTTTATTCAGTATATACAATAAACAACTACTGCATTCGTTCACTTCTAAGTGGCCGTTCTAACAGTGGCAATCCATATTTCCTCGGCTTTCCCCAGGAGAGTTTTGTATTTTTTTTTTCTGGAGGTGGCAGTGTTTTGTTGACATTGGTGATGATGATAGGGACAGGTTGAGAAATTAACAAGGAATGATTATTTTGATATTCCAGTAGAAATTGCTGAATTATTGAAGATCTTGACTATCTTCATTCCTCTTGGATTTAAGAACATCAAATTTGTTGTGAAGCTGTAGTTGTTTCACTAACCCTCTATGTTAAAACAACCATTCTCGAACAAACTTGTACCCAGGGACCTGTATCATGTGTACTTCGAGAGAAACAGGTAGGTGTCACCAGCTTTAGGTTTGCATTATTCTGAAAGATGAGTTCTAAGCTAGCAGTGTGTGTGATTGTCAAGAAGTAGAGCAGTTTCTGTATAGTAGCTTTTCTACATGGCATTATTTGGTATTTTCGTGGGAGGGGAGATAAAATTCATTTATCTTGAAAGCATTTTTTTAAAAAAAGTTTCAGCCTTTCGATCAACATCCAACAGATTTTTTAAAAAATACATATTGAATAGCCCTGACATACTATGTTAATGCATTTATACCAGTTTGACCATATTTAGTAATACTGTTAGTCTCATGGCAAGCATTTTGCTTTAAAAATGTTTTAAAGGTTAGTTGAATTAAAGGAGAATCTACTCTAGACTGCTGTACACAGTTAACCCAACAATGTACGATTCAGAATTGCCTTGGTGGTTTGAAATTGTTAGTGAAAAAAGGTTTAATTTTACGAAATGTTATAACTGATATATTGATATAATTAGTGCCTTAAAAATAATATTATATTTCGTGGGTTTTTATTGTGCTTGATCGTTGCTTAAATTACTTCTAAATGTAATAATTGCTATTTGTTGATGCATCGAAAGTCATGTTTATTGTATTGTGGAAAACAAACTTGTTTTCAGTCAATAGATAATTCTGCCCTGGAACCAAACTATAAATGTAGTAATTTCTTTATGTAGTCTGTAATAATCCATGATGCTACATCAGGCTATCTGCAAGCTGTCACAAGCCAAAAACATTAAAGATTTGTGAATTGCATTTTATGCTTTGCCTCCTCAGAATCATTAATGTAAATATTGTCTTTTTAATCTTGGAACTTTTATGATGTGTGTTTTTTTTCTTTCCAAGGTTGACTGGTCAACCACACATGAGTTTAAAGTTAGCATAAATGTACATTAAAATTGCTTGCTGAAAACAGCATTAATGTTTTATTCTCTCTTTAGAATTGTGAAATATTCATATTCACGCCAGTGATATACGTTTGCATTTTGCAATGCAATTATATAGTGTGCGAGGATACAAAAAATAAATAATGGCAGCTTTTAATTGATTTAAAAAAGACTTGAGAGAAAAAAAGTGACAAAATTAAAGACTTGTGCACTTTGTGTGGCTTGTGTTTCTTGAAAGTGGTAAGAGAAGCATGGATGGTGATAATAGTACATATTGTGGGTAGACATTACATATCATCAGTGGGGTGGAGGTGTTGAATGGTTTGAATAATATGTTTACTGAGGTAGCCATTATGAGCGGTTGATCACCACAGTAAAAATGCATAACATTTTCCTTCATAAATCTGTGACATGTATATTGTAATTATGGATAAAAACAGTGAATTGATGTCATACTTTGAAGTAATGCTTGGCAGTGAAGTTTTCCAAGTACATTTTTTTCCCCTGTGATTTATTTGTCCACCTATTTGTATGATGACATTTGACAGGGGGGAAAAAGCAGTAAATTAAGCATGAAAACAAACAAACAAACAAACAAATACTGTACTATCTGCCACATTGTGACATGCAATTATGAAACTATCCCAGTTCTTGCAAAGGCTCTACAGTCCCTTTAATGTTCATGACAGAAATGATTACTTCTCTGTAAGCAATACAAAAATATGTGTACTCCTGTTGTTGGAATGTCTAACTTAGAAACTCCTCACAGCTAGTGGCTGCCTGTCTCATACATTTGATATTCTTCTTCTATGTTGAAGCAGCCACAACCTTTGCCAGCTGCTTCTGCTGGAAGCCTGGATGCTCTCTTGTTAATGTTTTTATTTTAATGTTTTGTTTTGTGTATGTATCATAAGTGGGAGTGTAAGTTAAAACATAAGTCTAAAACTAATACAGACCAGGTGCTTTGTGCTTGATTATTTGCTGAGGCAAGGTAAATGAAGAAATTGTGATATGGAAATAAGAGCCCTCTGATTGAATGAGCCTATTGTATTCTCTGTAGTATTGTATAACATGGCTGAATGTATATTTTAACAGGAAAATATGCAGCATATTCATTGCTAGTTTTATCTGAGATGAAGCTGTGGTAAAAAGTTGAATTAGAATTGGACCTTCTCTGATGGCATAGAAATTTTTTCCTGTAGGTTTTCATCATTATCGAAAAAAAGGAGACATTTACCATTATTAACATTTTGGTCTTTAATCAATGCATATTTCTAAGTCTCAAATTGCAAAGCAAGCAATGAAACAATGTATAGATGCATAATTTTTATCCCCAGGGGTCCGATAGTGTGGCAGAGAAAAAGGTATAGATATTAGACCCAGTCATTTATACTCTCTCTGCTGAAGTTAATGCTTAATTAAGATCAATTATCTCTCCATGAATTTCTCAAGGCTGTATATTTTTTTGCCGATTTGCTGTGCAGGGATATTATTCGGTGATTTTTCATTAATATGTTTTAGATGATTTGGTTTTAGCAGGAAGCTCAAATCGTCTCAAGCAGGAAAATCCTTTTATTATGGGATTGTTTTGCTATGGCTTAATCTCTGTAATAATTTTATCATGGAAAACATTGGCTGGAGTTGTCATTTGATTCTGGAAGAGAATTATGCATCTTCATATATCCTACTGTTAAGAAATAGACATAGTTCTTTATATATACCTTGATATCAGGTTTATTTGCAATCCCTACATGTGTAACCATGCATAGTTCTCTTCAGGTTAAAGTAAACTGCACTAATGTAACATCTGGGTTAAAGATGTAATTAACCATTTTGATCAAATTCATTGTGAATCACTTTAGCTATCTTTATCAATTTTACCAATCTGAAAAAGCTAGCAGACAGTGTAACATTTCTTGCTTTGGGTCCGACAATTTCCATTGGTGATACACAGCATTATTTGTCTTGGATCTTTGATAATTTTTTTTCCCCAAATGACACAATAAAGAGAATAAAATCAGTAAGAGACATAGAGTTCAAGGATACATGTAAGGAAACTTTTCCAGACAAAGTGTCCAACACACACAGACAGTAAAATGTCCTATCAGAGATCAAGAGCTGATAAATCTCTACCTACAGCATGTATCTCAATCAGGTCTTTAAACTCCTTTGTGGACAGAACTTTTTATTGTGACTCTTGTTAGACATTGTGTTATTTTTTGCTGTGACTGGATCAGACTTTATTTGATAACAGCTTGTTCTGTTTTGTACCTTAGACTTGAACTACATTGCTTGATTAATTCTCTCATTTTAGAATATGTCTGATATTGAACACTTTAAAATGCTTATTTCTAGTAAGATGTTTTTCATATTTTGAGTATCTTGCATTTTATGTTCATATGATATTAAGAACCCTCTCTACACTGCACACTAAAGAGTTCTGATTCTATGGTATTTTTCTGCAGTTAGAGTGATCTGCCCTTAGATCTAAATTCCAATAAATTGAAATTTACAGTATATTACTTAATTTGTAACCAGTTCAAGCATTCATAACATTTTAAATAGCCAAGATAAATTAATTGAACACTTTAATTGCATGTATTTTCTCCATGGAAGTAAACAATAGTGATTTATGTTCATTGATACTTGATTGTCTGAGAATATTTTTCCTGGAGGTAAACGCCACGTACCATATATTGAAAATTAAATTGATAAGCTTAATATTTACAACTTTATTCAATATAATTTTCTCAATGTCCAAAAAACATTTTGCACTGGTGTATAGAGGGTCCTTAAATTATCAGTAAATATCCAGGGAATCAGATAAGATTTTTTTTAATCATGCTGTCAAACTTGTGAGCTGATTCTCAGATAACAGAAAGTATCATGACAGTTTCTGAGTAATATTTATAAAAAAAAAAAAAAATAAAATAAAATGTGTACCTTGCTGAAAATGGTTGAGGTCAGGTTGACTAGAAGTAAATTTTTCGTCATGACATATCTCTCTGAATTTCAGGTCGTGTTTAATGTCAGTTCTTAAAAGCATATAGATATATTTTTCAGCCAAATCTTGAAACCTCTATACTGACAGGAGGAAAACAAATTCATCTTCTATAATTTTCTGTATTACTTATCATTAGATTATCAGTTATTTTTCATTTTTGCTGATGATAAATCAGGGGCATGCTGTACAAAAATGAGAATATTTTTTTCTCTCGATATATATATATAAATAACTTGACTAATTCTTTACTCTTTGCAACAATGAATATTAATTGGGAATTGAAGGGTCGGGAAGGCCAAATTTTATAATCCATTTATCAAAAAAAAAATTCTTGTTCAGGGTATTATTGGGAAAAAAGTAATAGTTTTGTTACAAATTTTATTCATTATTATAATATTATATTAACTGGTTTCTGGTTGAAATTGTATTATAACAGAAATAACTACACAGGAAAGATTCCAAGCAAACAGAATTCTGATGATCAAATCTTGCAATAATCAACTTCAAACTTTTTCTGAATTTCCCACTGTAAAGTGTTTAACAATATATGCTGATGCAACAATTTACTCTTTCTTTTTAGAAGCAAGTGTCTACATGAGCGTCGCAGGCGTGACCAGGAAAACGCCTATTTTGAGGAGTTGGCAGAGCTGATCTCGGCGAGCGTGACGGATATGAGCGCCCTCTCTGTGAAGCCCGAGAAGAGTGCTATATTACAGGAAAGCTTAAACAAAATCAAACAACTCAAACAAGGTTTGTAGTCAGTGTCATTACAAAGCTTGAACAAAATCTAATAACTCAAAACAGTGTTGTATTCAATGTCATTACTTAACTAAAACAAGGTTTGTAGTCAGTGTCATTGCAAAGCTTAACTAAAACAAGGTTTGTGGTCAATGTCATTACAAAGCTTAACTAAAACAAGGTTTGTAGTCAATGCCATTTATTTGTTTTATGGTGCCACTGTTGAGGCAAGTGCAGTTGTATACCATAAAAAACCCCTTTACATAGCTTACACTTTAAATTTTGATCTAGCTGCTGCCTCTTCAAACTTTAAACCACACGAGACATCTAGTCTGTGATGTCATATGACGTTGTATGTAAGTTGTATTTCTGTAACGGAGTCTAAATAGGCCATTTGCAATTTTGTAATGAAAGGCATTGTAGAGTAGATGCAATTATTTTTTGTTTGTAGAGTAGATGAAATTATTTTTTGTTTTGTTTAAGCTCTCTGCAAGAACTTAATACATGATAACTGTTGGACTTTTTATTCACCATTATCGCATGGAATCCTGGTAGCAAAGGAATTCTGGGATGGTTTTTCTGCTTCAGAACTATATAGAATTGGTAATGCAAGAAAATTCTGGTATAAGGCAGTTTTAAGCAACAAGTGTCATTTTCTCTGTTCTTATACGTTAGTCTATTGAGCTGGCTGTGCTCACTATTAAGCTTAACTAAAACAAGGTTTGTAGTCATGTCATTGTAAAGTTTTAATAAAGCAAGGTTTGTAGTCAGTGTCATTATAAAGCCTAAGTAAAACAAAGTTTGTAGTCAGTGTCATTATAAAGCCTTATTAAAACAAAGTTTGTAGTCAGTGTCATTATAAAGCTTAACTAAAGCAAGGTTTGTAGTCAGTGTCATTATAAAGCCTTATTAAAACAAAGTTTGTAGTCAGTGTCATTATAAAGCCTAACTAAAACAAAGTTTGTAGTCAGTGTCATTATAAAGCCTTATTAAAACAAAGTTTGTAGTCAGTGTCATTATAAAGCCTTATTAAAACAAAGTTTGTAGTCAGTGTCATTATAAAGTCTTATTAAAACAAAGTTTTTAGTCAGTGTCGTTATAAAGCTTAACTAAAACAAGGTTTGTAGCCAGTGTCATTATAAAGCTAGATGGCTAAAAGTAGAGAGCTTAGAGCAAATTAAGCAAACGTGTGTGTGCAGTGCCCATATAAATCTTTAACAAATCAAATGGCTCATAGTAGAAAGCTATACCAAAATTAAACAACAGTAAGCTCAAGTTAGTTTTATGTATTATTTGTTTTGAAGACAGTTCAAACTAAATCATGCAACTAAATGATTTGTAAGCATGGTTAGTAGAAAGCATATACATAATAAGATGTCAGAAAGTGGAAAGCATAAAAATGAAACTATTAAAGATAAGGCTTTTGATTACTAATCAGCATCAGTAGAAAGTTTGTACAGTAAAACTTGTCTAATCCAGACATCACTAGTTCCATAGAGATTTGGCCAGATTAGACAACATTCTGGATTAGAAAAACATATGAAAGGGACTTGAAGTTTACATCATTATTAGGCAAGATTTCGGAATACACAACATCCAGATTAAACAAGTTAGTCGAGTCACAGTCAGTAAAAAGGTTCAACAAAATAAAACAGCAGTAAGTTTTACCAAGATTTGTTTTTGGTAGTACACATAACAAAATAAATTGGCTGAATTGGGAAACATTAAATATAAAACAGCTTGAAAAAAGTTAAATTAGTGTGAGCGGGGTTAGCTAGTCTTCACTAGTAGAAAGCTAGCCTTTCATGAAATCAGACAATTCAAGTACATTTTGGTGTCCAGTGTAAGTTGTGACACTGTTGCTCAAAACTGCTTTATACCAGAATTTTCTTGAATTACCACTTCTATATAGTTCTGAAGCATTCAGATTAGATAGGCTTTTGTGTGGATATGGCATAAGGTGATTTGATAATTGTGGAAGAGAGGTGTGGAGGATTGGATTGGAGTCTTTTAAACATGCATTATGATTTATGTATTTGAGAAAAAAAATGATATAAAAAAAAAGTTCAGAAATAATTGATAAAAATTTATTTAAAAAATTAGCATAATTAAAAAACAGTTGGGCTTCATGGAATCATGCTCAGGCAGAGCACTGCAGAATGTAATGTTTCAGCATATGCACCATTTCAAACTTCTACACTGGTTATCCATGGAATAGCTATAGGCATGCATTTTAATAGGAAAATGTTGTTATGTCACGGAAGATATATATTACTGTAAGAAGACATTTCTTGCATTTTTTGAAACAGTTCTCTGGACTCCACAAATCAATGTAGGTCTGTTTTGTGGTCATCTCTAAATATGGCTAAAAACAAAAAGAAAGTTACATGTACAGAGGCCAATGAAATAATAACCTAGTAACAAATTTCCTTTTGAATTTCTGAATCATTCTTTATTTTATGTGTAAGCTAGTTCATGTCCTTGGTATGAAGGAAAAAGCTGTTCTTCATATTGCTGCTAGTGCCAAGGTGATCTCTTTGGTTAAAACACAGTGACCTGAATTTCTGAGACCATGATTTGTTGTAATTACAGGTGGCATCCATTTTCCAAAATTGCTTAGTCATCTCATTGAGGCATTTAGGTTATCCCTAATGATAAAGAGTTAATGCCCTTGATTGTTGCAGGAAGATGGCAGCACCTGGAGGGCATGAAATTATGGCTGTTATATCTCACCTTACAAAAAAGACATTGATTTTGTTGTGTTTGAAAGCAAACACTCTGCCGGCTCCTAGATGAAATAAACATTAAGGCTTTATGTTGTAAATGTTGTTACATTAAAGTGTATCTTGCAGCTCTGAGGGTAATACACATTTGGTGTGTTTTTGTCAGTGTTACAAGGCTGATTGTGCTGTATAACGGAAGATTCATAACAGCAGAACAAGCCTGCTTCTGTTACACACCTGATAAATCTAGAAGGCAGGAATCCATCATTCTAGAAAGCATTCGGTGCAGTGACTTATAGTTTAAATAGAATTTAGTGTACCATATACTGAATATGTATGTCAGCTGAAGAGAGACTGACCTTTGGCTGTCTGCGTAAAAGATCAGAATGTTAAGTCAGTAAAATTAGGCCATGAATTTTCAGTCGTTGGCAAGAAAATGTCATCAACCAAATTAATAAAAAAAATTCATTTATTTCCACAAAAGTAGTTTTTGCCAATCGTTAATTAAAACAACTTTTGTCTATAATTTAGCATCATGCAAATTATATGCTTCTTTAGCAGATGAAAAATATCTTGAGATCGGAAGTTAAAAAAGGTCTTGCAGACTGTGTTGGTAATTGTGATATAAAGCAGCGGATTATAATGTTCTACCTTCCCCTATAAGTTTGCACACTTCAATGAGTATTTGTATTTCAGATGATAAACAGATGAAGTATGGCTAGGGTTTGCACCAAGTCAAATATTGATTAAGGCTGATTGAAATAAAGATAACTTCAATTCCAAAGTGTAAAAGCTTGCATATTGATTAAATAATGGGCTGTTTTGTACACAAAAAAAGATAATGAGGCATGGTAAAGGATTTAGCTCCTTGTATTGATAATGCAGGGTGCTTGTTGAATCAGATTTACTGCTCCATACTTCCTGTGGATATTGACAGATAGCATGATTTGTTATACTACCAAGAAATTAATATAGGTAAAAAAAAACTTATCATGGAGCCATGATGTCACAACTTTTTCCAGTCGGAACATTGGTTAATGTATTAAGTTGAAATAGAGATAAGGGGTAGAGTTCTTAGACATAACGCATACTCCTTTGAAAGAGAAAAGTATGTTTGGCCATCACAAATAATTGTAGTGATTAATAGCTTAACCATGTACCAGAAATCATAAATTTGTCATTTTTTTTTTCTTTTCACAGCTAAGAATACTGAACTTATTTGCATTTCTGCTAGTGTTTTGTCAATAACCATTTAACATGTTTAAGTGAAATTGTTATACCTTCATATTGGCATAAGAATTTTTTCCTCTATCAGTCAGATTTTTTCTGGAAACTTTTTTAAAGTTCATTCTCTCATGAACTGCTACCAATGAGCAGCCTGCAGCATCAAAGAAATATAGCATCTTAATCTCATTTACAATCCTCCCTCTATAAAGACAAGTAATAAAAGATATCACAGTATATACTTCAAAACAACATTTCAAAAACATTCCAGGTCAATTTAAAAAATAGGTCTTTCAGCACATTTCAACTTATTATGCGTATTTGAATGTGGGAAAAAAGTTTTTTAAAAATGAAAATATGATTAAGTATCTACTTTAGGTGTCATGAGGGTGATAAACCTCATTAAGGAACACATGTTAAATCTTGCATTTGTTACTGATGAGAATTGGTAATCGTCTCCAAAAAAATAAACACCCCTACCCCCATAAAAAAAAAACTTGAACTGACTTATGTTGCCATGACATCTGTGTTTTACATGTTTTCCTCCATGTAATTTCTTGATATATGCCACGGATGTCATTATATTATTAACGGTCGATGAATTGTATGTTTTTAAACTTGTTGATGATTATTTAGCATTTCACTTTGTGGGTGTAAATTTTATTGATCATTTTCATTAATTTTAACATACATAGTCAGATCACTATTCAAGACAATAATTTTTGTTTTCGCTCAGTTACTCAAAATACATGGATGTTTTTTGTGTTTGTAGAGAAAGCTTCATCAGACGCAGTTCAGCAAAGCCAGGTGTCCTCAAGCAAGCCCTCAGTCCTCCCAACTGAAGTCCTTGGTCCTCTGCTACTTGAGGTAAGATTTTGTTTACAGCTACAACAACCCAACTGAAGTCCTTGGTCCTCTGGTGCTCGAGGTTAGGTTTTGTTTACTGCTACAACAAACCAAACTAAGTCCTAGGTCCTGGGTCCTCTGCTCCTAAAGGTAAGATTCTGTTTACTGGTACCCTCAGTTTGGTTCATACATCTGATGATCTCATTGATATTCTGTTCATCCATCACTTCTCCAAAATAAAGTCCTTTGCCACACCCGTTATGAAATCTTGACTTCAATAAAGTTGAAAAATTCCTCCCATTGTAAGACATGTTTAAGGGAGTTTTCCTTCAGTTATCCTTAACAAAGCTCTGTTTTCTTCTTGAGGCATGTATTTTAAGTTCTCTCCAATTGTAACACTTTATAGAACCCAGAAGCCACCATATTCAGTCTGTGTACCTTGCTCGGAAAGGTAGCTTGTTTTGTCTTAGAAGAACTACTAAATGAATATATATCAGTAGGTTTCTATTAGGCCTCAGTTGTTCTAGCTAAGGTATATGCTTCTCTGTTTCTCTGCAGTAGGAGCTCTAGAGTATCCTTACCTAGTCAGCAAGTTCATTCATAATAATATCTGTTCAGTCTGTTGACAGCAGCCCTTTTTTAAGTCACATTAAAGTTATTACATCAAGTATCTGCTGGACCCATGGCCTTTACCTTTCAAAGTGAGGTGTCTTCTCTCCATTACCCTCTATAGAGCCTGTACTCATGCAGATACTTGCAAATTTATCATTTCAACAAATACAGGTCAATTCGTCATATTGGAGGTGCTCTGTCATATTCTGCAACGGCACGTTCCACAGTGTTAAGCTTAATTGTAGTAAAATTATACATGAGCTAAATCCACCTATAGCAGAATTCACAAAATCAGCATTTACAATCTAGCAAAGTAGCAGTTTATGCTTTGGCAAATGTGTATACTGTATACAGGGTTATTTTCGCCCCATTTTATTTTTGCCCTTTCACACTTGCAAACAATTTTGCCCCGTTTTAAATTCGCCCAGATGAGGGTAGGGCGAAAGGGGCGAAAATAAAATAGAGGCGAAAATTTCCCTGTATACAGTAGCACTCTGCTGAGATCACTCATATAAGAAGCACACAAAGTTGGGTATTAGTCCCACCCATAGGTCCACTTTTTGTTGTAGGTGTGTCTGAGGTTTCAACCCTCCAATCATACACTGAATGTCTTAAACCCAAGGTCAGACAGTATCCTTGCATTACTGTTTAATGAAGATTTCAAGTGTGTAGAATTTGCTCTCTCAAGAACCAAAGATTGAACATCATGCTTTTTCTGTCTCCTTCCTTTTGTATATCTCTTATTATATACATATTAGCTCACTATGGGATTCAAAATCCCTATTTTAAGAAAAATCGACGATTGATTTTTTCCCCCAAAATTATGCACCAGAACATTTTCTGCATTTTGAAAGTATTTTACTTTCTTTATAAGAGAGAGAAAAATCTCTTTGCTCTCTTTTATAACTACCTTAAATAGATATTTTGTGAACTTAAGTGACTTATGGAATATAATACTTTGGAATTGCTGATAAAAATGCTTTTTTCTTTCTTTCAGGCTTTAGATGGTTTTCTTTTTGTTGTGAACAGTCAAGGGAAGATAGAGTTTGTGTCTGATAATATCACCGAGTACTTACAGTATACTCAGGTAAATACAAGCTCACATTTCTTGTATGTTAGAACATACAGTACAACACAGGTAAATACACACCCACACTTCCTGTATATTAGAACATACAGTACAACACAGGTAAATACACACCCACACTTCCTGTATATTAGAACATACAATACAACACAGGTAAATACACACCCACACTTCCTGTATATTAGAACATACAGTACAACACAGGTAAATACACACCCACACTTCCTGTATATTAGAACATACAGTACAACACTGGTAATACACACCACACTTCCTGTATATTAGAACATACAATACAACAAAGGTAAATATACACCCACACTTCCTGTATATTAGAACATACAGTACAACACTGGTAAATACACACCCACACTTCCTGTATATTAGAACATACAGTACAACACAGGTAAATACACACCCACACTTCCTGTATATTAGAACATACAATACAACACAGGTAAATACACAACCACACTTCCTGTATATTAGAACATACAATACAACACAGGTAAATACACAACCACACTTCCTGTATATTAGAACATACAGTACAACACTGGTAATACACACCACACTTCCTTTATATTAGAACATACAGTACAACACAGGTAAATATACACCCACACTTCCTGTAAATTAGAACATGCAGTAATACACAGGTAAATATACACCCACACTTCCTGTATATAGAACATACAGTACAACACGGGTAATACACACTCACACTTCCTGTAAATTAGAACATACAGTACAACACAGGAATACCCCCACACATTCCCTGGAAGTAAAAAAAAATTGCATTGTAACACAGATGTGACACTTTTAGTCAAAATATTCATGCTTTATATTTACTAGGTACAGACAAATGTTAAAATGTAAATATTGGAATGTTTTGAACAGGCTCTGACTTCTTTGAAAATTCTATGGAACAAATTTGTAATGATTCATTTCAAAGTGAAAAAAAAATCTCTTTCTTATTTAGAGACAAACTGTATTGCTACTCAATGAATTTTCACTTTGAATTTTTAAGCCAAATGAATATCAATGCTAATTTTATGAATTCATGGTTTCTTGCTTGTGGGATGAACATCCATTACTGTGCTTGGTTGTAACATTTATGTGTCATATCTGACAATAAATATGACCAGTTGATAGCTCTAATATACCTCATTTTTCACACCTGCACTGGTATATAACCACATGTCCATCTGTATGTTTAATTGCTGCCATACTTGGCTCACAATACAAATTAATAGTTAACATACCTGTCCCAGTTCACTACATATTATTCTAATTTTGTGTTGATTCATATTGAAACTGAGTTTAGAAATTGTGTTTTCAGTGAAAGTAAACAACTTTATTTCCATTCCTCAAGAATTCATTTACAAAGAAATATATAAATTGGTATAGTAGAAGATATAATTTTTCAGTGAATTATTTATTTATAAAGTCCAGTTATATTTAAATAATCAACATTTCCTCTACCTGGGGTGCTTTGGCATGTATAGGTATGACATATAAAGTGACTAGATTAATTAAACACCAGCCAATCAAGAGAAACTTGCCACTGGTGGAGTGCATTTACCTAGTGACCCAGTAACCTAAATTTATGAGATAGCTTTTTGCTGCAAATTACATGTATAGTCTGGCTATCTATCACTAGAAGCCTTAGAGCTAGTTGAAAGAAAAAAAAATTGATTAGAGTACCAGGTTTAATGAGAGAGTGCTTTGTCTCCAACACTGATAAAAACAATGTATAAATATATGGATAGAGAGAGATGTATACATATATATTTCTGTTGTGAAGGATAACACTCGTATGATTCAGAGAAGCTAGGCACAATCAATACCAGTGTACATATCTAGTTTTCTACGCAGGTTCTTGCTCTCTGATGTTGTTTGGTGTTACGATCTGTTCATTCCTTTTTCATTGCAGTATATTTTCTCAAGGCATTAGATAAATGAAGTAGTTTCAAAGTTTTTGTTGTATGCACTATCATTTGTGTCCAGTTGTAATTGAATGGGAATTTATAGTATGAGAGTTATTGTGAGGATTTATAATGGTGGTCACAAAAACATCAGAGGTATGTTATACGTAACATTGTAAGGTTTTATTGGTTGTTGCAGATTTTTTGTAATTGTTTAGTTCGTACAACATAAAGATCTTAAATTAAAATCATCTGAAGGAAATTAATTTTGTATCTTCACATTGTGTATCTCATGAAAAATGAGGCATAGGAAATATACTATAAGATCAGGAAACTCTCTCTCTCTCTCTCTCTCTCTCTCACATGAAATTAGTTTGCTAGATAATACTTTCGTAGACAAGTTCAATCATAATGCACACACTGAAACATTTTTAGGTAACCTAAGTTATTCACAATAGGAGATCAAACTTTTACATGGGAATTATATAGGGAAAAAGCAAATAAATCATTGAACATTTTCAGGTTCTCTGAAATGACTGAACCAATTTTCATATAAAGCATCTCTGGGAGAAAGGAAAAAAAACTTTTGAAGTTTTATAGTGTTTCCTACCCAGGGGTATGAGGGATATGTCCAACACTGTAAAAATTGATGCCATCTTCAAAAATCCACCAGACAAATTCATCAGACTGTTTGTGTGATTATAATAAGAATTTTTAAGTATTGGCCCTATACCAAAAATGAAATTCATGGCCCAGGTGCCCATGGGTGGGGATCATTTATTATGTTACATATATAACATCTTTGAAAATCTTATATTCATTACTCATGGCCAGTCACATGTATAAGGCAGTCGTTTACATGATTATAATGAGCAGCAAGCCTTCTACAAAAAGTTAAAAAATTCATGGTACCCCAGTTCCCTTTTAATTCTCAGTTTTTCAAAAATCATATTAAATCATAAGCAGTTTTAAATCTCTTGAGGAAACTAGAGGGCTTGCACTTAAAGAAAAAATGTACCTGAATGCTAAACCTACTTTTCTGACCTACTTAAGTTCTAGGAAATACTGAAATGTATGTTATTTTAGTGGTAATCATATTTTAGCGCCTTTCACCCTCTTTTTGTCTGCTGTTTAAGTAGACTTTAATATATGATTAGATCAAATACATTTAGAGGCTCTGCCTACATTGTGCTAAGTTGCACTTATCAGTTAATGAGGAAGATTGAGCTAAATTTTGAATTCACTAATTTAAGTACATTTACAGTATTACAGTCAAACTTCATTTCCAGCAAAAAAAGAAGAGAAAAAAAATCTTGCCATCATTGGTTACTAAAAATAGAAATTTCTGTGAAATTCTTTCAAAAAGCTATTCCTTCAACATCATTAGTCTGATTGCAATAAATCTTGGCACAAAAGTAGACTAACCCAAGGATCATTATTCTATTTATTGCTGTTGTGAAGTTTTAAATGCAAGTGCTACTTTTATCTTCCTCTCCTTTAAGTACAAACCAGTAGTGCTACAGTCTTATCAGAGACTTCTGGTTACATTTAGACTTGCATAGACAAATGAAATATAAGTTTGTATGTTGGAAAATGTGAGGTTTATGAAAAACCTATATAACATAGCATACTATTTGTGTATCAGTATGCTCCAGTCTGCTGACCTGGATTATTATGAAAAAGCAATTATCACATACCATAAATGTATTCCAAAAAGATTAACTAAAAAAATGTATATAAAACTATGTCAGTACAATATTAGTGTACAAAAGGTAACTATAAGGTCACTTACTTCTATTTTGAGATATGTGTTTGAAAACTAAGAATTAGGAGCCAAGCTATTTTGTTTAAAGTTTAAGTAGTCATTAATTTTCATGATTTCAACAAAAGAAATGCAGTTTTTTGCCCCCCCCCCCCCTCCCCCCGAAAAAAAGCTGGTTACATTAAAAAATAATTTAAATTGAAAGTTAATTCATATTGCTTTTGAAAGTATGAATTACTAAAGCATGTCAAATGGTATTGGAAAAAAGAACAAAATCAACATTTCCGTAGGAAATTAGATGCAATGAGTATTTTTTTCTCAGTAGGCTTTATTTAACTCAAGTTACTTTAAATTTTTGTTCCAGACCGTTGGATGTATTATTTAGAAAAAAAAATTACTTTTCCAAATTTGATTGTTAATTTAAAAAAAAAGGTTCTTAAACTTAATTTGCCTCAAGGGATAGTTTTAAAAAGAAAGAAATGAAGTGAAGTACATGCTGGTTTAATAGCTTAATACTGAAATTATTAATATTTTATGTAAAATGCAACTTAATTTACTCATGCATCAAGTTTTCACACAAATCAAAACCCCTTAACAGTACAGTCAGCAGAATGTCTTTGGTATTTTTACAAATTTCAAAGAAATTGGTGCATTGTGATACAATCATATTTTCTTTCTTATGAATGCATTAAAATTGATATCATAAAATTTTGAAATATTAACAAGTCCTTCCCTAATAGGCACATGGAAGGGGTACCATATTTGCTCGGGTAAATATCCATCCCTCATCCATCATTTTCATTGTGAATGGAATATGTGCCCCTATCTAGGACTTTAAAAACTCAGGTATTTTTGAAAATAGATCTATTCAGATTGAACAATTGTTTCATCTATCATCCAGAGAAGAATACCTTTCTAAACTTTATAATGTATGTAAATGTAAACTTTCCTCCAAGTCAGCAGAATTATGTATACTTTACATGCATACATCTATAGTACCCCAACACAAACAGAAGTACAGTACATACATCATATATACACACACTTTTATCATTTTCTAATCACCTTGGATGCTTAATTTGGTGAAAATAGTAATTATGAATTCATTTCCACAAATATTGCTGTAAATATTTGTTAATGTTACATTTATAACCAGATCTGTTTTTGTATGTAATGCTGTTACATTTATTACTGTGTCTTTTTATTTTTTTGTATGTAATGCTGTTACATTTAGTACTGTGTTTTTTAATTTTGTATGTAATGCTGTTACATTTATTACTGTGTGTTTTTAATTTTTTGTATGTAATGCTGTTACATTTAGTACTGTGTCTTTTTATTTTTGTATGTAATGCTATTACATTTATTACTGTGTCTTTTTATTTTGTATGTAATGCTGTTACATTTATTACTATGTCTTTTTATATTTTTTGTATGTAATGCTGTTACATTTATTACTGTCTTTTTTAGGATGATCTGATTGGGAAGAGTGTGTATAACATCATACACATTGGTGACCATGACCAGTTTAACTACAGCCTGCTGCCCATGTCACTGGGTGCGTAGTCTATGTTTAAAGCCTGTTGTTAGAGTATTTCACACATACTGGTACCATGCAGTTTTACTAGAATAGATGGATATTCTGTTATTTTATGACATGTTTAGAGTGTTTCACATAAATTAGAACCAGTGTCACTTGTTGATTTAAATTATATCAGTGGTATTTTACAAGAATTGTCTGCTCTGTAATGAAATAATGGACATCAGCTGGAATTCTTTGGAAAAAGCTAGAATTAGAGCTTATGGGGTTTTTGGGAGGGGGAGGGAGGGAAAGGTAACCATATTATAAGTGTTGGTTTATTTTCGAAAGCTGTTGAATACAGCAGATAGATGTAAAAGATCACAAATATTATGGTTAAGATGACTATTGTGACCCAGTTTAAATACCAATCTTCAATATACAAATTTTGTTATAAGCTATTTTTAAACTGAAAGGTACATGACTTTTCTCCCTTGAAATTGAATTCCAGTTTGTCAGTGTTTAAACTTGTCACAACCAGTCAAGCAACTTAAGTTTCTTTAACCTTAAATAGTAATAAAACTTACTTGTGGATGAATATTTAATATAAGAATAAAAAGTTGTAAATGTAGGTTACTGAGAGGCAAGCTTTGTATAAGCAGTATTAATTAGTGGAAGTGTACTCTTAGCATGTCCTAAGAAAAACACAAAGCAGGGCTTACTGAAGAAGTATTTTTAATTAGATATAAGTGTATCAGAATTCACTGTAAAAAAAGCCAGCAATGACAGACAAATGTCTAATACCGTATATACTCTCCTATAAGTCGGTTGTATTTTTGAAGCTTATATTAGAGGGATTGACCTTCTAAAATACCTATCTTTTTATAACTCGCCTGTAAGTCGAACATACAATTTTGGACCAAAGTTTAACTCCCAAAAATCCAACTTATAGGCGAGTATATACGGTAATTCCCTTAAATGCCATTCATGTCTTCTGAATTATTGAAATAATTACTGAAAAGAGTGCAGACTTTTTTGTATGCTGTACTTTGCCACAACAATTATGTTGTTCAGGGGGAAAAGATATTTTCTTTTTCATAATCATCACCTTTGTTAAAACACTTAATTATGTTGATAAAAAATTAATATATGTGCATGGTGTTAATCATAAGTAATCAGACTGAGAACTATTGATTAGCTCCCCTTTTCTTGCATATTTATTAGTTTGTTAATGAACAGATGAATAACGGTGAAATTTATTATGGACATGAGTAGAAATATATTCAGAATGGAACTTTATGATCAGGAAATATTTTTTTGTTAAAATATGACAAAAACAATGATAAACAATATATGTTGAATTTTATGCGTACATGATGCAGGCTATTGATTTTTCGAAAATGCATTTTTCTTTTCATCTTTTACAGGGAGTGTGATATCATGGCCCAGTGAATCTTCGCTAGCAAAAGGAAGAACATTTAATTGTCGCATGCTCATTAAACCCCCATGTGAGTAATTAAAACAAATAAGCACACAGAAAACAGTAATTATCCAGGTTTTGGATGAGGGCTTTTAATCAAACAACATCTCGATTATGGCAAGCCTCAGTTCTCTGATTCTTTCCGCTGGTGGTTAATTGACTAAAATTCTGGAAATAATCATCAGATAATCCTAACGGGGCATATTACGAGACAAAAGGGCTTTCCACAGATATGTTAAGATACTTGTGCTAATATACATGTTAGAAAAATTCCTACAATATTCCATATTTTTAGAACGATTGTTTGCCATGTTTTTCAGTGGAATACAGATTTACGTCAGAAAACAGAAAATGACTACTGTTATTCTGATATTGGCAGATATATTTATCATTAAATATTCCAACATTTTGATTTTAATGATTGGGAAAAAAAGTAAAATTCCAATTTAATTGAAAACTTGAGACTGGAAATGGTGCACTAACGATAATAACGTTATAATTTGTTTTCAGCTATTAATGAATATCGGATCATTAAGATAAATTGTTTATCATGAGAGAAATAATGATTTTGTGTGTAATTTATTAAAAATAATGTATCATAAGAGAAGTAAATGTATGTTTTTGATTATGACAGATGATGAGAATGATGATGTAGAAACTAAACAGACGTATGTGTCACAGTATGAAAACCTCCAGATATCTGCCATTTCACAACCCGGAGAAAAGTTTTCTGAGGGCTCGGAAAACTCAGGTACCAAAGATAGATAACTCTGATATGCAGTATAAACTGTGATCAGTTGGCTTTGGATTTATATGTTAATGTCTTATAGTCACAATCACCTTCATTACAGTGACTAACCTGTATGTATTTAACAAGGAATTAAATTCTTTGGGTGAAAAGTTTCTTTAATTAGATATTTCCTGCAGGAAAAACTCCATAGATACAAGTATTGTTATTGTCATCAAGACTTGTTATAACTTATTGCAAAAGCATGTAAGGTGAAGCAATCTTAGTACATGTATATATTTTTTTTTAATAGACTAATTTTGAAGTGTTTTTGAGTGTTCAATTTGTTTAATCAGTGTGTGATGTTCTTGTTCTGTAGAAGGGTTGTCGTGCCTAGTGTGTATTGCACGACGCCTCTCCTTCAACGAAAAGACTAATACCATGCTGGGAATTGAACAGTTTACAACAAAACAAGATATTAATGGAAAAATAATCTCTCACGATACCAGGTAATATTGCCATTGAAAACAAAAGTCAATTTTGTTTGTCTGGATTCCATAGCAAAATTTTGTCCTATGGATTGATTATGTCTGTCTGTCTGTCTGTATCAACAATTTTGTTTAGCTGTTGCTCTAAGCTTGGGTGACCTTTTTATAGTATAATCTTCAATCTTTGTGGTAAATCAAGATATGTTTTAAATACCAAAAAAAAAAAACCCAGAGATCTTTGATGTTTTTAAGTAGAAAATGGTTATCTCTTTGAAGTACTTTTACTTTACGACCTTTTCTGGTTCATTCATAGAAATCAAGATCATGTTCCTGCTAAAGATGCCGTACACTGACCCTCATCTTCTAATATGGGTGTGCAATATTGCCAATAAATCAGTATATTGCAGTATTAAATCTTTCAGTAATATATGGAACATTTTTATGCCCCCTCAAAGGTCAAGGTTTGAACATGTTTGGAAATGTCCACTTTATACCTTAAGAACTCTTTGCTTGGCAGACATCATACTTAGAACGCTGGTTTCCCAGAGGCATACATGTGATAAGTCACGGACCACAAAACTGTACAGGAGCCATAAAAAAGCTGGAATTTGGGTGAAAAAAACTGTACATTGCCTATCAAAAAACGGTACAAAAAACGGTATAAAATATCGCTTAAATTCTTCTGATAAGGCACCTTATTTCTAAACCAACAAATATATATTGTTGCATATGTCTTATTCTAAAAGTTGAAATGGAGATTTGAATGCTTTAAAATTTCATATATTGTGTTTTATAATCACAATGTTCTTATGAATCGACTATAAATTAATTAAGTTAGTTCAGATGATAATTTGTTTGCCAGCTTTATATAGTATTAATGTGAGAGTCAACGTCTCCAATTTACATCTTGTTCATCTGTTCATATTACTGATATATACATCAGCAATGCTAAATAACAGCAGCAAATACAATCATACATAAATTTCAGAACATAAAAACTTAAAACTATATCCTTTATTTCAGCGTAATCATGGTAATAAACTTCGTATATTTTATACCTACGGAGATCTGGGTCAGATTCATGTATATTAAGTCACGTATATCAACTTTAGAAGTTGGCTTAATTTTTTTCAATCAAGTTACGAAACATTAACAGTTATAATTAAGTACCCCTTTAAAAATAAAGCTCCCTAAAGGGGTATCTTGATACGGATTTATAGGAAGATAATTATCCCAATTGGCAGTTCACACCTTCGCACGCGATGGTTTGTGTACAAGGTCAAGTGTCAAACACAGGTGACGTTTTCCAGTGTCTGGCGAGAGATAATGAGAGGAAAGTGGCGGCATTTAGTGAGAAATTCAAAATACTGTACAAATTTTCATATTCCGTGAATTTTGGTGTCCCACCGGTACACGATGAATGGGCTCGAAAAAACTGTACATTTTGCGTACCGCCGGTACATATCACATGTATGCAGAGGAGTAGATGACCACTGTAAATTTTGAGGTAACAAGGTCAAGGTCAAACTATACTTGACATAAGAAGATATTGTCTGTTCAATTTCTTGAGAACCCTCTGCTTGAAGAAATCAAACATGGTACACTGGTTCTCTTTAAGGTATTGATTTTGAGGTCACAAGGTCAAGGGTCAAGCTGGACCTAGGAAGATATTGACTGCTCAATATCTTGATTGACTACTCAATATCTTAAGAACCCTTTTGATTGACAGACATCAAACTAGGTACACTAGTTCCCTCTAGGGAGTTGGTTACCCCAGTTGATTCTGCAGTCACAAGGTCAAGGGTCAAACAACATGAACACCAGACATAGGAAGATATTGTCAGCTCAGTATCTTGAGAATCATTTGCTTTTCAGAAATCAAATTTGTACACCAGTACCCTCTAAGAAGTGAATTATCCCTATGATATTGAGGTCTGATAGAGATTAAACTTGGTAGTTTGTTTGCCCCAACTAGAATACTTTTTTTAAAGTTGTTCCCTTTTAATGTTGCCACATTGGAGTATATATGTTTCTCAAACATGTCTTGTTTAATATTGGTATTAACAATCTAGAATATTTGACCTGTTATTGTGTATGTGTAGAGAGCAAGATCTGCTTCATTTCTACTTAAGTACTAGAGATTCTTTTGGAATATTGAGACTGTGTGCATGATACATTTACTTTTATTTGATAAATTTGAAATAGTTTCACCAGTAAGTGTGTATGAGTTATGACATTGTTCATGTTAAGTATACCCAGCTAGATTTCTGTCAGATTTAAATGAAACTTGGTATAGTACTGTAAGTAAGATTAGACTACATGTTTTTATCCTCATTTCTGTTGTGCCTTTTACTGGATAAAATTGAAAAAGAAAACAAATAAACAAAACAAAAATGCCAGGATATATTTTTGAAGAACTACTCAATCATGTGTTCATTTTAATTGGCTCATAAAGAACTTGGTATAAAAGAGGAATGACTTGTACATGTATATTCAGTGCCTTGATATTTCAACCTGTTCTGTGACTTTCCATAATATGATGGGATGCTTTGCATTGTGGGTTTTTTTCTTTATCATTGGTTTATGTTTGCTTAAAGATGTAACTGCATGCCTATGACTGCCAGCAGTACAGATATTAAGTTAAGAGGGTCTCTCTTTACCTATGTAATTAATAAAGCCACCGTGAAGTGACAATGTGGTTATAGTTCTCTGGATTGTATTTTAGTCAGATTTTAGGTGGAACCCATGTGTGTTTTTTGCTCCCCACAACACCTCATTTCATGGGAGTGTGTTAAAGTCTATGTTAAAGCCTAGTAATGATTTTTCTACATGTACTTCGTATAGCCTAAAGATATGGAACATTATTAGCTGTTACATGTTTGTATCATCCAAGGTTTTCCTACATTGCATAAAGATTTGCATAAGACAGAAATACACAACATTCTACCTTTTTTTTATATTCATTTTATCTTTTTTTGGAAACTAATGGACAACTTTGAGTTATTTTGATTCAGTGATCATTGATACCTAATTCTGGGTCAGGAAAAGTTTGCAAATTGGTGGATCATTGAATCGTGGGATATCTTCTGCTTTTTGTGTTTTTTAGTGTAAGTGTCTATGCAAGAATTGCAAGAGAAGAAAAGCAAGAGAAGTTATTTAGAATACTGTTTATCTACATATCTTTATATTTTTATGCTGCAGTTTTAATTTTATGTTTAGCAATCAAAAACAAAAAAAAATACCACTGAGGAAAAATTAAAATTAATTTCTAATTTCATAGAAAAAAATTGAAATCAGAAAAGTGCAAGTAACCATATGGAATTTCTATGTGAATACAGTCACCTACCACCCACATTTTATTGTCTTTACTTCATAGTGTATCAACATTTTATGTAACGTCTTGAAAATTTATTTTCATCCAATTTCTTACATATTGTAAATATCAATAGCTGCATTTACCAAAGTAACACAGAGAGTATTTCCTTGTAAGTTGAACTTGTTTTAATGTGATTGCAATCAGAGATCATATTTGTTATACCTCTGACAAACGAGGTATATGTATATCCATTCCTTTGTCTTACTGTTTGAAGATCATCTCTGACATTATTTAATGATTTTCCTTCAAACTTCTGAAAATAATACATGGTGGTTGTTTGAATAAAGAAGGTCAAGGTCACATGATTTTCCTTCTTAGAAATAATACATGGTGGTTGTTGGTAGCAATAAGGTTAAGGTCATATGATTCAGAAGTTAGATATTCTTTGGGCCATGAAATTTCATGCTAGGATTGTATTAGGGTCATAATTGTTATGCCCAGCACAAAGGTTGCTCATGATCAGAGGTGTTACAACCTCCATTCAGTAACATCTGAACAAGTTTCAGGTCATAGGAAATGGCAGTATCTTATTTTAACAAGATGTAGAGATCTTTTTAAAGCTTTTTAAAAGTATGCAGTGTCTTTATTAGGCCATGCAGAGGTTATTAGTCCTACCAGGATGTTCTAGTTTTATTTGCTAATAGGTTAAGTGCTTCACACCATTAATTGCCCTCTACATTTTGTCAGTAATTTTTCATGTTACCATATATTAAACACCCTCAATATTTTTTCTGTCATGTTTTGCATACTAAATGTCAGGATAATCAAAAAGGACTTTATGTAATTATCTGATAGAGGCAAATACATCTTGCAGTGAAAATGAGCTGATCACCAAGGTAAAGGGTGTAAATTGTATTTCATACTGTTAATTAAAGGAAGGTCTTGCATCAACCCAGATTTAGTCCATAGAAGGGGTCATTGTAAATAGAATTCTATTAGGGCTGTCACGGTTCCAAAATTTTTCGGGTCGGGTCGGTTCTGTAAATTTTCGGTTCGGTTTCGGGTTTTTCGGGTCGGGTATTTACATCTATTTTAAACCTTAATTTCATGAATTTAACTTGAAAAATCTTTATCTGTTACGATAAATTTACATTGGAAACAAGTCTTAACCATGCGAATGTCTAGACATCGGTGACTTGGCCTACTGTTAGCCACAACCTGACCATTCCTGCTCGTTTTGATAATTATCTAATACTTCCTTGACAAGTGTTTTGTCATGGAATGAAGTAGATTTCAGTTGTGATGTTTATTTATCACTGTTATCATCATCATTCCTTTGATTTCAACGCCATTTTTTGTATTGAACAGTCTCTAATATATAAACCAGACCCGAACCGAAATCCGGAAAAATGGAACCGGAACCGAACCGAACTTGGACCGCGGTTCTCGGTTATTTCGGGTACTCGTGACAGCCCTAAATTCTATGCATAAAAACTTTGGATGATACAGTAGAACTTCCATATCTAGAACACTGATATCTCGAATACCATGGATATGTCAAAGTGATTTGGAGGTCCCACCCACCTATTCTTCAATGTATTTTACCCTCAATATCTCAAATCTTTGGATATTTCAAAGTTTTTTCTTGGTCTGATCGAGTTCGAGATAACAAATTTTGACTGTAATTTGAATTAGTTCTGATCATAATTTAATTCTTGTTGTTTTTGTATATTTCAGTGGAATTGTACCCGGTCATTCGAGATAACAAATTTTGACTGTAATTTGAATTAGTTCTGATCATAATTTAATTCTTGTTGTTTTTGTATATTTCAGTGGAATTGTACCCGGTCATTATTCCTGCCCTGATTTTACTGGTCAAAATGTTCAAGATTTCTGTCACGTAAACGACGTTCAGACTTTGTCAAAGCATTTCCAAGAAGGTAGGTGTGAAAGGAAAAAGGACTGTAAATGTCTGATTTAATGAAGGTCAACTTTTCATCTAAAGGATGTCTTTTTTTCTGAAATAATAACTAAACTGTTACATTCAGTAATATTTTAGATGTGAGAGAAAAGGAACAATGAGTGTAAAAGATTTTTGTTTTTAAATCAAAGTTCAAAAGCCACAAAAAATTCAACCAATCAGAAATCAGGCTAATAAATTTATCTATAGTACATGTATTATGCTTGGTTAAAAAAATGGTTAATACTTGTAATTTAATGAAACATAATTTATGTAAACAGTAAAATACTCTCCTTATTGTGTTGATTTGTAATTTTTTTCTTCAAAATATTTTATTATGTCTGTCTGTAAATTATTCATAAAAATTGGGTGAAATTCTGTATGTCACATTGATGGAAGAGCCATGAAAAATTTGACCTTTAATACTACTATCATATTTGGAGCTGCAGATGGTTTTAAGAATTGGATCTAAGTAGTTTAGAAGTACAGATAATTGTATTCATTACTTTGAATAACAGATATATGATTTTGATAAGACTAGTAGGACTTGTAAGATCAGAAAATTTTTCTGATTGTCCTCTGTGAATGCGAGATGATTTGAAGGCTGTGAAATATACAGTCCAGGTCACATGTCAACAGTCCAGCATGACGTAAACATAAGCATGTCACCACCTACTGAAAGTCCAAACTTTCAATAGATTTGTAATAAGGCTTGTATCATTCAATTATCAAGACCTGTAAAAACAACCGTAAACTGGGATAAGAATAAAAAAGTTTTTACAAAGTGAAAATTACTTTGAGAGTCTGAAGTTCTGAGACACATCTGAGTCATTGAAGGTCACCTTCAGTGAAAATGAAAGAAAGTGGGGCCATTTTTGTCAATGTCACCATATATGTACTGACATGTACATTTTGATAATGAATTGATCGTGTCAATTTTCTTTTGCAGTTTTGAAGACAAAGAGTAATACCAGTAGTGTGTACAGATTTAAATTACAAGACAATCGTTATGTCTTTGTGCAAACACGTAGTCAGCTTTATGATAACGGAAACCATGGAGACACAAGCTTTATTATGTCCACTCATTCGATTATACGAGAATGTGACTCTGACATGGAGCTCAAAGGCTCAGCGTCCACAAGTTTAATGAAATCCATTATTGGGCAGTCAAACACTTTAGTGTCCAACAACCAAAGAGAGCAGAACTCGACACATGGATTACCAAACAATATTTCTCCAATGGCGGTGTTAAGTGCTATTAATCAACCTTTTCAGAACACTATAAGCCAAACTATAGAGGATGTCCACGATCAGTTCGATGCATCCTCCAATAGCTGGGACTTTTTAAGTGATTCAACATTCACTGGAAATTCAGGGCTGGGAGGCTCTAACCCTGTTCCCCATAACAAAAACAATTTTACTACAGGAAATTCTGCCAACCTGAATAGTTGGCATAACATGCAGCCACAAGTGAAGATGGGAAACTTGCAACAGCAGCATCTGGTGCGGAATGTTTTAAACATGCAGCCACAGCCAAACTCTGAAAAGCAGAGGCAGCTGTCACTTAACTTTCCCCGTAGTAACTCTTTGGAAGGCGGAGGTCAGAAAAGTCCTGGATTTGCCTCCAGTCCTAGCCCTAGAGGTAACCAGTATCCCCCATCAAGTCAACGTGGTATGCATGGTGCAGTGGGCTTCAACAGTCAGAGAAGCCCAGGGAATAATATGGGACAGAATCCTCGTATGTCTCCTGCATCAGGAGGAATGGCATACCCCATGCAAAGAACTCCTCCTATCTCATCAGGTAATTATCTGAAACCCTCATTTTACATTTTTAAAAATGCTAAATTATAATAATCTTTTTAGTTAAAACTGTGTGGTTTGTTTGTAAATTGAATTAATTTCAGTTACATTTATTATCACTTTTTATGGAAAATGTAGTTGGTGGATGTTAAAAAGATAACTTTAAATAACATAAATTACTAATTAGGAATATTGCTGCAAATTTACACTACATTGTATTTCAGTGAGTCAGAATTCATGGGGGCGTATGCAGCATAGTGGGGGGCAATTTTCAGCTCCTCAGACTCCGACCAGTAGCATGATGTCTCCACCTGCAGAGGGTCACCTTCAAGCCTTGCACAACATTGGAGGAGGAATAAGTCCCTCCATGCGACGGTCTGGGGAATTTACTTTTCCATCCCCTTCTCGACAAGGTAAACTAAGTCAGCTGTTGTCTGGCAGCAACCCTGGTCCTGATTTATTTAAAAACAGCTCAATGGAGTCTGTACAATCATCAAGTAAAGAACGGACAAGCACTGATAGTGTGGTGACCAAATCCCCAGCTGACAGCATGCATCAGTCACCGCAGCCCGGACCAGGTCAGAGTCCTCCTGAAAAACCGCAAAGCACCACAAACTCAGATGAATCTGAGAAAGAAGCACAGAAAAACGTGATCCTGAAGCAGCTTCTGAGTACGGACGATGACGAGGAGGAATGCAATGAAGCCGCACCTACAGAGGATACCAAGGCAACCGAGAACAAGGCAGACATGGAGAAAAATGAGGCCGAGCCAAAGAAACCATCTAATGCCCTGCTGAAGGTAAAGACCCTCCTCATAGAAAATTCTGTTTGATTGATCTGATGGATGCATTATTTAACCTTTCCATTTGCTTCTTTTGTTCGTTGTTCAGTTGCTGGTGTGTAATTTTTTGCACAAAACATACAAGACTTCAGTGTTGTTAATATAGTGATTGTACTTATGAAACAACTTGTGATGATTCAGATCCAATTTCTTTGTTTACGATGAGACCTCAAAATCAGGCCTGTAAATCCTGGCTGATAAGTAGATGAGATGAATTAAGATCATGTTGTTGATTTCTTGTGTAATTTCAATCAACCAGAATTATCATTAGTTTTCAAATATATCAGCTACTTTGATATTAGTGTCCAAACCAAGCACAGAAGATTCCTAAAAAAAATCCTTAAAGTTCACTTGGGTTGCAAAATTAACAAACTTTTCAGACATTTTCTGTAATTTTTCTTGTAAACAGAAGTTACTCAGCGATGATGGTGAGAAGAAATCAGATGGTAAAGGCAGAGATCGCTCACGACAGCCCTCTGGGGACCTGTTACAGATCCTCCTCAATGAGGAAGAAAATGGATCCTCCCCAGTCATAGCTACTGCTGTAAGTGTGAATCACTCAGCCCCTTAGTACTAAACTGGTGAAAGGTTACAAATCGGTGTCCTGTCTTCTCTTTGTAAATATAAGGTGCAATTTTACTTGTTTGAACTTTGACATAAAATTTTGAAGAGGAAGCAATGTAGATCAAAATGTAACAAATTAGATATTATGTTTTATTTGTGACATTTTGAAATGGCATCTTCAATCTGTCTAGGCACATAGACTAACACATATTCTTTTTATTTCGTAGGAGAGTACTAGTCATGAAAATGATCTTTTCTCACGTCAGCGGCATCAGTCAGGGCCTCAAGAACCTCAGTCAACAACGCCATCTACCTCTGTACCTCAATCCGGACTGCCTCCATACTCCCAGGATCATCGCTCGGCATCAACGACAGCAGTCAGCTCTGCTAATGATGCTGGCAAAAAGCCAGACGCACTGAGTTCTATACTGGAATGTCTTTGGGACAAAGCAGACACAGATCCAATCCAGAGACCTAATAATAGGAAGCGAAAAGCATCTGGTGCAGATGGTAGTGTTGATAGCACAGACATGGAACTGGGCATGCCCAGCCAACAAGTGAAGATGGTCAATAACTCTAGAAATAAGAATGTATTGCTTGCTCAGTTGTTGTCAAAACGGACCCCAAGTGAGGCTGTGGTGAATACTGGAAGATTATTGGTGAATAGTGACCCATGCGATACCCCACAGAATCGCATCAATATACATGATAAACAGCTAAGTCTGAGACCCATTGATTCAAAGCGATTATCAACAGAGAAGGAAAAGGAAAGTCTTAAAGACGGATTACAAGGGTTCCAGACTTCAAATCAGTTTGGAAGTATGGAGACCTCTGTGAAAACTAGTATAGGAAACTTAAATGTTGCAACTAGCATGCACACTTCTGTAAATACAAGTGTATTCAATGGAAATAATGTTTCAAATTCTGTGTCTTCAATGTCAAGTGACTATGATGAACTTCAAAAAATCTTAGGAGGAATGGGGTCCAACAATGGGAATAATGATTCTATGTCAAATCCCATCTCTGGGATGGATATGGAAGCCTCAGGGACACCAGACCCATTGTTGGCGGAAATTCTGAAGCAAGCAGCAGACTTGGAGCAAGAACACATAAATGTACTTCATGGAAGCAACAGTATGCCTAATCTTGGTCAAGACATTAGCTGCATCCCCCAGAGTGGAAGCGACATGCACCCTGTGCCATCATCGGAAGACCTGCAGTTGTTATCACAGTTGGAACAGGTGATACAAGATCCAAATTTTAACATTGGGTCCATATCTGGACTCGATCCAGATCCACAACAGTCTGATGACCGTGCAGCCATCCGCAGAATTCAAAACCAGTTGATGAGTGAGGATCCCTTCCCAGGAGGGTCATCTATGGGACAGATGAACAATATGGGACAAAACCACACCTCTCAGGCTCCCATCCCACAACAGAACAATTTTGGGATGGTCAACAACCAGCAACATCCAATGTCAAGTCCTATGGGGGGTGGGAGCATTGATATGCAGTTCCAGCATATGCCCAACCAGCAGTCTCCACTCCCCACCCAGGCTGGGCCACGTTTCCCCCAGGGGCCCCCAAAATTCCTTCCTCAAGGACCTCGACACACAAATCCTCAAGGTGAGGGGAAAATTTGTTTTACATTTATGAATCACTGGTTTGATGTTTTTGTGCACTAAAATTTTGTATTTCATTAATAAAGTCTGGATAATTAAGGTATCACAATTTACCTTTAGGTACATATTGATCATCAACCTGAACATGATTTGAAATTGTGATAAATAATTGATTTCAAATGCACACAGATTTTACTGGGTGAAGTGAGTGAAATCTTCAATATTACATTGAGGATTTTTGCTGAAATGTTTTGTACATGTACATGTATTTCATATCTAAGATGCTAATGCAGTTTACCATGTGCTACATATTTATTAGCAACATGAACGTAATTTAAAATTCTGATAAATAATTATCATTAAGTTTATCATATACTGTACTTATTTCCATGTGGTATTAATTTATGCTATGTACCCAGTCACCGTTTGTTTGGGGTTTTTTTGGTGGTGGTTTTCTTTTGTTTTTCTGTTATTAAACGTGTTAAAAAGATGATAGAAAATGATGAGAAGACAATTTGTATTTTCATTTTAATGCATGGTGTATTTTGTGGATGTTCTTAGGAGGATCCCTTACCAGTGCCTTACAGGGTGGAGGCCCACAAACACAGAGACCCATGGGATTTCCCTCAATGGCTAGTCAAGTTAGGCAGTCTCTCCTTCAACAGCAGAAGCTGAAGCAGCTGAGGGAGCAACGCCAAGCTGCTCAGCACCAAGAGAGGCAACGGCAGTTAATGCAACGACAACTTAGTCAACAGTTCAACCAGAGATTTCCTCCAGTAAGTTGTAGTCACTATAAGTTAATTTACTGGAGATCAGTGAATATTAAGTATGTATAAAACATCTGGTAAAAGGTAATTATAGATAAAAAAAAAAAAACAAAACAATGGATGATTATAAGAGGTTTCTAGAAATTAAAGTTTAAATAGTTAAGCAACTAAATGAAAATTGGCTTATTTATTATATTTAGTGTAAAATCAATATAGAGAGAAAAAAAAAGCTGTGCTGGGATTGAACTGTTAGTTTAAATATAGGAAAAATTTTTACAGGAAACCAGCATTTAAAGTACAAAAATGACAATTCATTCTGTAGTGTGTTTAGCTCTATTGGTCTAAGATCAGAAATGCTTATGCAATTGTAAGGTGTCTGTCATCCATCCCTCCATCTATAATTTTAACCAAAAAAATCTCTACTCCTCCTACAGATTTGATTCTATTTAAAAAAAATTGTTACACAGTAATCTATACTAAGGTATGTAGTTCTTTTTATAGTTTGGTTTTTTTTTTTTTGATTTCTGTAAATGTGCTGCGAAGTGGTTAAAATTAGAATTATGCTACTCCCCCTATAGTTCATCTCTAAATATGCAATTATTATTAGTTTTTGATTTTGACAAAGACTATTGCCATGGTTACTATAATTCTTTCAATATGCTATTCCTCCTACAATTGTGTCCTCAATTTTAATAAATTGGAACACACATACACTGGTAAAATTCTATATATTGATTTTTTTTATTTTTTCAGTGAACATTGTTGCAATGGTTAATAAAAATAGAATGTGTATGCAATTATTCTTTCGAAATGCACACCTTCAGGTTTCGTCTGATTCCAGTAAAACCTGGAACACAAGTACTCTTAACCAAGGCTTGTAATTCTTTTTATGGATGTTGCCATTTCTTCTGTAAAAAGAATGTGAAAATCTTTTAAAATTCTACTCCTACAGTTTCGATTTGCTTTCAACAAAATTTATTACAATTGTAGAAAACATCAGTGAAATATAATTCTGGTAAAACTAATAAGTGTTTCAAATCTAGGTGCAACTTTTCCCTTTTTTATACACCTGTCTTAAGACAGGATGTATTATGGTATGGTTTTCATTTCTGTCCGTCTATCTGTCTTTGCTTTTCTGTGCCCAGCTTATAACTTAAATAGTATGAGACCTAGAATTACCAAACTTTGCCAGCTGATACATCTTGGGTAGAAGGTGTGTCACACATTAAACAATAGGTCACTGTGACCTTTAATTAAGATGATACAACAAAATCCCTTTTCGGCTCATAACTAGAAGACTATTAGACCTAGAATCATCAAACTTGGTCAATTAATGCATCTTAGGTAGAAGGTGTGTTGCATCCTACTTAAAGTCACTGTGATTTTTAATTAAGTTGAAACTCGGGTGAAAGAACAGGAGGAATAATGAATGGTGTCTCTTGTGCATTATGGTCCATCTCTTTTTACTATGAATGCGTTGTTTAATGACTGTGTTTAGCAAGAGATAACAGTTAATTGAAATACCTTGTTTTATCACAGAACATGGAGAACACGTCCTTGCAGCCTTATACAGAAAGCTTGAACGACCTTCTGAACAGTGGATCAGCTCCCAACGTCACTCTGCAGGTATGTAATAACAGCAAAAATAATAGTATATGCTAAATATTGTACATGTTTATAGGGTGAATCTCTCAAAACGAACGTATATCCGAAGTCTGTGAATAGGCAAGGTCTAATGTTGTGTGTTTAGAAGAAATTTTATTTTATTCTTTGATTGGGTGTGCCAAGTTAAAGTAGTATCTCTCTTGTTGAGTATTTTTTGAAATTCATGCTATTTTACTCGCGTTCTTAATTTAGATAAAATACAATTCTTTAAAGGTTAAATTCACGGATCTTACAATGTTATTAGATTTGATCTGCTTTTCCGTTATTTTCATGAAATATGAGACATATATGTTTATTTATGGAATAATTGATACTGCTTTTAAAAAGATGTCTGATTTTTAATATTTATTACTGTTAAACTTTTGCTTTGACAGTAATTTTGTTTTCCTTCTTTCATGTTTTTAATAAAATTTAAGAAATGTTGTTAACCCCCCTCCCCCAGCAAAGTGGTAAGAGGGTGGTGTACTGGAATCACCATGTCTGTCTGTGCGTCCAACTTCTGTACAGCTTTATACAATATTAAGCTCACCATTTAGGTCATAGTCTGGCTTATATCAATGGGTTTCCAAAACCAGACTTGCAGATATGGTGCACCTGTAGATGTATGATAAGATATTTGCTTTCATTGTGCTCCTCTTTGGGAGGGAGGGGGGTCATTTCTATTAGGATAACTCTAGCTTAAAATAATTTGGCATAAAATTCTGTCATATATTATTAAGTATTAAATACTTTGTGACATTATTACAGAGGAACCAGATCCCAGGTCCAATGTCCCCTAGGTTTAGTGGAATGCAGCACCAGCAACAACATCCCAACCTCAGTCAGCTTATCCGACCGGGACCCTCCACCCCCAACTCCCAGATGTCACCCCACTTCAATCAGCAACCCCAGAATCAGTGGAACATGAGGCAGCAACAGCCGCAGCAACCGGCCATGCAGAGCCCGATCAGCAGCAACGTACCTAAGGTTAGAGTCACTGCAGCACCACTTAGGCAACACATTGCAACATTGAAGTAGAGACTGTGAATAAGATTGCTTGCAAATGTTACTGTACAATGCTTCACTTTCGCTGCTTCTTATAATAAACATGAAATTAACACTGCAGGGAAATTATATTTCTATAATCAAAATTAAAAAGGGACTGAAAACTGATTTCAGAGGGCATGAGAATGGATTTGTTTATAAAGTAGAGAAAAAAATGTTCTTAAATGAAACTAAAGTCCCATTCTTGTTTCAAAATGCTTGATGAAGTATAATAAGTAAATGTTTCTCCTGTAGTCAAACCCTCTGTTGATGAATCGTCACCGCTCATTCTCTGGAGGGACAATGACCAGTAATAACCAGGGCGGTCACTTTCAGTTCCCTGACCAGATGGGTAACTCGGGACAGATGGGTCTACTCCAGCAGCAGCAGCAGCAGACAATGATGGCCCACAACAGGGTGATGAGGCAAATGAGCCTCCCTCCAGGTACAAACAGTTTCTGTTATTATTTGATTCAGACAAGCTCTTTCTTTTATCCTTTTTTTCGTGTTTTTGCTATACATTGTCCTGTGATTACTGATGTATCTTGTTTTCAGGCCATGCTTCTTCACCAAGGGCACCTGCTAGTCCTTTTGGGAATAGTCCAGATCCTCTCTTAATGTCCCCTCACTCCATATCCCCTCGCCAGAACCCCCAAACCAGTCAGGTCAGCCCGCCATTTAATCATGCCTCTTCAATGGCCAGTTCAGTCATGCCACAGACATCAATGGCAAACAGTCACCCAGGCATGATGAGTCAGCAGAACTCGGTGTTTCAGGACTATGATATGTTAGACAGGTAAAACTATTGTCGTGCTTCCCTTCGTAAAATTATCTTATAAACACATCTTTTCTTTGAAGAATATTTTAGATTGATTGAACTCTGTAAATGCCAACACTGTCATTTTCTATTTTGTCCTTTTAAATGTTCCAAGAGAGATCATTTAGTATTCTAGGATGTAGGTGATTTGACTCGTTTTAACAGCACTCTTAGAGTTAGCCTTACTATTTTATTTCTTGAATGTTTTTCCTTTTAAAAAAAACTTTCTGAATTTTTCTGCTAGTTTAAAACATTGATAATTTGTATTTTGTATCTATAACAGTAAGCCCATGCCGATGCAGCAGAAATCAACATCACAGTATGTAAAGGAGGAGCTTAGAAATATCTGTAACGCCCGATCAGAGAAGCAGCTTCAGCAGCAGCAACAACAGCAACAGCAGCAACAGGGGATGTCACATGCCCTGCCCCCACACCAACCCCCCTCCTCCCAGGCTGCCCCCTCCACCCCCCAGTCACAGATCTCGTCAGATTACAGTGAACTCCCTAACTACATCATTGAGCAGAGTAAGTTTTCAAATATATGGGAGACTGATCGAATATTTAATACATTAGTAGAGGGCTGTATCAAAATGATATTAAAGACCTAACTTCAGTATGTTTATGATTTTAAGAAAATAGCACTTTTACCCTATCTGTTACCTACATTGCTAATTGTAAGTTTTCATGATTTCACATGTGAATTAGATGCACACCAATTCTTGGACAGTTTTATGTATTGTAATTTTATCAAAATTGCCATAACTAAAATGTATTTTCCAATAAAATCATTTTAAGCTTGTGACAAAAAGTTTTAAAGATTCAGATTTAAAAAGCATGAAAACCCTGTTTTTAACATCAGCATGTATTTTCCTGATCTTTATCAAAATACATGTATAGTTTAAACAAGTTTAAAAATTTGAGTAGTTTTTCAAAAAAAAAAATTTTGATGAATGTTGGAGTTATACAACATTGTGCAACCTACATTAAATGTAACCATTCATCATCAAAAAACTATTAAACTAATACTGACATTTCTTAAATATGCATGTGAGAATCTTAAGAAGTTAAAAAAAAATAAAGGCTAGTTATTGTTCTCTTGTCTTTACAGTAAGCGAAATGCAGCAAGAGCACCAGGCGAAGTCAGAATTTAATTTCGACAATTACAAGGAAGATGACGTGTTAGCTGTAAAACGACAGGAAGCCAAAGAAATTTATGAGCAGTTCAGACAACTCTCAGAGAAAACGGAATTAGGTATATCCACATTCGTCTCCTTTCTGACAAAAGCATTTTCCTTGAAATTTTATAGTTGTTGTTGGGTTTGTTTTTTTTTTTTATCAAACTTCATCATTACTGTTTTTTTCTTCTTCTATAAGTTTCTTTCTACATTTGTTAAATCTAAAACAAAATATAATATCAGTATGAAGGCTTTCCATTCTTCATGTTTAAATAGTTTCCAACAGAAGTAAATTCGTTGATGATAAGTTGTGTGAATTTTTGTTTGTTTCATTTGATATAGTAATACCAGAGAACCCAGAAATAAAGGCGACAGCTGTGTTTCGTACACAGCTCATGAATCCCCAAAATGCCGACAGCCCTCATCTAGCCATCCCCGATGATCTTGGGCGCCTTAAAGCTGACCAAGTCCAAGTGGTCGCTAAGGAACCAAGGGTAAGCTAAATTCTCCAGTTTTATAATATACAAGGGTAATGTGACTTCAAGTATGATTAGTAATTAATACAGAAATTTGATTTTAAAAAGTTATTTTGCAAGAGAAACATCGATATTTATACATGTTGTTAAATATACAAGTTAGTAATGTGGGAGCTATTTTTTTGTGAATATCATACAGTATGCTCAATAGAATATCTGCAAAGTCATTGATATGCAAGGGGGGGGGGGGGGGATATCACCAAAAATTTCTGCTCATATAGTGTAAATAACCTCATACATGAATTTCTAGGCTTGTAGTCACTGAACCCTTTGGATGGAAGGGTTTTAAAACTTAAGTGGGTCTTTCTCATTTTTTCATCTGTAGTGCAGCATTTTTAAGTAGTGACTTTAAAAGTAAATGACATGACATGCAAGTATTTATTTGCCTTTTCTTTTGACAGGGAAATATAGAAGATATTAAACCTGCAGACCACAGCAAGAATAGTCTGCTTCAACAACTCTTGTCTGAATGACATAGGGCCCCCCGTATAGGAATAATGTCACCAAATGTGTATAATGAAATTCAGGGATAACAAACCTTGGGTGCCTGTAAGGCACGATAAAAATGGCCAGTGTTAAATGCCCAGATCTCTACAGAAGATCGTCATGGTAACAAGGCTGTGATGAGAAAAAAAACTATGATCTCAATTTTATTTGTTGGACCGCTAGACCAGGAATGGCAGATTCTTTTTCTATTTTCATTTTCTGAAGTGACTTGTGAAGGGCGTGATATTTTTGTTCTGGAGAAAGACTTGAAGCACAAAGTGCCTGCCATATTTAACATCCAGGGAACTAACTCACGTGACTTCTGATTATTACCTGTAGTGAGCATGCTCCAAGATGGGAGTTTTACAATGGACCGTCATACGGCAGTGTTTTAATAGATATAATCTACATATGGTTGTTCTGAAGATAAAAGACTTGTGAACATTGAATTTTGGCCTCTATATTTTTGTAGACACATTAAATGACTCTACCACAAGGCTGTTTCCTCAGAGAAACTATTGGCCTCTCAGAGGAATCGGATTTATTTTTATCCACGAGTATGGAGTGGATCTATTTTTATCCACTACTGTGGAGTGGGTTTTATTTGACGGGTAACATAAAAATTATAGTCCCATATTGTTGTACATGGGACTGATGGACTTTTTGTTAAAGAGACACAGATTTTAATGTTGTTTTATTCACCGTTATAAACTTTGTGTATCCTTGAATATTGTGTATGCATAATGTTTAAGATATCTATAGTTACATTATATTGTTTTGACTTGTCACAGTGATAGCCAACACAAACTTTATCATCAGATATAGGAATCTATATAATTGTTGAAATGAAATGGACTTGTACATGTTGTGAATGCTGCATAATGTAATTTGTTGATTATTGTAAGTACATTGTGTATATAGATTCTGTGTACAGGAATTCAGATGGACTTTGTGATGGTACAAGATGTTGTTTAATGGTTCTGTATGTCAGAGGAAACGCTGGAGGGAAAGGCAAGAGTTATGTCCCTTCATTTGCCTTATTTGGGTGAGGGCTACTATTCTTGACCTTGACCTTTGTAATTCTGGTGGTGTAAATGCATAACAATTCATTTTTTGTAAATATGTACATTTTCAACTGTATAAGATTTCATCGCCTGATGTTTTTTTCATTGGACACATTGCCATGGGAATTCATTCTTACTTTGATGTTGTTAGATCAGTTCATGTGTAGAAACTAGTGTCAGTTGTGTACAAATATTTTTATTATGAGGCATATTTTCAGACTAGAAGGGTGACATTTTGGTTGTATGAAAAATAAGCGCATCAATTTATCCCCATGATTTTACATGAGGAGACTTGACCAAGTTGAGTTCCCACTGAATGTAGACACCAGTGATTTTTAAACAGAAGGCCTTTTTTTCGTTATTTCATAGCTTTGTGTTCTGTCAAAAAAAGTCAAATTTCAATCTAAACCATACAGTTGGTTTCACTAATCTTATGTGCAATGTGGTCACTGTCCAGTTTTTTGAGATATTTACGAGCTAAAATTTTTACTTACTAGTATTTAACTGTACTACATTATATATTGGGAAAGAGCTTGATACATGGAATGATAATTTGTGAACCAAAATTTGGAAAGCATGAAACAGAATTTGTTAAGAGGTAATTTTTTTTAAAGAGTTGTGTGAATTTTGAAATCAAAATGTTTGCAGTAGAAATTTAGAGAGCCAGATAATTTTTTTTTTTTTGAAACGGGTTGATATGATTTGCTCAATTTTTTTAAAAGTCCATAGCTATGAAAACATAGGGTGACATTTTTTAAAGTTGTTTTATTAAGATTTCATAGTTGGCATTTTCTCATATCTCAACTATTACCTGGTTAGTAGGGAGATGCACACTTTTAATAATGGCCTTTTCTCATCATCTCCTATTATGCACACAGAAAAAAAAAATTGAGGTGCCCTTTATGCAGTAGGGTTCGCCCTTGACTCTTTCAACTTTTCCATTCTGGTGATGTTAATCAATCAAATTTACTCCTTTTATATGGATAAGTCAAAACTAAGAAGACAATTTTAGTTATATGGTGATGCTTCAGTCAGTACCCGGTGATAGACACTTCTTAATTATTCCAGTTTGTTTCTGCGAAAATTAGGCTGCATAATCATCTCATTGCTTCTTATTATAGACATGTTAACAAAATGGATTTCCCAAAATATTAGAAAGGTTCACTTTCATCTTTTCAAATTAAGCCCTCTGTAATTTGGGGAAAAAATGATTGAAGTTTTCAAGAATTCAATTTTTCACTTCAGACTCGGTAATCCCCCCTCCCCCCTTTTAAAGGTAGAAGCTCATATTTGAGACATTTACAGTTATATACAGAATTGTTAATGTCACCTATAAGTTGTTTATTTATTGCTAAAGGGTTAATTCCTCCAATAAAATCTGTTAGAATGTTAAAAAGTTACAGTTAAATGTAACAGATATTATTTGATCCTGGAAAGTAATGGAGTTTTCAAGAGAAAATGACGTAATTCTGTAAAACAGTATTTATTTTCTCTAGTTTGCCAGTGTATTGCCACAGTTTTAATAGGTTTGTCAAGTTCATATCACATATTTCTAAAAAAATTTGATTGAATGGCTGAGAATCTACCGGATATGTCATTATGAAGTTTTCTCTGAGAGAATGATTTCCATTTGCTGGTAAGCTAAATCTCCATTCCAGGGAATTTTTTATGATGAGATTTCACCAAAATTATTAGATTCATATATTTGATATGAAAATATTTTTGTATCGCTAAAAAATTTTTGAATTCTTTTCATTTTTAATCTACCGGTATGTGATATTATTAACATTTACAGATCGAGTGCGGAGAAATTTCAAGAATTTAAGAATTTTAAGGATTCAGAAATTATTGGAATTTTTTTAAAGAATATTTTTATGAAAAAAACCACTTTCAGCTCTTGAAATTTCTCTGTAGCTGGTGATCATGACCGCTGTGAAAATGCATTCAACTCGGTTTAAAAAATTTTAATGTAAGCAAAGGAAAAAGTGCTATTTGTATTATTTTTTAAATATTCTACTCTATACATTGTGACACTATATACATGTATATGTTTCACCTCCAACCCAGTCTTTTTTACCTCAACACAGTTGGAAGGCATGCCTTAATGAGTTAATTGTTAATTGGTTTTATGTGATTTTTGTGGGTCCTTCCAACTGTTGGATTCTCTCATTTTAGTTGTTTCTGTGTTACATGTCTGTTAATCATGAAATAGTGTAACCCATCTTAGATGAATGGAAAAATCAGGAATATGACATTAAAATCAACATCAAATATAAAAAAAAAAATCTTGGTCTTGTGTATTACAAGGGTTTTCATTGAATTTGAATTTTCAAGTGACTGAGAATTCTTTGTCAAAAAGCTCAATTGTTGAATATGGCTGTCATATAAGCAATTTAAGTCAGTATTTTCATATTCATCTATGAGAATGTGGCAATTCTGGGTCTTGAAATAAAGATTTGTAATAACAAAACTAAAGCTGTGGAAGATGAGAACCTACTGAATTAACAAATTGAATAATTAAATGGGGGGGGGGGGCAAAAGAAAAAAAACAACATGAATTATACTTTTTACCAGTAAAGCCCAAATCCTTTTCATCATTATTGGGCCCAAAACTTTCAATGTCAATGCCAAAAAAAAAACAAACAAACAAACAAAATATCTTTTATTAGTAAAGCTATAATCTCTTTGCTTGGATTGGAACGTTTAGTGTCAGTAATACATGTGTATCCAGTAAACTAGTCATCAGATTCCAAGGAGAGAGGTATTTCTGAATTTTGAAGAATCCAGCAAGTAGGATAATGGAAATAAAGGGGAGAGTACAGAAGCCCATTTAGGACCTATTTTTAAATTGTTATAACGAATTTAATCTGTTATAACAAATGTTGAATTCATTATAACGAAATCAAAAATTTGTTATAACAAATGAAATTTGTTTAAACGAATTCCAAAGTTTGTTATAACGAGAAATAAAATTCGTTTAACAAATTCTTAAAGTTATAATGAATTAAATTTGTTAAATCGAATTCGACATTAAGAGTCTATAGAAAAATATTAATGAATTCAATGTATCGATTTGGTTTAAACGAATTTGAGTTTATATTATACAAATACTGCTGTTTTTGAGGTCAATACAATGATTTAGCCATCTGTCCTGAGAGGTAAAATATTCACGGAGTCCGAAGGGCTTTTCAAATAGCGTTTTTATTCTAAATTAAAAGTAAAACTTACGTTCAGAGAAAAAAGAGTGGGGAGGGGGCAGGCCCCCTGTACACCCTCACACCCACCGCCCACTCCAGATTATATGTGCCTGAATGTTATGTTCACCTGGGGGGAAATCAGGTGCAAATGAAATATTTATATCAATTTGGAATTTCCCGATCAATTTTTAGTCCAATGTAGAAAAATTAATCGTAATGTTCACCTGGAAGGTCACGTGTATTCTCTATACAATGTTGGATCTCAGCCAATCAGAAAAATGGGAATTATTTGTTCATATAACAAAACAAATTGTCGTATTCGTTTAAATGAATTAATTCGTTATAAAAAATTTTAGAATTCGTTTAAACAAATTTAATTCGTTATAACAATTTTTTGAAATCGTCAAACGAATTCAACAAATCTAATATAAGGAATTCTAAAAATTGGTTTAGCAAATTAAATTGTTTTAATAAATTCGACAACTCGTTATATCTAAATTTCTTGATAGATCCTATATGGGCTTCCGTCGTGGGAGAGGGAATGTCTCAATTTTTAGCTAACCAGTTGGGCAGCTGTAATACCGTCGGCGTCCCACTTCAAAGTTTTTGGAGCAGTTTTCTACTGAAGTATTCCTATGTCCTAGTTGCGTGGATAATGTATCTACATGTAGTATGTTTCATAGTACTATTCAGGTTTCAGATGCTGCATTTTCAGCCAATATTTTCTAATGAATGAACAGGTTAATGTTTCTGGAGCAGCTTAACTTTTAGTTTCTGGAGTACTATCTCGATCAAAGTTTCAAGTATATATCTAGGGATGCATATTGTCTGTCAGACTTCTTTGAATCATTGGTCTGACCACAGGAGTCTGAAGTTTTTATCGTGAATTATCTTTAAAAAAAAAATACCTGAAAAAAATATTCCACCTTCAACCAAGTAGTATTTGACCAAAATTTTCTGGACCGGATGAGTGAGCAGGTTAAAGTTTTTGGAGCAGGTTCATTCTAAATTAACTATATGCCCTATAGTGACCAAACCTGCATGTATGTGGGATGCACACTAGCCAAACATGCTTCAAATGCTGGATCTAACTTATATTTTTCCAGATTAGTGAAGAGGTTGAAGTTTTGGGAGCTGGACCAAACTTGCTTGGATGATCCATACCATACTTTCTCCAAAAATGGATTCTGGATATGAACTGCATTTTCTGGATGCATGACCATATTTACGTTAACGTTCATTTCTGGGTTACTATAAGCCCCATGCTGACCAAACTTACATAGATGACGCATCTAGGGATGCACACTACCAGTTTTGCTTCAGAAGCTGAATCTTACTTAATTTTGTTTTAGACGGTTGTACAGAAAAGGTCCTGGAGGCGAGCCATTCCCAATTAAGTAACTGAAAAAAAAATCTAACCTAAACGAAACTTGCATTAATGTTGCGTCTAGGGATACACACCACAATATTGCCATTGTTTAATTACAAATGCTGCTTTTTGTTAGAATAACAAACAATGCGGTAGAGATACAGTCTCGTCAGAGATTTATGGATTTGTATTTGAACAGCTAGTTGTCATTTTATGCAACGAACTTGTTTATGACAGGGAGGGGGTAAGTGAACGAAGACTAATTATTTGTGTTTTGTCTTTTTGTTAATTAATGCGTATTTATCTTGAACATGTCAACATATGTCATATGAAGACCTGTTTACTCTCCACTTTATAATATCGTTGTGTACGTGATCTTAGAAGCAAATATAGTAGGTGTGCATTCGATGTATAGCACGTTATATATAAGTAATTATACATATATATAAATTACGGTTATAATGCATTTTAAATGAAAAACATCGTTTACATTTAAGATACAAGAAGGTGTTTAGAATCAAATCGAATCTTCTTCTAGTAAAATCTCTCATTCTCGATATTACATGTATATCTTGATCTTTGAAGATACTGTCCTGTACAAAAATAATTTTTGTACAGGACAATATACAGAAACTTTTTTTTTGGTCAAATGCATGTGATATTTTTTTTAAACAGTGATTACGTTAAAAGTCTATTTCAAAGCGATATTAAGCCAAAAATGACAAAACTTGCATTGATGTTGCATTGAGGGGAGTGGGGTGTTTCAGATTCTACATATGTTATAATAAAAAAACAATACAGTACGTATTTCACTCTCTATCTCTCACACACATACCCTCACTCCCTCACACACACACACACACACACAATCCCTCCTTCACACACACACACACACCCTTTCTCCCTCACACACACACATCTGTCCTATGTTCGGCAAAGTAAACTGGAACAAGAACCACACATTTTAAACCATGTGGTATACGAAGAGAAGATACTATCCTGCTATAGAAGGAAAGACTTTTGGCTTGATCGATAGTAGATTCACTTGATAAAAATGACACATACATGTATATTATGAATAAAACACCATCAGACATGGGCATTGACATTTCTGTTGTTATATGCTAGTTTACAAGAAAACTTGCTTTATCAATTTAGATAGCTGATATAGATAAATGACCATTGTAAACACAAATGAAAGGGGGTGGAATAATATATTTGGATATATATTTAAGCTCACTGAGCTGAAAGCTCAAGTGAGCTTTTTTGATCACCCGATGTCCGTCGTCCGTCCGTCTGTCCGTCCATCCGTCTTCAACTTTTTACATTTTCAACTTTTTCTCAAGAACCACTTGGCCAATTTCAACCAAAGTTGGTACAAAACATTCTTAGATGAAGGGAGGTTAAATTGTTAAAATGAAAGGCCCAGTCCCCTTACAAGGGGAGATAATGAAGAAAAGACAAAAATAGGGTGGGGTCATTAAAAATCTTCTTCTCAAGAACCACTAGGTAAGAAAAGCTGAAACTTATACGGAAGCAACCTGGGGTAGTGTAGATTCTAAATTGTTCAAATCATGACCCCGGGGGTAGGATGGGGCCACAATAGGTAATCCCAATTTTTACATTGAAATATAAAGGAAAAATCTTTAAAAATCTTCTCAAGAACCACTGGGCAAAAAAACAAAAAAACAAAACAAAAAAACCTGAATTTATGTGGAAGCATCTTGGAGTAGTGTAGATTGTAAATTGTTCAAATCATGACCCCCGAGGGTAGGATGGGGCCACAATAGGGAATCCAAGTTTTACATTGGAATATAAAGGAAAAAATTTTTAAAATCTTCTTCTGAAGAACCACTAGGCCAGAAAAGCTGAAATTTATTTTGAAGCATCCTGGGATAGTGTAGATTCTAAATTGTCCAAATCATGACACCCGGGGGGTAGGAGGGGCGTTAATAGGTAATACAAGGGGGAAATCTGGTGAAGAACAGCAGGGCCAAAGTTACTAAGGTGAGCGTTGTGGCCCATGGACCTCTTGTTTTACAATCCATCCACGAAATAAATTAATAAAAAAAGCGCGTGTTTAGCCTCTTTGTTTACTTATTTCGTTTCACTGAAAAAAAGCTGATAAGAACTTGCAATCAAAAGTTTGTGCAATCCTACTTATTTGCAAAATGCATATATGTTTTTTTTTTGTTTAATTTGTTTTTAAATACGAGTAGAAAAGATTAGTCTTCAATTGAAAGATCTACAATAGTATTCTTTAAGATCACAACCAATGGCTTTCCTCAAATAGTAGAGACCTTGAAGTTTGACCTATTTTTCAAAAAAAATTATCTTTGCTTATAACTTTTGATTGAGAGGAGATGGGGTTTTACCGTGACAAGACCTTTCCATTTTACCCTTGAAGTTTGACCTACTTTTCAAATATGTTATCTTTGTTTTGTTTGTTGTTTAACGTCCCTCTCGAGAATTTTTCACTCATTTGGAGACGCCACCACTTGCCGGTGGAGGGCTGCAAATTTTGACCTATGCTCGGCACTTAGGGCCATTGAGCAGTGAGGGATCTTTTTCGTGCCAGCACCTACTGCGACACGGGACCTCGGTTTATACGGTCTCATCCGAAGGACCGGTCTCTACGTCCCACAGTGGGATTCGAACCCGCGACGTAAGGATCAACTCCTTACTCCGCGACTCTAGAGCAGACGCTCTACCACTGCGCCACGCGGGCGACTTTTATCTTTGCTTATAACTTTTGATTGAGAAGAGATAGGGCTTTCATATTTGACATACATGTGCATTACCTGTGACAAGACCTTTCTAAATATTTTATGATTTTTGACCCCGTTACCTTGAGGTTTGCCTACTTTTCAAAAATTTTATCTTTGCTCATAACTATTGATTGAGAAAAAGATAGGGCTTTCATATTTGACATGTGCATTACCTGTGACAAGATGTTTCCGAGTATGCTATGATTTTGACCCCTTCACCTTGACCTTCAAGTTTGACCCAATTTTCAAACATTTTATCAGTGTTGCTAACTTTTGAAGGAGCGAAAATAGGGCATCTATACTTGACACTTGTATTACCTGTGACAAGCATTTCCAAATGTACTATGATTTTTAACCCCATGACCTTGACCTTGAAGTTTGATCTAATTTTCAAAAATTTTAACATTGCTGATAACCTTTGATTGAGAGAAGATATGGCATTTACAATTAAGTTAACATGTTCATTACCTGTTTCAAGACCTTTCCGATTGTATACTCTGGTTTTTGATATTTTTTTCACATGTGCATTATTTGTGACATGACCTTTCGGATTGCATTATGATATTTAACCTCATTGACCCCATGACCTTCATCTTGAAGTTTGATGTATTTTTGAGAATCTGTAATCTCCATCATATAACTGTTATTGATTCAATAATTTATGTCTCTTTTGTATGATGCACCGACAAACAAGACAGTTACAATATGGCTTAAATAATGGCAATAATAAATAATAACCGAAAGCGGGGGACCACAATTCTTGTAATTTGCTTGTTCCTTTCAGTATATATATATATATATATATATATATATATATATATATATATATATATATATATATATATATATATATATATATATATAACATATTTATATATATAACATATTTATCTTTAAAGAAGGTATGTGACCTCGTCTGTTGTACACATTTAATTTTAGACATGTTTATTTACATATTGTCAAAACTAGGTCGACGTCACCGCAGCTACCAAGTAAATGATTGGATTAAAGGGACATGCCTCCCAACCACGTTTCAAAACACATGAACAGTCCTCTTCTGTTTACATGATTTTTCAGGGGAAAATCTAGAGGCAGTATATACCTCTTTGCACTGTTACTAAGAATTGGGTAACTGTGTTAAATATCTGTGCATATGTGCGATATAAACAAGCTTTTTGTGAATGGTAAGTAACACAATATTATTACGGTGCACATTAATTCTGTTGTTGTATATAATATATAATATGCATATCACAAATGTTTATTTAAACATTACACTATCAATTTTAATGTGGAAGTTGTACATATATTTGTGAGTATTTGATGTGCATTTCAATGATATGAACCACTACAATGCAGACCATTGACCAGGGGAGTATGATGAAAATGGCAATTTGCCTTTTCAATGTAGTTTTGACTATATAGTAATAAAAAATTAATGGTTTTAAATATATAAATATTTAAAAGTTTTTTTTTCATAACATCATTCCCTTTTTTGAATTTGAGTAAGGCTAGGAATTTGTAAAAATAGGTCGAATTTCATAAACATTTTATTAATTTTGATAGTAGCACGTATGTACATCGTTTGAACCAAGCTGGATTGTGTTGGTTTCAGGTATATTTAAATGGCACATCTTTCCAATAAAACCGTTCTGTTATGATTACAGTATCTTTACTTGATACAACGAGAGAGAGAGAGAGAGAGATTATTATATGATTATTAAAATCCATGTATGAACATGATTGTATTGAATAACTATTGATACAGTTATTTTACAAGCCGCTGTAAGTGCTAGGTCACGACCTGATTGCGACATACCCCCACTTCTCGTACGATTTTCTCGCATGATGAATTCGTCATGTATTAACATGAGGACAATATTGTACACGTAATTCAATGTACATCCTTTTTTCGATGAACAGGAAAAAATACTCTGGTATTTAAATTCCCTTTTTTAAAAGTACTTTATGCCTATCGTCATTTAATTTATTTATATTACAAACACACCTGTATTTTTTTATTGCTAAAAATTACTTTCGATCAATTTCCAAGAAATATCTGACGTTTTCCAGGCATTTTTCACGATTTTGATACTTGACGTTCCTGGCACGTCAAATATCAAAATCGTTAAAAAAAATACATTATATAGTGGACGGGTGGGGGGTTGATTGTTTATTATAATTGTATTTTCGTGAATATGACAATATTAACTATTTGACCTTCGTATTTTCATGATATTGAGATGTGTTTTGTAAATCACGGCGAGAATGCACATACTCGAAACGCCAGTGTAAGATCCACCAATATATTTGCTTTGACCTCTCACCTCGTGCGTCATGTGATCGGGTGATACGTGAAATGGTGGAGTGAATGCAACACTGGTGCAATCACGAGTGTAAAGTGACTGTTAATAGCGTTTTTTAATCTTTTATTCTCATAATTATATTGCTACTTGGCAAGAAATGTGTTTGGAGGTAAAACTTTCCTATTATGTTGACTACTTTCGCTATTGAATTTTTTTTATTATGAAAAATTACTTGGAATATTTCCCGGCAAATCCAAGAAACCTATCGAATTAGACGCAAAAGCAAACTTGTACATGTGCATTTTATCCTAATGAGTTGTACAGCTTCATTGTTTTAAAGTGTTTTATAATTTTGTTTGTATGGAGACCGTTGTATTTGGAAACAAGCCCCCAGGGCTTTCGCCTGTCGATTGTTTTGGGTAACGGTAAATCACTAAATGTACAGACGAATAAACAGATGCTCGTAAAACTATAGTAGGCCTATACCTGGACTAACGTTAAATAGTGAAATTGATTGTTTTTTTTTGTTATTGTTAGATTTATTTCATTTAGAAACAATTTTATTATATTTATTACATAAATTGTACTGAAATCGTGCTTGATATTGGTGAATGACTTATTCCCGCTAATGTGTCAATTTGTTGCATATTTTATGAGAAAAGGTGTGAGGAGGAGTTTTTGAAAGTTTCATCATTTCGTTTAAGAAGATATGTACAGTTACTTTACAGAGTTTTCCTAAACAAGCTATTTATATACAACTATATAAATAGTGCACATTTTTTGATAGTTAGAATAATCTATCTGTGTCTCGGGACAAGCCCTCACCACAGTTAGAATACGTCCCATATACTTGCAATGTAGCAAATCGGAGTGGATCCACTCCGAAATGATTTTGAAGAATACAAAAGGAGTTGCACTGATAATAACTACCAAATTAATCATAACAAACCTTTTTGAGATTGTATATGCCTTTTAACCTAAAAAATAATCCATATAAATACGAAAATTCAACTCATTTTCTCAACGTTTTTTCCTTCTCTTCAAATTTAACGCCATGTTGACATTCGGAACTCTCTGGATTGCTCATAGAAAATGCACAGAGTTCGAGTTATCGCCCATGTTTATTTTGCTACATTGCGAATACACGGAACGAATTCTATCGTTAAACCGGGTCCATAGGACAATATCATTTTAACGATAGAACATTCTATCTAATTTTTTTAGGGTAACAGTTGAAATTGACACCCCAAGGAAAACCATTGTCAACCGACGCATCAGTGGAGGTTGACAATGGTTTTCCGAGGGGTGTCAATTTCAACTGTTACCCTCAAAAACGTGCACTATTTATTTTATTATACTGAATGTCTTATTGATTTCGGATGTCATAAAAAAAATTCGGAGATCGTCGTTAAGTTCACGCTTAGAAAGCTTCCAACTCCCCGCTTCTATTTTTCTCAATAAGAAAGCTTCGGAAAAGATTTACCAACCTCTCTATTGTTTTTTTGCTACTCAAAAAGTCCTTTATCATCTTAAGTTTGCACTCGCAAGGATGTTTCGTCTGTCATTTGTTGTTTTCAAGTAAGCTACATCGGACGCAAGCTTTTATTGACGTCATTTATTCGGCTTCTTTCAAACCCACAACCGACGTTTTGAGAATTCTACGGTGAACCGTACGCACATGATTTGAACGCATGTGATATTTTCGTAATGTTACCCGTTGTCAAGTGTGTTGCTAACCCTGAGGGTAACATTACGGATTGTTAAATGCGTCTAAACCAATCAGATTTTAGTATTTAACATGAAAGTATAATAATGTATATTAATTAAGCTTCTAAACAAGGTGAACAAACAATATATTTTCAATATACAGTTGAACTTCGGTATCTCGAACACCAGTATCTCGAATACCATGGATATGTTGAAGTGATTTGGAAGTCCCAACGACTCATTCTTTAAGTATTTTACCCTGGATATCTTGAATTCTCAGATTATCTTGAAGATTTTTTCTCAGCCCCATCGAGTTTGAGATAAAAGGTTTGACTGTATGTTAAAAGAAACAGGAATATGTCTAGCTATAGCAATATGACCTTGATGTCATTGCAACAGTTAGTACAAAGTATGAAATCTGGGCTGTGTTTAATGCCCTGTTCACATGGAGAGTTTAATTCGAATTAAACATAAGTTACTGCGAGTTAAATTTGATCCGCGTTCACACGGAGAATTTAATGCGAATTAGTTTAATTCGAATTAGTTTACTGCGCATTAAATTACTTCGCATTAGCTCCGTGTGAACGCTAAGCGAAGCTAATTCGAATTAAATTTTGATGCATGCGAAAGGGCAGAATTTAGTCACAGGCCACATGTCGATGGTCAAATATAGGTACTTGTGCTATTTTTTGAGTGGAAAACAAAGGAAAATTATGTTGATCACTAAAATGTTTACAAACACTGACATTATGTCTGCTCTGCACAATATGACATAATTTGTAAATGATGTCATAATAGCCTCACTGAATAGCCTGTTGTAGAAATAAAATTATAATTCGCATTAGTTTACTTCGCATTAGCGGTCGTGTGAACGCAATTTAATTCGCATTAGTTTAATTCGCATCATTTTACCTCGCATTAATTTACTGCGAATTAAACTCTTCATGTGAACAGGGCATAAGATCATAGCAGCCACATAGTACTAGTAAGATAGCATTACAAAAAAATGAACAAGCATCTAGGCTACATGTAGCCCTTAAAAGGGATAACAAGCTTTAACTTATAAGTGTGTTCAACGTTCAATAGACTTAGATGTACTTGATATAGCATGCAGCCAGGCTTTGTTTGCAAGTCAAGGTAAGAAGTTAATAGAATTTGTGTTTATCTTCTAAATTTATCCTTTTTTATTCACAGAAAATGTGTGTGAAGATGCCTGAAGCCCTATAGGTGTGTGTGTGTGTGAAGAGAGCCCCAGAGCATGAGTTATTTCAGCTATGTGGGCAGAATCTTCTCCAACGTCAAAGGTTTCTATAACGAGATCAATGCAGCAACACTAACCGGAGCTATAGATGCGGTGATCGTAAAGCAGGAAGATGGGACGTACCTGTCCTCACCATTTCATGTCAGATTTGGAAAGTTGGGGGTCCTTAGGGCCCGAGAAAAAGTAGTGAGTTTCATACAGGGTTTTCATGACAAAATTTTGTTACACATTCCAAGTAAGAGGTGACACACCCTCAGACTCCAGCAAAAAGGCCCAAAATAAATGAATGTATTTAAAAAGAAAATTTTTGAAAATAATCCTGATTCTTCTGAATGGTTTATCTACATTAATTTATGGTGACTTACTACTTTTGTTACTGACTGTCCTCAGAAATTTGACAGCTTGTTAAAGTCCATGCAAGGCGTGGTCAAAGTCGAGCCTTCCTCGGACTTGAACAACTCGCCCTATTTCTATGGATAGTCAGTTACCACTTAATATGTGTTTTGTTTTGTCAAAAACCACTTATAGTAAACAATCCTACCAAGATCAATTACAATTAAACGATTTTCTTGTCTGTGCAAATCTCCTTCACTCATCATCTTATTGTTAACTGATTATGTCACTGAAAAGGGGTGTTACTCCAAATTTAATTGCAGCATTGCCAAATTGGTAAGGATGTAATGAATTTAATGTTTCTTTTAAGAGGGAAAATAGGTCTGGCATGATTTTTTCTTAAAATTTGGATGACACAACCTCGTTTTATCTGCTACATTGCCATCCAAATTTTGCTTCTTGATTATCATCCAAAGAAATGTTGAATTAAGGCAGGGGCATAACATCTGTTAACCAATCATTAATGAAAGAACGTCATTCCAGTCCAAGGCAAAACAAAGCCATTGGTTGGTCAGTATCTCAGTATGCTGAATTTCTATTTTTTGAATTTTTATGACAACAGGTTGACATAGAAATCAATGGAGAGCCAGTGGATATCCAGATGAAGCTGGGAGAGTCCGGCGAGGCATTCTTTGTGGAGGAACTGCCTGAAGAAGTAAATGAGGTAATTAGGTTTTCTTAAAGAGGATAAATTAAAACGTTAGATATTTTACCTGTATTATCAAACCCCACATGGGAACTGTCAACATTCACCTTCTAAAGCACATGGCAAGCTAAGTAGATTTTCTGTTTCGTATCAGTGGATATTATTTATTTTACTTATAAATGGTAATTTAGCAAATTTAGAAAAATTTCTCTTTAGAACAGGAAATGTCCTTTGAGTTTATTCAAATAATCTTTCTAAATTAATTTTACCCATGATTCTTCAGGACTTCCCAGCATACCTTGCTACATCCCCCCTGCCCTCTTCCTCAGATCTAATGATGGAGGGGGTGAAGGAGATGAAGCAGGAATACCTCAACACGGCAGGGAATACTATTGAGGTGATCCCCCCTCAGACGTCTGGCCCGGAGAATAATGTCAGCATCATGATCGAGGATGAAGAGGGGAGGAAGAAAAAGGTCAGAAGGAAGAAACGACCGGTCAGACGGACATCTTCCAATGAGGAAGCAGTTAAGGTAATTGATTGATATAATTTCTTCTCTTTCAAACAATAAAAAAATATGCTTATTGTTAAGTTCATTTACATGTTACAGAATTTTGAAAAAAAAATAAGCCTATAAGAAAGAGAGAATTTTGATAGAAATAAAGCTTAAACCATATAAAATTGAAATTATAGTTTTTGGCAAATTTTTATGTGTACTTGATAATATAAAAAGCTAGTGATCAGGAGACCACTCTGGAAAAAAATTCTGCCCTCATTTTAATGTAGTTTCATGCTTGATTTTCACTTCCAGTAGCCATTTTTAAAGAGACTATATTATGCCTACGATGATCGCTATATATATATATATATATATATATATATATATATATATATATATATATATATATATATGAAACTTTTTGGTCAGACATCAGAAGCATTACAGTTTACAAGACACTAACCGTCCCTCACCTGTTTTGGTGAAAATGGGTCTGAGAACCAGAGAATTAAATTTATGTAGCCTAATATGAATAGGCAATTAAGGTTTTAAAGTTTATTTTTGTAAAAAGACCTGAAAAATTTCAACTAACCTCATGATACAAAGAAGCTTTATTACTGTCATTTTAGAAAGGCACTGAAAAGTCTGGAGATGAGATATTTAACATGGAGGATGTATCCACTGATGATGAATTGTCCAGTATGCCAGCCATTTTACCAGATCTCTCCCCACGGATGGGAAAATCTGTAAGCCTCCCAGTGATGGATGAGACCCAGGAAAGTCGCTTTGAGAGAACCAGTCAATGGGCACAATCACAGTATTCCTTCAACCATCCCTTCAGTGATACAGATATGTCACCATTAGCTAGGTGGGTCTAAGTAACTTTAAGGTAACCAGCTAGGTGGGTCTAAGTAACTTCAAGGTAACTAGCTAGGTGGGTCTTAGTAACTTCATGGTAACTAGTTAGGTGGGTCTAAGTAACCTCATAGTAATTAGTTAGGTGGGACTAAGTAACTTCTTGGTAACTAGCTAGGTGGGTCTAAGTAACTTCAAGGTAACTAGTTAGGTGGGTCTAAGTAACTTCAAGGTAACTAGCTAGGTGGGTATAAGTAACTTCCAGGTATGTCACCATTAGCTAGGTTGTTTGGTCTGAGTATCCCTTTGATGACACAGATGTCTCCACTTGCTTTTATTTGAAATAGCTTAAAGATTTCTTCCAGCAAATTCAATTAAATAGTTTCTATTTCTTTAAAAATTGGAAATGTGAAGTTTTCTTTGCATTGATATCTTTAATGTCTAAAACAACTGGTACAAAAATAAACTTGGCAGATTAAACAAAAGTCTATTAATGCATTATTTTCGCAACACATTTTAACTCCCATATAAAAGTAAATCCCTTAGTAAATTGTTTGCTTTGTGCATTGTCATATTTTTAAAAATGACTTTTAGTCCAACCAACACTCGTCCCCCTTCCCCTAAGAGTGACACAGAGGTGGACCGCCAGAGGCAAGGGGAGGTGGACCAGTCCATCCTATCCGAGGAGGATAGCACCTTGTGGGAGTGGGGGGACCTTCCACGCAGACAAGAGGAGGATGTGAAATCACCCAAAGAATCCAGCGACAAAAAGACGAGTGATAAAGACGGTTTGTACTTACTTGTAATTTTGTGATATTCAGAATACCAGCCCTTATTACTGGGCTGTGCTGTTCAGGAATATTGATTATAATTGTAAGTTTTTTTCCTTATGTGTATTTTTCATAACTTCTACATCTAATTGAATTTTTCTTGGTTTTTTTATTTGAATTGGAAGTTTAAGTTCATTTTCTTTTGCTTGAACAAAAGAATTTCAATCAAGCTATCAGGCTTTTTTATATAACAATTTTCATGCAACTCTGAATGGCATTTTATCATATTGATGTAAACTTTTTATCTGCAAATGAAGTGTTTCAAACTGGATACATTTCTGTTTAACAGGAGAATCCCAAGAGAGCAAGAGTTTGTTTCAATTCATGAAGAAGACCAAGGCAGTACGTCATAAGCCAGAAGGGGAGGGGATCTATCTGGATGACCTGAATCTGGAGGAGATGGACCCAGAAGTTGCCAAGCTCTACTTCCCTAAAAGGTAATTCATCACATACCTACATGTCTTACTACTGTACTAAATCAGAAGAAATGAAAAGAAACAGAAAGGTCCAGTCTAGATCTCAGCATCGTAATTGTTACTTTGACTTAGCTGTGTTGTAATTACTGGCATGGTTGATTTCTCGCTTTCTGTAACAGCTTAGTAATGTATTATATTTTGTGACACACTTTGCTGGTACATAAAGCATGGTGAACGATATAAGTACAAGTTGTTTATATATCTCTTTATAAGACTAGTGTAGCCCAAACCTTTCTGCTTACATAATTCTCCAGGCATGATGCCTCTGATTTCTTTTCAGGCTTTCATATCAGTAAGTAATGCATGTATAATATCCCATGTAGTGTGTAATTATATATAAAATCAGGCTAATCAGATAATATGTAGTGCTAGAGTGGACACGTTCTTGACTATTTCCCTCTGACCTTGTGGTTTCTACAAAACTTCTCTCATAATCTTCATTTTTATAAAAATTCGTAAATGCAGTAATTATGCTCAAGAAAATAAAATAATGGAGAATGTAGAATATCCAAACAAGGCCTTATAACAGCTGTATATTACATCACTGTGATTGCTTTGTCACAGTATGTATTACATGATTGTAACGAGCGTAATATGTTAATTAGAAACCTCATTATATATCACAGGACAAGACTTACATGTATATAATAAAGATCAAGGTTTTGAAATGTTAGAATTTTGGTTTGGAAGGAAAATACATATTAAGAATACCTCGTATAACCTTGATACTAATACATACATATCAAGCAAAAATATATAGTCATTTTAAAGATAAATGTACTTGAATAATGGCAAAAGTAGTAATATACTTAAAGGAGAGTTCCCAAACAGCCTTTTAAAATACTTGCCCAAAAATACGGTTTGAGCATTGTAAATGTACTTTGATTTATTTTGAAAAAAAAAAAATAGTTTTCTTCAACACATATTTTAAAGCAAGGAAAAACATTCAAAGATTACAAACCTATGTACTAAGCTCTATTCTGAAAATTCTATTCAACATCTGATGGCCTCTGATCTTTGAAGCACACATCATGCTTTCCTTCTTTTTAAAAATGATATTTATCAAGATATTAATTTAAATTCAAGAAGTTTTAGATTGTATCACAGTGAGAAAATTTATCGACTTGTAATTGTGTCTCTGTAGTCAGGTCCATAATGATTACACAGTTTGATGGTCAGAACTGTATATATACCACATCTTGATCTTGCATGAAGCTATCCAGGGCAATAGAGTGTACTGGTAGTTTTACTAAATAGGTTCTGTCATACTTTGACTAATTTTTTACAATCTCAAATGATGATGAATGTGTAGTACAAATGGAAAGTTAGTTAAAGACCTAGTTTAAAAGTTGTTGTTTTTTAGTTTAGGAAGGAAACACACAATCATTCATCTCGAATTGACATAATTCTCATTTCAGATTCCACAACAATAAGTTTGTATCAATCAAAGAGAAAACTGAAGCTGAGGAAGACACAGAATCGGGGCGTGGGGCATCCCTTCCTGTTTCCCCACACTCTGTAGAGGGTGCTATTGGGGGTCCACCAGGGGTCAACTTTCTAAAGTCAGAGGTCAAGCACCTTGGAAATTTCTCCCTTTCCTTGTGCGGTGGACTGAGTGACCCAGAGGGCGTGAACCTGCAGAAGTTCATGAACGACATAGTGACATTTGATGATATTTGTAAAAATTACAACATGGTCTCCAATCCAGACCTTGTGGTCAGAATTGGAGAAAAGTAAGAACTTTGACTGTAAAAATAATTACAATCAAAATGATAAAAAAAAAATTTATAGATTTGAATTGAGATATTTATCTAGCAGAATTACTTATGCAGTATTATTTTATGTTGTTTAGCTTCTACAATTGGCAGACTGCAGCCCCCATCATCCTCAGCCATGTCTGTTTTGATAAAGAACTGCCAGAGGTGAGCAAAAAACATGTACATATACTGTATGTGTACAATAAAACACATTTATAGCAATATATAGGGACAAACAATTTTGATTCATCATCAGTTAGATTCATTTTTTACAGTAAATTCACAATACATCTTGAAATCACAGGGAATGAAAATCACTCAGCTTTAAGATTACGTTTATTATGTGCATGTTCACTATAACCATCTTTTACTGTACTTTCATTGTAGAGTTTTAAAATGATGGATTTTTTTAAAATAAATGTTATAATGTACTTGAACTAGAACAACATCTGTGGAAAGATGTCATGTATCATACTGGAGAACTTGCATGTTGCATAATGATAAAAATATTGGTAAATATTTACAGGACACCATGAACAACATTATTAAAGAACACATGCCGAAAAAGAAAGCAAAGAAGAGTGGTGTTTCTTCTTGGTTCTCATGGCGACGAACAACAACAGATACCTCAAATCCCACCTCTTCTGCTAATCCTGAAGTTGATACACATGCTACAAAATCGGTGAGTTTAAGAAATTACATTTTATAATGCTCATACAGCTTTATGACAAAATTAACTCTGTGGCCAAATTTGAATACCCAGTGCTTGTATTCAGATTTTAAAATGAAGTTGGTATTTTTTTTAAACAAAAAAATCAACTTTGAAGCAGGCTTGTAATGGGGGGGGGGGTGTTGAGGTAAAGTCTTTGTCCACATTTTTCATGCAAATTTAAAAAAAATTTCCTTGGCCCCTTGTGAACTACAGCTCTGAAGATTTGATTTCATTGATACTATACATGAAAAATTATAAACTAGCGCTATCTATACCTGGATCTACATTGTACATTGTTATCTTTCCATCACATGGATTGGTATACAAATGTCATTGCTGTTGTTAAAAGAGTGCAGAACGTCTTATGTAAATCATCAAAGAATATGCTTTGAAGTTGAGGATTGTCTTTACCTCTGACTTCTATTTTGACCACAGGGTGAGAGTTCTACCTCCCAGTCTCCCCCAGTCAGCCAGCCAGGAAGTCCCCGTAAATCACAGAGGAGGATCACTGATGAGAGGTAAGAAATTATTCCCATGAGTTGGTCTTAATTCAGCTCAGAAAATTTCGTTGTCAATAAAAATTATTTCTACTGTGTCCATTTATGGTGAATAGCTTTTATGTTAAAGTGAAAACAAAGTACATGTACATGAAATTCTTTCTCAGTTTGTTTTATATATTATTATGCATGCTGTTTGATAAAAACACAATATTTTCCCCTCCTTTAGTCTGAAGAGCGAGGGAAATGATACTTCTTGCGATGACCTTGACACAGAGGACTCAGACCCCAGCGGCCAACCAGCTCTGCCTGACCCTGAGGCTCGCCATAGTAGTAAACCTATTGATGTAAAACCGGTGAAGGAGAAGTTCAAAAAGACCCTCCGTCTTTCCTCTGAACAAATTGTACGTTTACACCTTAAATATTAAAGCCACATTGTACTATGTACGGGGTTTCTGTTAGAAGTATCATGGAGGAGAATAAGTTGCTATACATATGCTGCATATCTTGAAACAGCAATATACTGAATAAATTAAAATCACTTTGAAAGTAGAAAACTATAGACGATCATCATCATTTCATAATCATTGTCATTTCATGAAAATTAATTTCATTGTTGTTATTTTGCAGAAAAAACTTAACCTACATGAGGGCCAGAATGAGATCTCTTTCTCTGTGACAACACAATACCAGGGCACAACTCGCTGTATGTCGCACATTTACTTGTGGAGATATGATGACAAGATTGTTGTTTCTGATATTGATGGCACAATCACCAAGTAAGATATTGTGTATCTCATTCCTCAGATTTGTAAAGTACTTTTTCTCTTTTTTTTCTTCTTTTTTTCTTTTTTTTTGTTGTTGTTGAAAAATTAGTTTTAAAATTAATGCACAAGAGAGAACTGAAAATCTTTGATGAAAGAAAAATTTTCACTGTAAGATTACTTCCGTAGGTCTGATGTACTTGGCCAGATCCTCCCTATCATTGGTCGTGACTGGTCCCAGTCGGGGGTGGCTCAGCTCTTCACCCACATCTACAACAATGGCTACAAATTCCTGTATCTATCAGCCCGAGCCATTGGTCAGTCCAAGGTGACCAAAGATCTCTTGAAGAGTATAAAACAGGAGTTCCATGTATTACCTGATGGACCACTTCTATTGTCACCGACCTCACTTGTCAGTGCCTTCCACAGGTAAAAATCCTGTATAGGAGGTCAAGTGTAGTGGATATAGTAGGATCTTGCAATGTCAACCTCTAATGCTGTGAAATGATAGTTCTAAAGGAACTTTCATACTGGGCTAAAACAGAATGTGTAACCATTTAATCCAGCTTAGTAGAATCCTGACCTTTTGATGGCATGAAATAATTTTATTGGTGTTTTCCTGCTATTCTTTAATAGAATGTATGATATATAAAGAACCAAATTCTGAATCTGAAAAATTGTGATGCTATTGAAAAAGGAGTTAAACAGTAGGTCAGATGAAATGCATTGTATTACAATGTTCAGGCATACCAGAAACTTGAATCTGACAAATTTTAAAGGTGTTGAAATTTCTTGATTTCTCTGGGAAACTAAAGGAAGAGAGATTACAATATGAATGCTTAATTCTTTTTTTCCTTTTTATATCCTTTGAGATTGTCAAAGATCCAACTCTTTTCCTTGGTTGTTTTACAGGGAAGTGATAGAGAAGAAACCAGAAGATTTTAAGATTGCTTGTCTACGTGACATAGGAGAGTTATTTCCAGGACTTCAGCCGTTCTATGCTGGATTTGGCAACAAAATCAATGTAGGCTATTGATAAAAATTCTTTTGTTTTATATTTTAGTGTCAGAAAGTAATTGTGTTTTGCCTTTTGATTTTAACAGGAAAATGTATATTTGACCTTTAACCTTGTGTTTTAGGATGTGTACGCATACAAAGCAATAAATATTCCCCCCATAAGAATATTTACGATAAACCACCGAGGAGAGCTGAAACAGGAGTCGTCCTATACTTTCCAGTCTTCGTAAGGACATACTATCTTACTGTAATGGATGACAATTCTAAATGAAGTCATGACCATTATACTTAATAATTAGAATTGCTTGAATTATGAAAAAATTGTAAAACAATTACTGTTGATCTTTTTTTTAAAAGATAAAAATACTGTTAATGTTAATTATCTTCATTTGGTATGTTTTTTCGTGTGACAGGTATTATAGCTTGACAGAGATTGCAGATCATTTCTTCCCACCCAGAGAACGATTAGGGGTGTATGATAGCCATTACAGTACCGTCAGATACTGGAAAAGCCCTCTCCCAAGTGTCTCTGAGACGGAAATCTCCAAACTCGAGACAGAAACCTCAGAGGAGAAATGACAACCAACACCCATGGACAAGCAGTCTGTCTCCGCTCCGGTAAAGATGCCTCGGTCCCCGTCATCCTCCAATGACAGTGTTCTACAGAGTAATAACAGTTACGATCTTTTGGAGATGTTTTCCGAGAGTGACTCAGAAGAGGATAGGAAACTGACGCAGGCTCTGGAGCCGAGACGGGAATTTCAAAAAACTGGGAAGTACTGGCTCATGCCATTTAGTCTTTACATGTAAAAAGTTAACAAATTCTAAACTTTATAAGGTTTATTTAGAATTCTGAAAAATTTTCTTTAGATGTTAAAGTCAGAACTTTAAAAAAAACTTTTAAGTGTCATTTGAAATTTTTTTTATGAAAGATGATAAAGTCAGGGTATCCAAATTTTGTACTGAGAATGAAGAGGTTGGTTGTTTACCCAGATTTCAAAACTCCTATAAATTATTTTTGTTGGGCATTTTTTGGTGCTAGTTATGAAGCATTTAATTTGTTATAATTTTGTTTATGGAAAATTGTTGTGGAGGTTTTATCCTTTTTTTTTAAAATACTTCACGAAATTTTCAATCTCCATTAAAAATGAAAATTATTTTTAAAAAAATTTTGTTTGAAGATTTAGTTGTTTCTTCCCTAGAAATCACAACAAACACTGTTTGTCCATGGCAGAATTACTGTGTTCATTATATTTTTTATTTGAGATACATGTACAAAGCAAGGGAACAATATTTGTTTGTTTGTACATTTTCATTCATTCTTTTGAGTTTCCAGCAAGTTTTATGTAATGGAAAAATTGCTGCCAGTCAGAAATTTGAATCCTTATCATGAAGGCAGCTATAATGTAATTCAGTGAGTCAATTACAGTGTATATTTGTTAGATAATCTACTATTAATGTGATTTGATTTGGTATTGATAAAGTGCCAGCATTAATTTACTAAGTTAGACTTTTGGTTTTTTTTTTTTTTTGGTTTGACTTAATATGCTTGTACTGGTGTACACATATAAATCATTTGGTAATTTGCACCAATTGGGTGGTGTGAAGTCTGTATGTTTTTTCAGTAATTGAATGTTTTCTCCATGTTTATTTTTTGTGTTAATGTTATGTTTACTCTTGTTTTTTTCTGTTACCTTGTGTGATAAAAAGTGTCATTAAGGTTTGTTTAAAGTTTTAAATGTGTTTCCGATAGTAATAACGTAGTGTTTCTAGCCATTAAATGATCTCCCAAAATATAAATTCCCATTCACCTGTTCAAAAAAGTTTCTAGAAAAATTTATGATGCAAAGCATAGATACATTTAAATTCAATTTAGATGCATTCCTAGGCAGTTTTTAATGTTAGTAAGTAAAGCATGTGATACCTTTGGTGTGATAATGAAATGTGATTTATTTATAGAATGGTGCAATTTCAAGAGGTAGATAAAAAAAAATGATCTGATTCATGGTGATTTTTTGTTATGTGAAAACCAACAATATGATATTTGTTTGAAAGAAGTTTTAATCAGTGTTTGTAGGGGATGATTGAAGTGTTAAATATTAAATATAAAAATGTGAAAAAGTTGCTGGACATACAAGGGTATATATGATGCATAAGTTTGTATTTGTAAACATTGGCCATGAAATTTTCATGATAGATTGTGATGTATTAGATTTAGACAAATGCGAGGTAAATATTTATTTAGATAGGTTATTAATTTTTACTAGCTTAACAGAAAACACTGCAGTATTATAAGCTCTAGGAAACCAGGATGATTTTGATCAAGCCTAATGTATGCTGTCATTTACTGTTTTGTTGAAAGTGTAGAAAAAAAGGGTACAAAATTTTTTTTAGGGGATGGGAAGGGGGGTTGGGGGGATTTATGGTTTGAAGAATTTACTTAGGTTTTCATTACAAACAGTTCATTTTTGATGTCTTTTTTTTATATTTATGTTGAATAATTTTGGGAATGACTATTGACTTGACTATTAAGAATAACTGGTCATTTGTAATACTGTAGATTCCTTATTTTACGCAAGTACTTATAATCGCGAAATGGCTCTTTGCTGCCAAATTGCGAGGACAATAATTCGTGAATGGCTGGTTCATCAAGGGATTTTATGTGAATTTCAGCCCCATAAAAATAAAAGTGAGTAATTTTATTTCGTGAGTGATGCCTCTTGCGAAATAGTGCAATAATTTATTCCTTGTGTATATTTAGGAAACTACAGTACTGTTTTAAACAGTGTGACACTATAAAGATGGATACAGTATTCCATGATATTTTTTTCACTCTTTACTGAACTTGGAAGTATTATAGTTGTTGTAATTTTTTTTAAGACTGAGGCATTTAATGTCAGAAGGGGATGCGACTAAAGTGTCTCCAAAATTTGTTGTTTAAACTGCATGCTCCACTGTGCATGGCTTATCAGTGTCTAGATCATAGTTCATATTTGTGCATCGAAAGTCCAGAGAAACCTTCCTAATCCAAAATGTACTACACAAATTTTGTATCAGAATAGTCAGGATGTAGGGTTGTACAGTGTAAAGAACAGAACAGTGAAGTGGGAATGAAATTTAGGTAGTAATTCAGTTAAATGGACTGTACAGGTGTTGGATTAGAAAGTTTTCACTGTATGAGCATTTTAGAACGATTGGGTGGAAATGCTTGAATAAAAATAATGTTAATGATACCCATTTAGACTATACTTGCATATGAATATTGAATATATAATGTCTCATCAGTTTATATTTCTGAACTAAAAATCCACATATTACTTTAAAGTATTTCAAGTTTTGGCAAGTGATTGATTGGTATTGTTATTCTTTTCCGTTGTCATACCTTGTATTTATGTATGCTTGATTTTCAGGGACATTAACAGCTTGCCATAGAATTTACAAAAAGATAGCTTTTCATTATCTATTTGGCATAATTATATTGATTGTTACCATATTGAGGGTTCAGAACCACTCAGAAACAGTAATTGGGCACTTGAGGTTGAAATGTTTCTTATCATTTAATTTCATTCAGAAGTTCTCAAGCACTTTCTGTTTCTTGAAACCCAGATATGTCCAAGATCTATAACTCGGACCAAATAAAAAAATTTAGTTAATTTCAGTTTATGGAACCTTTGGATTTTTATTTAATAGTCCTTTCAGTTTAAGGTATAGGGGTTTTGATGTAATTTTTAATTTTCATTATTTGGAAGGAATATTATGCCAAATGAAGGGGGATGTTGAACAACTCATATTTCAAGGATAAAGAGAGTTTATAAAAGAACACCTCCCAATAATGTAGAAATGTTTTGTAATTCATATACACATTGCGCTTTAACTGTCTCTATTATATATTTTCACAGTATCATGAAGTTTGTATACAATTGCAAGTCATTGCAAAAAGAAATTACATAAATTTTGTTTTTGATTAAATTGTTATTGCAATAAATATGATTTGTTATATTGGCTTCCATTAATTTTACAATCTAGGAAGTGGTTAACTTTGAGGCTCTGGTACGTTCTTGACTTTTATAGGGCTGTATCATTAGGACAAAGTCAAGAAATTCTAAACAATTACTTCATAATGTCTCAATTTTTTTAAGCTTCCGTAATCAAAGATTCTGGGGTATATAGTTTTTGCCCTGTCCGTCCGCCTGTCTGTTTGTCTATCTGTTTGTCCGCAAAAACTTTAACATTGTCCATAACTTTTGATTTGCTGGAGCTATGGCTTTCATATTTCACATGTATATTCCTTGTGACAAGACCTTCCTTTGGGTACCAATATATCTGACCTCTTGATCTTTGAGTTTGACCCGCTTTTGCAAAAAATGTATCCAACTGTAACCTTGGCCATAACTCTTGAACAGTTGGTGCTAGGGATTACATATTTCACATTTAAATTTATCGTGACAAGACCTTTCCACGGGTTTAAATATTTTTGACCTTGACCGTATAGTTTGACCCACTTTTAAAAAACTTTAAATTTGGCCATAATTTTTGAACAGTTAGTACGAGGGCTTTCAAATTTCACAGGTATATTCCTTGTGACAAGACCTTCCTTTGGATACCAACAATTTTGACCTTGGAGTTTGACCTACTTTTGAAAAACGTTAACCTTCGCCATAACTTTTGAACAGTTGGTGTTAGGACTTTTATATTTTGCATGTGTATTTCTTATTATAAGGTCTTCCCCTGCGTACCATTAATTTTGACCTTGACCTTGGAGTTTGACCCACTGAATGGTTTCTGCTTGGGCTTTCGAATTTACCAGGTATATCCATTGACATGAGTCCTTTGGGTAACAACATTTTTGATATCTTGACCTTGACCTTGGAGTTTAACTTGCATTTGGGAAACTTTAACCTTCGCCATAAGCTGTCATACGGGGGCATCAGGGTTTATGCCTACTATGGTTGTAACGGGGAATCGGTTCGATTCCGGAGAGGGAGCACAAACACATCTTGTTTAAAATGAAAATTCAAAGAAAACTGGGGTAGGGTGGGGACTGCAACCCCCACAGTCCACATTTTGGACTTCGTAGAAAAAGTTTAAGTTGCAATGTTCTAAAAATCTATATACATGGATTTGAAAGGCTCGGTGTATCTTTTTAGTTTCCGTGTGGATATGAATAGATGTTTGAGTTTGCATCCGGTCTCTTCATCTTGCTGCTAATAATCTTGAAAACCAAGCTTTTAAGGAAAGAATTCAGCATTTTTGGACGTATATTTCGTTCAGGCGTCTTGATGAGCCACAGTAGGGAATCAAAGTTTTATATCGAAACATATAGGACAATTCTTCTTAAGAACCACAAGACCAGAAAAGATGAAACTTATGTGGAAGCTTACTGAGGTAGAATAGATTGTAAATTGTTCATATCTTGGTCCCCTGGGGTAGATTGGGGCCACAATAGGGATTACATAGGGAAAAATCTTTAAAACTCCTCTTCTCAAGAACAGCAAAACCATGATAAATCATATTAATATGCAAGCATCCTCTAGCAGTGTAGATTCATTTTTGTTCAAATCACGGCCCCTGTATGGGTGGGGCCACAAAAAGGCGATCAAAAATACGGAGGAATACATGTATATTGGGGGGGGGGGGATCTGACGCAGAACAGGAAGACCAAAGTGACTCAGGTGAGCATTATGGTCCATGGACCTTTTGTTTGAATACCTACATCGGTGTTATCTTTTTGGACCATCCATTTCGGAACTTAAAGAAAGAAATACTTTTGAGGAAGTCTTCATTCTGACCATCATTAAATAGTTGGGGTGTTTCCTTTGCTATTAATGTTTATTTCTTTTGAGGAATACTTATTATACTTGCTGTATCCAAGGACAGGAATAGATTGGTCAAATAGCTTGAGTTAACCTTGACTGCATTACTGGTATTCATAAGGGAACCTTCATAAGTACATTTACTTTTGTTGAAGGTGATATATTCTGATAATCTTCTCATTGAATTGATTTAGAATTAAATGTTTTCAAACTACCATGAGAGTTTTTGGGTCGCTTTGACCTAGATTTTGTTATGATGGAAAATAATCTCTATTTTGGCCAACCTGTCGGTTCCCAATTTCCTTTTAGGTACATGTACATTAAGATTCAACACATGTTTTTTGATTATCAAATTGTGTGTTGACTCTTGATATTTACCTTTCATTTGTTTAAAAAAAAAAGGGGGGGGGGTCGCAACTACTCATTATCAAGGAAAAAATTCAGATACCATAAGAACAAGCGAAATTTTATTTTAATAAATTGTAAGTGCCTCGCAATCCAGTCGTATCATCCTTAAATATTTCTTACTATAATGATCAAGTTAATAAAAGATATACATGTATATGTATCAATTCTATTAGTGTGTGATTTAAAATTATTTTATATTCAAAATTGCAGAGCTGATAGTAGCTCTCTGGGAAAGAAAAAATAGGACCCCACCCTTGATCACCAAAGAATAAAACATGTCGCAATACGTGGAATATTGAAATCCCTGATATTTAAATGCCCGGAACCGGTAAGTAAACTCAAAATTACACAATATCCTGTACTACATTTTTACCTGGACCATCATCAGCTCATGTACAAGTCATTTATACGTACGGTAAGAATTCTTACGAATAGCATTGCATTCTTCGTTTCACACAATCTCTCTCTCTCTCTCTCTCTCTCTCTCTCTCTCTGACACACGCATACATGAAGTGCAGTACGATTTGATAAAGTATACTGAGAACTTCAGCATAATACAGATTTATTGAATGTTTACAAAGTATATTTGGCGCAGTAATCATCTGCTTCTGTAAACATGTTCGATTATTTTGGAAATTCACTTGTATAGCCATGAATAAAATTCTGCAGAAGTACCCATTATATTCCGGTATCGGGTCCGTTCGCCCTATCTACCTGTTCGCATGAGTACGTTTGCCCAAGGTACGTTTGCCTGCAATAATTATCGTTCACCCTGCACCCCGTTCGCCCTATACCCCGTTCACCCTTTTGTAAATATGTAATTTCTGTTGAATTATATGTCAATTCTTATATTTATTCTTTAATTTTCATAATACAACAAAGTACCAAATTTATGATAGCTATTTTGTGTAATTTCATTTTTTTTTAAAAAAAAGGAATTTTATATATAAAAAAAAAAGATGGTAAACATTTTGTGATTTGTGAACTTGACCCTTGGATAGAAAAGGCAATTGGCTTGTCCGCAAACGGCAAAGTTTGTTTGTGTTTCTTCCTAGAGGTTGTTGGAATTTACCGAGTACATATAAAGGAAAACTTACTTAATAAAACGGAGTTTGCATTGATGGTCATGGATTGTTGATTATATTGCTGTCTATAGAAGGGCCCACCAAAGGTGAACCGACTTTACCCAGTCATGCATTTCTGGTCATGACAACCTTATCAACTCATTTTTATTAAAGGAAAAAGGATGCACAAATGGTTAATTTACTTTCTCACGGTCATTGTTGGGCCCCTTAAACCCAGTTAGAAAAGCATGAACCAGCAAGTGCGTTATTCACAGTATGTTTATTATTGTGTGTTAATATTTTCATGTTTCCTCTTAAAGCCTCTTCGAGAAAAGTTCAGGTAAAATACGTTTAAAAATGGCCGTTAAATACATGTATATATTTAGGTGAGATTCTTTGGAGGTAATAAGCATGATAAGTGACGATTAACTTTCAAGTTACTTATCACGTATTGTGATTTGCAAAGTGCAGTGACTTGCTATATGTGTGTTGATTAATGCTGTCATTTAAATACCGAATATTCTGTAATTAATGATTATTATTTACAACTGAAATACATGTATTGAACTAGCATTGGCAAACTCATTTTTTAATTTGGAATATATGTCAGTCCCCCCTTCCCCATACGTAAATTTGTCTTAGAACTACACTGAGATAATGTTTGCATAAAATAATTATGTCAACATGTATAAAATATATTATTACATTTTCAACAGTGAAATACTGTGATTTATTTATTGAATAAAAGTGATATTTTCTCACAGTGTGAAAGGATACCAAAATGATATTCTGTCACAGTGTGAAAGGATATCAAAGTAAGTAAAAATAATTTCTGGCCTGTCATAAGATAGAGATAGTACATGTAACTAAGCATCTTGATAGAGCTAAAACTGCAAATTCCTTCCCAAATATATTGCTAAAATCCATGCTTAATGTTTTCAATCACACAACTGCTAAGCTATGACGTCTCAACTGCTCAACTATGACGTCAAGCATATGACACTGTGTTAAGAAAAGACAGAGGCAAAGGGAAAATCAAAGAAAATGTAATAAACAGAAAATTCAATGTTTTGTAGATGAATATGGAATTTATTTCACTCGTGAGACAGGATTTTTTATATATTTTCACTCGTGCTTCGCACTCGTGAAAATATAAAAAAAAAATCCTGTCCCACTCGTGAAATAAATTCCATAGGCTATTCATCTACAAAACATTGAATATCCTCAATAACTTACATTATATAGAATTTCATGAGGGTAAGAGTCGATTATAGGTCACATGTACATTCTATTTTCCCTCTGAGAAGCATGCGTCCCATAGGCAAAATGTATATGTATAAAAAATGTGAGACAAAATATATATATACGAGAAATGAAGTTAATTCATACATATTTTAATCAAATTACATACCACTATAATTACCATAGTAGTAGTCTCTATTGTTATATTCATCTTTTCTGCAAATGACAACAAAAAGTACTTGCCTAAATTTTAGAAATTTCGAAAGAAATTAATAAAGCATATCATATCTTTAAGATTTAAGATTTTAAACTTTTTTTTTTTAAATCATGTTGTTCAGTATGGGGAAAAAGTAGTTTTACCAACTGAGAAAACTCTTTTATTCTATTTATAAATCGAACAACCCTTATTACAAATAACACAACTTTATGAAGATCGCAGTTCATATACATAATTACATGTAAACTTCATCACTAAAACGGGGTTGGATCGAGCCTTTTCAACCAAAGTTGGAATTGCATTGAAACAATTCAATGTACTCAAATTATTGACCTGCCTCTCACTTGTTCGACTGAAACCTGATTCATTTTTGTAGATGATGATGTATCAACAAGCGGAGGGAAAGCAGTAACTTGATTATCATTATACAAAGATCTATACAGCGGTGAGTACTGTCGCAGCTATAGCTCGATCTTTTAGCAAGAATTTTGCGTGACACCAGAAACACCAAAGGGTGTTACAGGCCTGTAGGAAGCTATTTAAGTTGGGGTGCACAAACATTTTAAGTTTGGGTGGACACTACCGAGCGAAAATTCGTTGACAAGCTAAAACAAAAGGTCATCAGACGTTATTATTGAGGGGGACATCCATAAAGTCGCTTTGTTTTTTATAGTATACTATATACCGGCAAAATTATAGGGCGGGGGGGGGGGGCACCCGGTTCCTTTGGCCATATGTTATACATGTACTTAAAAATTTAAGCCGTTTTTGAATTAACAAAACTGTAGAAGAGAGAAAAATAAAGGTAAAAAAAAATCCTGATATATTTAATCAATTTTTCTTGGGCTATATACAATTTAAACATACAATTTATTGTTCAGTTTGAGTTTGAGAATGGACAGGACCTATATTATCGACAAATTTCAAAAAAACACTAGGCGTAAACTTCGTCATTAAGAAAATAAGTTTAATATAAAAACAATTAATGAAAGAATTTTGAATCAATGTTAAGGAATATAAGAAAAATCTAATAGTTTGCAGTTTCTTTCTTAAAGAATAAATGTTCTCCCCTCCTTCTCCATGAAATTCGAGATACTGGCTTTTTTTCAGAGGAAATTAATTATTAAAAATGTACAGTATGGAATAAAAATTTTTAAAAAAAAGTCAGAGGTGGATCGGGTGAAATAATTCCACATCTATAAATTTGTGGATGTTGAGAGTTTTCTCGATACATGTATATATTAGCATCAGATGAAAGATAAGCTATAGAATACTGCTTATAAATATTAATTTAATTCCTATAAAGCTTTGGTGTCTAGGCATGGCCGTAGGAACCAGGGGCACCCCACGCCGATTTTGCACATATATATTATACATGTACTATAGAAAACATATCTACTCTATGCTTGTGCTCTTTAAATAATAATGTCTAATGCTCTCCCCCTTTTTTGCTGTCAAGGAAGTTTTGTAGTGCCAACCCTCCTCACTGAAAATGATTAGTCCCCCCCCCCCCCCCGAACTGAAATTGCTTCCTACGGGCCTGGTAGGGACAATAAAATTGTATTAAACAAAAAATTATACAACCTCCTCTCTCTTTTTATTCTGAAAAAAATTAAGGAAACATTGAAAGGACGTTCACAAAAATTCAAGGACAGCAACAGGTTAATAGTACATGTATTTTAATTTTTTTATGCTTCAGAAATATACGAAAATGACAGCAGATTTTATTATTTTGTTTTTTCATGCTTCACAAATATTTGAAATGACAGCAAATTTTATCAATTCGTACCTAATAGTTTTGATGTACTTTTGTTCAGGGGAGATACTGTACTTTAATGAATAAACATGCATATCCTTCAAGTCAGACCAACGCCCGTGTACATAAAGAATGGATTTTTAAAGAGAGAAAAAAAATCTTTAAAAAGCACTGTTTATGATCAGCTACATGTAATGTTATTGTTTATAAACAAAATTCTATTTTCCTTCGAACTCAAATGAAAACTGACTGTGGCTGTATTTCTGTATCCGACAGGTTAACAATATGACCGACGCCACACCATCTATACCAAGAACTATTTATTCCAATGTATATTGCCTCTCATACATGTATGCATGCCTTTGTCTCCAACATTAAGATTCTCAAGGAAACAAAACACTTATTATGTTTATTATTATGTTTATTAACTGTCTTCGGAAATATCGGGTTGATCAATCTCATAAACGACTCGCCGTACATGAGACTGATCATCAACCCTGTATTATATTTCCGTTGTCATTCAGTAACAAATTTTATAAATAATAATCTCACTCCCTATAATATTATACACTCTAGACAGACTGCATTTAATGAATACTATTTTTCTGGTGTTGCAGATGGGTTCCCATATCAAATACCAGGTGAACATTCTATTCATCCTTCTAAGTCTATGCAACGCCGAAGATATAATTATTAACACAAGATTAGGACAAATAAGAGGTTTAATAAACACTACTGGCGATAATACTGCTTCCGTCTTTTATAACATTCCGTTTGCCAAACCACCAATTGGAGATCTTCGTTTCGCCAAGCCCCTACCTTATGGTAACTGGACTGGTACTTTGAATGCTACAGCATTTGGAAATCAATGTATGCAGTTTGTGGATCCAAGTTCGCAATTGCCTGGAGTTAAAACCTCCGAAGACTGTTTATACCTCAATATCTTTATTCCAAATAATGCCTCCGAGTCCGTGAAGAAGCCTGTCATGGTTTGGATTCACGGGGGTGGTTTCTCAGTTGGATCAGCGCATATCTATGACTCAAAATCTCTATCTTTACAAGGAGATGTTATTGTTGTTACCATTCAGTATAGACTTGGGATATTTGGATTTTTCTCGCTTGGTACGTCAGAGGCTTTGGGGAATTATGGTCTTTGGGATCAGATGCTGGCATTGGAGTGGGTTCAGCAGAATATAGACTCTTTTGGAGGGGATCCCTCCTCTGTTACAATATTTGGGGAGTCTGCTGGAGGAGCAAGCGTTTCTCTTCTTGCTTTGATTCCACAAAACAAAAATAGATTTCACCGAGTGATCGCTCAGAGTGGTACCATGACGGTATCATGGGCCTTAACGAACGCTTCAGAAGCTTCATACGCGATTGGAGAACTCACTGGATGTTCAAAATCTTTACAAACAGCTGCATTTGTAAGTTGCATGCGTAATAGTGCAGCTACGGCGCTTTTAAATAATTTTGTCGGATACAGCTATCGAATGCCGAACAGATTTGCATTCTCTTTAGAAATAGGCCCTGTTATTGATGGAGAATTGTTCAAAATGACCCCAAAAGAAATTCTAAGAAACTTTTCATCCGAAGAACACAAGTTTTTCTCTTCTTTGGACTACATGACTGGAACAACTAAATATGATGGCAATATTTTTCTAACGTCAATGACTGAAACGTTTCAGAAACACTTTGGATTCAATTTGACTACAGGTGTAACATCAGAGCAGTTTTGTAACATAATGGTTTCTCCTGTTATTGTTAACTTCTTTCAAGACAATCCATTCGTCTTCGAGGAAGTCTGCAATGAATACCAGGTAAAAAACAACGTTTCCGAGCAAAGTAGACAGATGGTGAACCTTTTTACAGATATTTTCTTTGATTACCCAGCATTTGAGAGTCTTCGATCTCATAGTCAAGACAATATTAAGTCAAACACCTTTAACTACGTTTTCGAGTTTCCCGGACCGTCATTTGTACTAACCTCGCCTCCGCCTTGGTACGTAGGCCCTGGTCATGCCGATGAATTAATTTATCTATTTAATATGTTTCCTTTAACTGGAGAAGGGAAAGCTGTTTCTTCTGCCATGATGACATACTGGACAAATTTTGCAAAAAATAGGTAATAATATTTGAAATCTCACTATGCATTCATAATTAACTGGCTGGTATATATGTATATATACTAGTGTATATACATATATATATATATATATATATATATATATATATATATATATATATATATATATATATATATATATACCTTCTCCCCTAAAAAGCCACATTACTAGTCAGGAAACTGGCAAAAATTTCCCTAATTACATGTACCTTGTGAAAGTAATTTTACTTTTAGGAACTATCTGACTTCCTGAATAATCTCTTTAATGTCTGATTGGCTCAGACCTAAAAAAAAAATTATTAACAAAAGACTTTCGAAGTATTTCGGAAATATCTCTTAACATGACACAAAAATTCATATAGCAGTTTTAAAACTGAACTGATGTTTTTTTCAAATTTACTAGTATATGATTTTTAAAGATCGTTGATGACATTTTTGATGGGCTGAATTATCACTAAATATAACTCTGTACATGTGTTTCCATACAAAATCCTTTTGGCTAAAATTATAAAACTTAATGTTTAGATAAAAAAAAAAACAGGATTATATTTCTTAAAATCAACTTCAAGTGAATAACAAATCTTTTTTGATAAGCCAATTAAGTTTCGAGAACATTGAAATTCAGATGAAAGGTTTTGCTTGTACATCTTTTCCTATCTTTTTTCAGAGACCCAAATGACCCATCACTTCCAGACTGGAAAGTTTACGACAATCAGAAAGAAGCTTACCTGGCAATCAATGCAAACCATTTAACAGCAATGAAGTACAAAGAACATCGTATGCAATTCTGGGACCAAGACATACCTCACTTAATGGAATCAGCACCTACAGGAACAGTCACGATTCAGACCAAACTGGGTCCTATGACTGGTAAAATAACTTATGTGGATTACAGTTTTCATAAAAAAGTCTTCACATTTTACAACATTCCTTTTGCCAAACCACCAGTGGGTAAACTTCGTTTTGCCAAGCCTGTGCCCTACGGAAGTTGGAATGGAACTCTAAATGCTACAGAACATGGAAACCAGTGTATGCAACTTCCAACTTATGAAATACCAGGGGTAGAAACTTCTGAAGACTGTTTGTACCTCAATATCTATGTACCAAATAATGTTTCTATATCTGCAAAGAAACCTGTTATGGTATGGATACATGGTGGTGGATTTACCGGAGGATCAGCTCATGCGTACGATTCAGGCGCTCTTGCTTTACAAGGAGATGTTATTGTGGTAACCATTCAGTATAGACTTGGGATATTTGGATTTTTCTCGCTTGGTACATCAGAAGCTTTGGGGAATTATGGTCTTTGGGATCAGATGCTGGCATTGGAGTGGGTTCAGCAGAATATAGACTCTTTTGGAGGGGATCCCTCCTCTGTTACAATATTTGGGGAGTCTGCTGGAGGAGCAAGCGTTTCTCTTCTTGCTTTGATTCCACAAAACAAAAACAGATTTCACCGAGTGATCGCTCAGAGTGGTACCATGACGGTATCATGGGCCTTGACAAACTCACAAGAAACTTCGTATGCAATTGGGGAACTTATGGGATGTTCCAAAACTTTAGAAACAGCTGCATTCATCAATTGCATGCAAAATAGCAATGCCGAAACGCTTTTAACAAGTGCATTTGGATACATCTATAGAAACCCAAATGTATTTCCATATGCTGTTGAAATTGGGCCTGTTATTGATGGCGAGCTTCTCAAAGTGACACCAAGTGAGCTATTAAGAAACTTTTCATCAGAAGAATATAAGTTTTTCTCTTCTTTGGACTTTATGACTGGAACTGTTAAAGCAGATGGCAATGACGCTTTGCTTGCAATGACTGAAACATTTCAGAAATACCACAGTTTCAATGTAACAAATGGAATTACTGCTGATCAGTTTTGTAGCATATTTGTTCGTCTTTTTACTGTTACCTTCTTCCAAAACAATTCACACGTGTTCAAGAAAATATGTGACGAATACCAGGTGAAGAACAATGTTTCCGAGCAAAGTCGTCAAATGATTGACTTCCATACTGATTTTTTCTTTGCCTACCCAGCATTTGAAAGTCTTCGCTCCCACAGTCAAAACAATGTTGAGTCTAATACTTTTCATTATGTGTTCGAGTTGGACGGAGTGTCGATTTTGCTTGCCTCGCCCCCTCCTTGGTACATTGGCCCTGGTCATGCAGATGAATTGGCTTACTTGTTTCCTTTTTATCCCCTCAGTGGACTTTGGAAGTCAGTTTCAACTGCTATGATGACATACTGGACGAATTTTGCTAAAAGAGGGTATGCTTTTTTATTTCTCCTTTTCGTATTAATATAACTAATATCTACATGATTCTTTCAAGAGTTTATCGGAGCCAAACATTATAATTGCAAACTTGAAGAAAGAAAGACACATAAGTTAATATTCTTGATTTATGGTACAAAAGGAAAATTTGACAAGTTTCTATATGTGATTAACAGAAAATTCAAGATCAAGATATATATTGTTATAGAAATTATTTTATTTCATGATTCATGTATTGCATGGAGAATCGAAGAATCAAAATTCTTTCCAATCCAGAAACGTATGATTCATTACTCCCAGAAATTAGTGATGGCTTGTTTTCTTAAAAAATATACTGGGATTTTTGTTAACAACAGACCTTTCCCATTATACATACTAGTATCTTTTTTCTCTCTGGGAGGAATTTAATAAGTAATGAAAATTTGGCGGCATCCTTAAAAATCTTTAGAATCACTGGGCCCAAGAAGACTTAACTAAAGTGGAAGTCCCTTTTACAGGTGTAGATTCAAAATAGTTCAATTCATGGCAACCAGGGGCAGGGTTGGACCACAATAAAGGATTTTTTCTCTTAAAAACAGCAGGGCCATAATGCGCCATATTCACAATCAAGCCTCCTCAGGTAGGGCATATTTAAAAATGTTCAAATCATGGCTCCAAGGGAAATGTTGGGCCAGAATAGGGGATCGAAGTTTTACATAGGTTAATGGTCATACTCAACGTGCATTACAACGTATTGTACCCATTGACAATATTTCAAGTTCTTCGTGATCTAGTGCATCAGAAATTCTTCTGATTAATTAATTATCTAATTCTAGAGAAAAAAATCAGCATACATCATAGATATCAAATGATGAAAATCCTTGGTTATAAGATATTTTTATAAAAGTACCAACCATATGAAGTTTTAGTCTTTATTTTGTTTTAGAAGAGGCGTACAGCATCATTAGGCATAATTAAAGTCCCACACTGGGTCTTTATGATCAATATTTGAACTCTTTAATAATACTCAGTGTTTTCATGCAAAATTGAGAAAATAATTTATTTAAAATTTTAAGAACTTTTTAACACTTGGTGCAGTACTCCAAAAATTGAAATATTCTGCAATCTTAGACTAAAATATCATAAACCTTTAAATTTATTTACTATTTTGTACAGATTGTCAGAACAAAATAATTAAGAAAATGGATACAAATTACTAGTGCATAAAAACCTTCTTAAACGTGAAAAGTAATACTGTTTCTGTATTTCAAGAGATCTAACACAAATAAATGAGAATACAAATTTGTACTTTTTTCAGTTTAAGGAAATTCTGTAAGTTTTCTGTTCGAAATTTTAGGCCGTAGATACCTGACACTTGTGTCAATGAAGGGCCAAATACTCAATAATCTTGATCATATCCTGTAAAGCTAAAGTTAAATCGCGATAGTTGAGTTGTGAATTTTATGAGGTTGAAATTATTCATTAAAAATGTATTCTTTAAACTTTACTCTCGCAAGTTGTAGCTGTAGCTTTGCTCAGTTGTTGTAGTACGTATTGGATCAATCAAACTTCCTTGAAAAAGAGCGCACTCAAGGGAAGTTACTCTAGATCATGTAGATAATCGCGATATAATCTACGGATTTCGCTTACCAGCCCTGGTAAAATCCCAATGACGGAAACTTCATAGCCGGTGTAAAGACGAATAATGACCCCCGTAGAATTATGACCCGGGGTCATTTTCCGACGTCGAAAAATGACTCCCGGTCATTATTCGACGTAGAAAAATGACCCCCGGTCATTATTCGACGTAGAAAAATGACCCTTTCGCCCGTAGAAAAAGTGGCATCACCCTTAAAATCTGCATATCCTACGTGAAGAAAAATGACCCCCGTAGAATAATGACCCCTGGTAGATTTGATCAGAAATATATTTTTTTTTGGATTAAAAAAATTAAGAACTAATGAATCAAGAGGGCCATTGATCAAAATGCTCACCTGAGGTAAATTGAAGATATAGCGATGATCTGTTGTTCTCATTTAATCTTTCAAATGTCTTTTATGGTAAATTGACAATGTACCTTATGTGGAAATGCTTTAATTCTGATTGACTTATGTATTATTGTTTAAAAAAAACAAACTTTTTTTTTTACTTTCGCTTATACTATCCAGAGTCCAGAGAGAGAGAGAGAGACTTATACTAAGAGTCCAGAGAGAGAGAGAGAGAGAGAGAGAGATGTTTACAATGTCTATCTACCTTTTAATTAAGTTGCGTCCGAATGCCTTTTTAAGCCAATGATTTAAATAGTGTACATACATGTAATTTTCGGACATATAGCGAAAGTGCCTTACAATTTTTAAAATAAGAAGAATTACTTTTTTAGAGACTTCTAAAGTAACCGCCGTCACGGTAGCTCAGTCGGTAAAGCGCTCGTCGTGAGTTCGAATCTCGGCTGGGACTGACCTGAGTCGATAAAAAATAGGTAGCAACTGTTCGAAGTGAAAGTTGCATGTCCTTCGGATGAGACCTTAAAAACCGAGGCTCCGTGTCACGGCAGGCGTTAGCACGATAAAGACCCCTCACTGCTCAGTGGCCCTGAGTGCCGAATAAAGGTCTAAATTTGAGGCCCTTCACCGGTATATGGTGACGTCTCTATATGAGTGAAAAATTCTCGAATTGGACGTTAAACAACATACAATCAATCAATCTAAAGTCAACCCGTTTGTTAATTGGCCATAACGTATATAATCAGTAAAATATCGAAATATGAAACAAATGATAAAAAAGATCAAGACTAGAATGTATGCTATTGCAAGCAATAGTATGAGGGACCGTTTTGGTATTTACCGCCATTAAGTTATATCACCTATTCGAATGTGTGATATCACCTTTTTAGCTTTTGAATTTGTGATATCCCCTTCTTGAATAGGTAATACCACCTACCGGTATTCAAATTAAGTATAAAATAACAGCTGCTCCCAAGATTAAAGTGCATTCATTTACTCTATACAGGAAGCAAAAAGTTCAGTCTCTTTTCACTCAGATAATTATAACAGAGAAAAATATAGCAAATCTGACTGCAAGTGAAATTTATATAACTTCACAGGAATTGAAAACAAATTGCGTTTTAAATACCTTGGACTATAACGCAGGGGAAAAGGGCAACCCGAATTTGCTTATGGTCAATAGAAATCTAGTTTTTTATATGCAAACAGGTTATTTTATGGTCTTTTTTTTATATACATTGTAACTTAAAAACAGTGTCCCCTCTCCTAGCCTCTTTGTTCCAAATAAATGATCTTACAGAGAATATGCAGTTTATTTGATCAATGCAATGCCGACATACTAGAGGGTATGTCTCAAATTTAGTGCAGTAAGTCAATAGAAACTTTATTATCTTTTTGTAAAAGTTTGTGCAAGAGCAATGAAATCAATTTCATCAATTTGAATAACTGCTAAGGAAATAAAACTGCTTTTTGAAGGAGTTTTGAAAGTTCATCCTTTACTTTGCATTGAAGCTAGATTGTCTTGTTTTTCGCATTCATTTTTAATGTTATAAAAACGCAGATAAGTCATTTAACTAATTCAAATTCGTGATATAACCAATTCAAAGCAAAAAAGGTGATATCACCAATTCGAATAGGTGATATCACCTATTCGAATAGGTGATATCACCTATTCAACTCAAAAAGTTGATATCACTTATTCCAATAGGTGATATCAGCTATTCATTTCTAATAGGTGATATATATATATCACCAATTCAGAAAGTGATATCACCTTTTCGAATAAGTGATATAACCTATTCGAATAGATTATATCAACTATTCCATTTGAATGAATGATATCACCTTTTCAAACAGGTGATATCACCTATTCGAATAGGTGATATTACTAAATGGCAATAAATACCAATGCTGCGCATTATCATACAATAGAAATACACAATGATCCATAAATGATCCTGTAACGAAAGTTTTGTACCTCTGCGCGTTAATTCACTCGTTCGTTGTGAGAAAAAGTTTGTCCAATCGTTTCCACGGCAATGGAAACAGTTTTAAAAATCTTACATGTAAATGTAAACGCATTTGTGAAGTTTCACAAAGATTTAACAAACCAACCGTGAAAATATTAGTTGACAATTTTTCCCCATGACAACGGTGGTCAGTTTCAAAAATCAAAATGTTTAATGAACATCTAGAGTAACCTTTGACGATCGTCATTTCTGAAACGTTTCATTATTTTTAAGTTTATCAAAGTCATGTCCGAGAAAATGTTCAGACAATATAATAGGTCTGGCGACAACAATATATCGTCCTGACTTCCCTTTTACCAATAGCCACTGTAACGTATCTATTGTGCAATTTTAATCTTGGGCTAACACAATAGGACTAAAGAAACATATGCAATGTTTTTACACAAATTTTAACTGCGTGTTCGTCTAGTATTACATGTAATCAGAAAAAACGCAAGAGAATCCAAACCTTGGCATCAATCATCTCTTTAGAACTTTGTATCAATCTGTTGCGATGTGGGTCATTTTTCAACGGGGGTCAATTTCTTATAGGTTGCACATATAAAAAAATGACCCCTAGGGTTCTTTTTCTACAAAAAATTAAATTTTTCTACGGCTAGGGAGTCATTTTTCGATGACCCCCCGGTCATAATTCTACGGGGGTCATTATTCGTCTTTACACCGGCTCTTATTGAAAACACTGTTAAATATACATGAAATAAGAATAAGAAATTCAGAATTACGTTGCGTGCGTCCTTGAAAAACCTTCCCTTGAACAGCTAGTCATGCTTAGACATATTAATATGTGAGTATTTTAAAGTAATGTAAATTCGAATTTGTTTTAAAATATGGTCCTGAGGATAGGATAAGCCATTAAAGGGGTCAATGTTTTACATGGGAATATATGGTAAAAATTCTATTTCTTAAGAACAATATTAGTGCTCTAATTGGACTTTTGCGAGAAGCACTGACTTTTACAGTCGATGGCTTACTTTGACATTTAAACCTGCCTTGTGTACGGAGGCACGGAACTGATAATAGACAAGAAAACCCTATTAGTGGTTATAGGTATGGTGGTAGGGGCACTAACATGATTTACCAGTATGCAATCAATGCAAGAGATGATGAGAGGCAGAATTACATACCTTAAATTACCTTTTTCGTGAGGTTAGTACCTTCTTTCAATCTAATTTTTCTGAAGGAATGAAATAAGGAAAAAAACATATCGGAAGAAAATCTAAGCAAGAATTGGTCAATGTGGTAATGGAGGGGGTTGAGGGTAGATTGGATGCCGATCCCTTCCTAGACAACGTAATATTTGCTTTGAAATGGCCCATTATCATCGTTTAATTAACTCTTGAGCTTAATGTTTATATTGCAAAAGAGCTTCCGTATAATGCCCTAGTGTAAAAGTAAGTCGTCGTTTGTAAAAGTCAGCGCTTCTCGCAAAAGTCCAATTAGTAATGCTAATATGAGAGCACTATCATATAGTTCATACTCAAGTTTGTTCAAATCATGACCCCTGTTGATAGGATTAGTTCACAATAAGGGATCAAAGTTTTACATTATTAAACTTTATTTTTCTTCAAAAATTCCAAGAATTCACCCCAACAAATATAAAAGCATCCTCAAGTGGAACAGATTCAATTTTGTTCTATTGAGGGCCCTAGCGTAGGCTTAGACCAGAAATCTAGTAAGGGATCAAAGTTTACAACGTATGTATGCGGAAAATTTTTAAAATTTCTTCTTAAAACCAGCTACTGATTAATATAAATAAAAAGATGGTAAGAGGGTGTTGATCCACAGTATTGTTATGGAATATATCTCTCAAAGGAATATATTTGGAATGTTTCAACTCTACAATAATTACAATATATAAACATGTACATAAACATAGAGAAAACACATACTAGGATAGTAAAAACTGACATGTTGTTATGGAATATATCTCTCAAAGGAATATATTCGGAATGTTTCAACTCTACAATAATTACAATATATGAACATGTACACAAACATAGAGAAAACACATACTAGGATAGTAAAAACTGACACACATTTTTGACACATAGTTAATTTAGGTCGTGTTTATTTACATCTCAATATTTAAAATAATTTTAAAGTCGCATATATTTATATTCCTGATTATATATTTCCAATGATTACTAGATTCCCATTTCTAAATATTAATTGAATATGGAATGCATAATCATATTCTATAATATACCAGTTTATTGAACCCAGTAAATTTCTCTTTATATATTTGGTCTAATAAACCTTATATGCAATGTAAGATTCTAAACAATCTCATAAAGCTCTTGAATATCCTGAATACAATTATCGCAAATTTCGCTTGAAAGTATACAATACAACCGAATTACTGTCGATTTCCTCTGCAATAAATTGACGGCATTTTCCATTTTCGGTGTTCGTTAAATAGAATAATCTGTGCGACTCTTTTGGCGCACTAAAAATGTTTTCTTTATGGTCCCTAGTGATTGTAAAAAAGTGAACTATTACACTGGGTAGGACACCCCAGCAAATTGAAAACTCGGGTATTATTGTAAAGCATACCCAACTGACACCGGAGCACTTGTTATTGAAAAAAATAACATATTTAAAGCTGGTAAACACAACGGGAAACATCGGAATTATTCAAAAGTTTACTGTTTTATTGCCACAACAATATCATGTTTCAAACGTGTGTTTGCTACAACATACAGTGATCCGCGTGGCGCAGTGGTTAGAGCGTTTGCTCTAGAGTCGCGGAGTAAGGAGCAGATCCTTACGTCGCGGGTTCGAATCCACTGTGGGACGTGGGGACCGGTCCTTCGGATGAGACTGTATAAACCGAGGTCCCGTATCTCAGTAGGTGTTGGCACACAAAAGATCCCTCACTGTTCAATGACCCTGAGTGCCGAGTATAGGTCAAAATTTGCAGCCCTCCACCGGCAAGTGGTGGCGTCTCCATATGAGTGAAAAATTCTCGAGAGGGACGTTAAACAACAAACAAACAAACACACAACGTACTGCATACCCATTTTAACGGCCGTCATGGCAATAAACAAGCGACCAGAAAAATCGGAATTTTGTGGGGGGGTTTTAGTGCAATTTTTACTGTAACGGCGAATATTATTTATATATTCAATATAAAATAATAAATATCATATATACTTACATGTTAAAAATAAATAATTAAACAATATTCAGCGAATCTAAGTACGTTTAATTTTATTGATGTACTGAAGAAGAAAACGAGAGAAACACGGCTGTGTTTTTCAATCGCAGAAATATGCCCCAGGGTACGTGTATTAAGTCAACTCTTGCCAGTCATGGCACATGTTTTATTTGCAAGACCATTTTACAGTTTACCTACACTCACAATCATTTAATAAGGTATTGCATTGTCCCATTTATTCACCAAAAGAAAATACTTAGTTCAGTAAGCACAATTTTTTGCCCGTTTTCTATGTCAGTCAGATTCAATTGTATTTCACTCAGATTCAATAGTGTCGTCACTCAACGCATCACTATTTCGGTCGTAGTGACACGTATACTTTCAAGCAAGATTTGCGATGAACTACACTGACAAATAGAAATTAATGTAACTAGAAAAAAATGGAATAACTCATTAATTTATAATCATTATCTGATAGTCTACCTGAAAGGATACATTATACAAATAAGGGTTTTAGGTTAAATGTAAACGCTGAACAAAGTCAACATAAAGTAAAATTAGAACAAAATGAATGCCGTGAATGAGTGAATATAACCGAGAGAAAAAAATGAATGAAAATAATATACACATTCTAATTTAAATCAGTTATTTAACAACCACCACAAAACAGCATATCCATTTGCAAGCATCATCAAATAGTGCATATTCAAATTTGTTCAAATTGTGGCCTCTAGGGTAGGATTAGGCCACAATATTGCTTCAGATTTTATGGAATAAGGAATTAAGTACTGTGGATCTTTTTTTCAAATTATGAACCATGGGGTTATGATGGGGTTAAATAATGCAATTAAATTTTATCATTATGCATGTATACAGGGTTAAAAATCTGTAGAATTCATTTCTTCAGATCGACAAGGTCATATAATCATTATCAAATTGAAGCAACCCGATGTGGTGCGATTCAAATTTGTCATCAGAGCGTTTGGGAAATGGTGGGCCGAAATACGGAATAATAATTTTTCAAGGGAATAAAGAGGGGAACAAGTCTTTAAAAATCAACTGAAGAATATCAGGGCCAAGTTGACTCTAGTAAGCGTTGTGACCTTTGCTTAAAGTTTCGAAATAATTAAAAATTGCTGATGTTGTTAGTGGTAGTGTAATCATTCACAAAATCATTTTGGCAAAAATAATAGTTAATATATTATCTTATTAAGGATAGCCTCAAGTTAAATTATATTATTTCATGGTTATTGCAAGTCAGTTTTTTTTATACATGTACGTGTGGTGAGGATAAAAATTTAAGATGAGTTGAAGATTATGATTCTGTACGTGCACATATGAAGATGTTAATTGGTGAAAATGTTTTTTTAAGAGACCCAAATGGTCCTTCCCTCCCAGACTGGTCAGCGTATGACAATCAGAAAAAAGGATACTTGGTAATCGATGCAAACCAATTGACAGCAATGAAATATAAAGAACATCGCATGCAGTTATGGGACCAAGACATACCTCAATTGATGGAATCAGCACCTACAGGAACAGTCACGATTCAGACCAAACTGGGTCCTATGACTGGTAAAATAAATTACCTGGATGAAGATTACCGTAAAAAAGTGTTAACATTTTACAATATTCCTTTTGCCAAACCTCCAGTAGGTGAACTCCGTTTTGCCAAGCCTGTGCCCTATGGAAGTTGGACTGGTACTCTTAATGCTACAGAAATTGGAAACCAGTGTATGCAATACGATCCAATGTCTCAAATTCCTGGAGTAGAATCCACTGAGGATTGTTTGTACCTAAATATCTATGCACCAAATAACGTGTCAGGATCTGTAAAGAAGCCTGTCATGGTATGGATACACGGTGGTGGATTTGTTATAGGATCAGCTTATGCGTACGATTCAAGTACTCTTGCTTTACAAGGAGATGTTATTGTGGTAACAATTCAATATAGACTTGGTATATTTGGATTTTTTTCACTTGGTAAAAATGGAGCATTAGGGAATTATGGTCTTTGGGATCAGATGCTAGCATTGGAGTGGGTTCAGCAGAATATTGAATCTTTTGGAGGGGATCCCTCCTCTGTTACAATATTTGGAGAATCGGCTGGAGGAGCAAGTGTTTCTCTTCTTGCTTTGATTCCACAAAACAAAAATAGATTTCACCGAGTGATCGCTCAGAGTGGTACCATGGCAGCACCATGGGCCATAACAAACGCTACCGAAGCTTCATATGCAATTGGAGAACTTATGGGTTGTTCTAAAGCTCTTCTAACGTCTGAATTTGTCAAATGCATGAGAAACAGTGATGCAAACACCCTTTTATACAGAAGTCTGGGATATAGTAATAGGAATCCAAATTTTATTAATTATGTTCCAGAAATTGGTCCTGTAGTCGATGGGGAATTGATCAAAGCTTCACCCACATATCTAATGAAGACTTTTTCATCGGAAGAATATAAATTTTTCTCTTCCTTGGATTTCATGACTGGAACAGTCAAATCAGACGGAAATGTATATTTGCTTGTAATGACTGAAGCATTTCAGAGACACTACGGAATCAATGTAACCACGGGTATTTCAACCGATCAATTTTGTAGCATATTCGTTTCTCCTATTTCGGAAGATCTGTTTAAAAACAATTCACTCGTTTCCAAGGAAATTTGCAACAAATACCAGGTGAAAAACAATGTTTCCGAGCAAAGTCGGCAAATGGTGAATTTTTTTACAGATGTGTTCTTTGCCTACCCAGCATTTGAAAGTCTTAGCTCACACAGTCAAAACAACATCCAGTCAAGCACTTTTCATTATGTATTTGAGTTAGACGTGCAGTCGTTTTTATTTTCTTCTCCTCCTGTTTGGTACATCGGACCTGGTCATGCAGATGAATTGGGTTTAATATTCCCTTTTTATCCCCTCAGTGGACAAGGAAAATCTGTTTCAGCTGCAGTGATGCGATACTGGACAAATTTTGCTAAAAGAGGGTATGTTTTATCTAATTACTGTAGATCACCAAACTTTTGCAACCCTTATTTTGAAGATTATTAATTGAGAAAAAAAATCCGATTTTTTTAAATGTTGTAAATAGACATATAATACAAATATACGCGAGGATGAAACTTTTGTGAGCAGACAGTCTCACGTAATGATGCTTTAAATTTAAAGTGACTTGCAGGAAACATTTTGCAATGAAACAGCTGAATTTTAATTCAAGTGCATAGAGTATTTACATTCAAGCATGCTAAATTTAAAGAAAGATTTAAAACAATGAATGCGTACTATGAGACAATTATGAAATTTATATTTATATTTGTACGGTCATTTGTTTTCTATCTTTCTTAGATCCGTTTTTTTTTTCGCGATGATCTCTTTTTCGCATTTTTTCATCATTTTTAATTCGCAAGAAAAAAACACGCAGATATTATGTCGGTTATTGTGTACCATAAAAACATAACCATTTTTTAAAGGTGCATAAACACAGATTTGAAGTTTATATTTTCTCAAATTTTCTGTATAATATCACAACTTATATGTTGCTATAGCATTTCACACGAAAATAAAATTAAAAACTTATTTTATCTGGAAATTATTGAAACTACGAATTTCGGGAGGCGTTTGATTAACACATCCTTGCACCTTCACAATTTTTAACTTTATCCTTAATACTTAAGAAAAGTAGCAATTTTGTTGTGTATAAATGAATAATATTACATCAATAATCCAGAAAATTCAGAGTAAAAATGGGCGAAAGCAAAACCCACTCACTTAAATATTGACAGCCCGTGCTCAGTGTTGTGTAGTTGTGTACAGAGTTTAACAAATTGAATACACCCGTGAAACGTAAACTGTTTTTGTAAACAGGGCACGAGCTCTGTAGTTGTTAATGTTTACGTTTCACCGGGTGTGTTCAATTGTAAAACTCTGCACACACCACTGAGCACGGACTGACAATACTGGTGAGAGGCTTTCTACATTTCTACTCTGAAATTTCTGCATTATAGTTTTAATATTTTTCATTAATAAACAACAAAATTGCTACTTTTCTAAAGTAATAAGGATAAAGTTAAAATTTGTGAAAGTGCAAGGATGTGTCTATCAAACGCGTCCAGAAATTCGAAGTTTCAATAAATTCCAGATAAAATAAGATTTTTATCAAATTTTCGTATGAAATACTATAGCAACATATAAGTCATGAAATTATACAGAAAATTTGAGTAAACATTAACTTCAAATCTGTGTCTAAGCACCTTTAAAGATTTTTGTTTTAAATCGTCAAAAATAACTTAAGCAAAATAAAAACAAATCTACTCTTTTTTGCAAAATTTCAAACACGCGAAGAAAACGGATATACAGTATTGAAATGCGTGATTGAAGGTGATAATTTAGGAAATAATCATTATACCAAAGTTTTATTTATGCCAGATATCATTTATTTATGACTCTAGCTAATCAACAGTAAGAAATTGAATTAAGATATTAACATTCTATTCTACATCTCTTTCTATAAGAAAGAGATTTTCTATGAGAACAAAGATTTGAAAACTTCGATGTATATATAATTTTATTATCTCTATTTAAAGTCAAATGTTTGTTATCATTACGGAGCTAACCGTCAGGGTAGCTCAGTCGGTAGAGCACTCGCTTCCTGATCGGAAGGTCGTGTGTTCGAATCACGGCAGCGACTGACCTAAGTCGATAAAAAAAGATAACAACTGGTCCTTCGCCAATCGCTCGGCACTTTGGAGTGAAAGTTGTGGGTCTTTCGGATGAGACCTTAAAAACCGAGGCCCCGTGTCACGGTAGGCGTTGGCACGATAAAGAACCCCCACTGCTCAACGGCATTGAGTGCCGAGTAAAGGTCTAAATTTGAAGTCCTTCACCGGTATATGGTGACATCTCTATTTGATTGATTGATTGATTGATTGTTGTTTAACATCCCTCTGGAGAATTTTTCACTCATAGTGAACCATTTGCCGGTGAAGAGCTGCAAATTTTGTCCCATACTCGGCACTTACGGCCATTGAGTAGTGAGGGATCTTTTTCGTGCCAGCACCTACTGCGACACGGGACCTCGGTTTATACGGTCTCATCCGAAGGGCCGGTCTCCACGTCCCACAGTGGGATTCGAACCCGCGACGTAAGGATCAACTCCTTACTCCGCGACTCTAGAGCAGACGCTCTAACCACTGCGCCACGCTTGCGACACGTCTCTATATGAGTAAAAAATTCTCGAATGAGACGTAAAACAACACACAATCAATCAATCAATCATTACGGAGCTCTGAAGATCATTTTCCGATAGCACAAAATATTTAAATCTTATTTACTTTTTGAGATTTAGTAATCAAACTATTTGCATGATAATATTTAGGACATCATTTGTGCGTTTTATGTTTTTGTGATATTGTGAATCTACTTCTTCAACTTTCATTAAACATTTGCGACTTATGCTAGGAATTAAAGGTAATTCGAACATATGTACCAAGTATTTATGGAGGATTTTTGTTACTATATAATGTTTTCCCTATTTACAGAAATCCAAACGACCCCTCCCTTCCAGACTGGACAGTTTATGACAATCAGAAACAAGCTTATTTGGCAATTAATGCAAACCAATTTACAGCTATGAAATACAAAGAACGTGACATGCAATTTTGGGAACAAGATATACCTCGTTTGATGGATACAACACCTACAGGAACAATCACAATTCCGACAAAACTGGGCTCCATGACTGGTAAAATAACTTATGTGGATAACGATAAGCATAAAAAAGTCTTGAAATTTTACAATATTCCTTTTGCAAAACCTCCAGTAGGTGAACTCCGTTTTGTAAAGCCTGTGCCCTACGGAAGTTGGAATGGAACTCTAAATGCTACGAACTTTGGAAACCAATGTATGCAGGTTGATCCTAGGTCTCAAATTCCTGGAATAGAAACTTCTGAAGACTGTTTGTACCTCAATGTCTTTGTACCAAATAACGTTTCTGTGTCAGCAAAAAAACCTGTTATGGTTTGGATACACGGTGGTGGATTTGTCGGAGGATCAGCTCATCTCTATGATTCAAGCGTTCTTGCCTTACAAGGAGATGTTATTGTGGTTACCATTCAATATAGACTTGGCGTTTTTGGATTTTTCTCACTAGGTGAAATGGAGGCATTAGGAAACTATGGTCTTTGGGATCAGATGCTGGCATTAGAGTGGGTTCACCAGAATATAGACTCTTTTGGAGGGGATTCCTCCTCTGTTACAATATTTGGAGAATCTGCTGGAGCAGCAAGTGTTTCTCTTCTTGCTTTAATTCCACAAAATAAAAATAGATTTCACCGCGTAATTGCTCAGAGTGGTACCATGGCAGCACCATGGGCCATAACAAACGCTACGGAAGCTTCATATGCAATTGGAGAACTTATGGGTTGTTCTAAAGCTCTTCTAACGTCTGAATTTGTCAATTGCATGAGAAACAGTGATGCAAACACGTTATTGTATAGAAGTCTTGGATATATTTATAGAAAGAAGGAGGTAATTTCTTTTGTATCAGAAATTGGTCCTGTCATTGATGAAGAATTGATCAAAGCTCCACCCACATATCTAATGAAGAATTTTTCAACGGAAGAATATAAATTTTTCTCTTCCTTGGATTTCATGACTGGAACAGTTAAATCAGACGGAAATGTGATTTTGGTAACAATGACTGAATCATTTCAGAAGCAACATCAATTCAATTTAACCACAGGCATTACATCCGATCAGTTTTGTAACATATTCATTCCTTCTATTTCGGTAGATTTCTTCAGAAACAATTCATTCGTCTCCAAGGAAATTTGCAACGAATATCAAGTGAAGAATAATGTTTCCGAGCAGAGTCGTCAAATGGTGGATCTTTTTACAGATGTGTTCTTTACTTACCCAGCATTTGAAAGTATTCAGTCACACAGTCAAAGCAATGTTCAATCAAACACTTTTCACTATGTGTTTGAGTTAGATGGACCATCACTTACGTTAGTTTCGCCTCCACCTTGGTACATTGGTCCTGGCCATGCAGATGAACTTATTTATCAGTTTCCTTTCTATGATCTATCTGGAAAACAAGAATCTTTTGCCTCGACTTTGTTAAAATATTGGACAAATTTTGCAAAATCAGGGTAATCATTTTTATTAAAATATAAAATATGACCCTGCAGAAACAGCACTTGCAAAATCTTTGAAAAATCTCTTTTTGACATTTTCGCATATTAAAGGTAAAGAATTTTTTCTCGAAATAAAGATCATTTTTCTATATCAATTTTGTTTACATCCTATTGTCCCTCAAATTAAATTTATGTTATTTATTGTAGGGACCCTAATGATCCTGAATTGCCACACTGGCCATCGTATAATACTGCTGATCGTAGCTACTTACGCATGGGGGAAGAATTTAAGCCCAACGTGGAATACAAAAGGGAACGTTTGAAGGTTTTCGATGAGGAAATACCACGAATTTTAAATGAAGCTTACCCTATCGTAAAAATAAAAGGAGGTCAAGTAAAAGGAATAACGAAATACGTTAATGGAAAGATGGAAACACCCGTGACTGTATTCTATAATATCCCGTATGCTGCTCCTCCAGTAGGTGAACTCAGATTTTCAAAACCAAAACCTTTTGGTAATTGGTCTGGTATACGAGATGCCACCAAACCAGGAGATGAGTGCTTGCAAACAGATGTATCTGGATTCTCAAAGAGTGAAGACTGTTTGCAATTAAATGTTTTTACTCCGTATAATAGCCTGTCCTCTTCGAAAAAAAGGTCTGTAATGGTTTGGATTCATGGAGGCGGGTACGAAGTGGGTACTTCATTGATTTATGATGGAAGTAATCTTGTAGTTAATGGCGATGTCATTGTTGTGACAGTCAATTATCGCTTGGGAATTTTTGGATTTTTTACACTGAATGATCCTTTGGCAAGAGGTAATTATGGACTGTGGGACCAGATTTTTGCTCTTCAGTGGATTCAACAAAATATTGCCTCTTTTGGTGGGGATCCATCATCAGTTACTATTTTTGGGCAGTCTGCTGGAGGATTTAGTGTGTCTCTTCTCTCTATGATCCCTGAAAATAAAGGTCTCTTTCATCGAGTGATATCTCAGAGTGGGGTGGCCTCTTCTCCCTGGGCATTTGGAGACTCTGAACCTGCAACAAGATCAATTGGAGACATGTCGGGCTGTCCCCGAACTTTGAGCAGTTCCAAGTATGTCGAGTGTATGCGTAATGTGGATGCAAATACCTTGCAAAGTTATTCAACTGCATACATCTACAGAGATCCTTCTTCGATACACCAGGTACTAGAATTAACCCCAGGACTAGATGGAGACCTGTTTAAGATCGCTCCCGAGGAAATTATTTCAAATTCATCCTCTGAAGAGCATAAATTTTTCACATCTCTTAGCCTGATTAGTGGAACTGTGAAGACTGAAGGATCTACATTAGCAGGAATGATTCTTCAAGAAGCAGTCCAAAAGAAATTCCATTTCAACGCATCCCTAGGTATTTCAACCGAATTCATGTGTGACAATTTTACTCAAACACTCGTGTCGGACTATTTTAATGGAAACAACCAAGTATCAAAGTTTATTTGCGATAAGTATACCGTCCATAACAACCAGACAGAGCAAGGAAAGAAAATGCTGGACATATTCACAGATTTTGCATTTTTAGCGCCTTCCTATGTACAACTTAACTCCCATAGTACCTTCAACATTCAGTCTAAATCTTACCAGTATGTCTTTGAGAGGCAAGGTATGGCAAACGAATATTCTCACTATTACCCTTCTTGGTATGATCCTCCTGGTCATGCAGATGATTTAGCCTACATATTTCCTGAATACTTTCAACTCACGGCACCGGAAGAAATTCAATACTCCAAAACCATAATGTCTTTCTGGACAAATTTTGCCAAACATGGGTAATTATACACATTTGATACTTGATTAAAAGTTCCTATAAAAAGATTTCAGAAACGTTAAAGGAAGAATGGTAGCGTTAGAAAATTAAAAATTGTAGTTGGTAAATTTTTCATTTTTTATGTGTGACACTGCATGAATATGTTTTTCTATGCTATTTGTTTATCCAAATATTCATCTGTTTTTTAGTTATAAGGTCTTCTTTTTTTTCACAGGGACCCAAATGACCCGTCGCTTCCTCTGTGGCCAACCTACGATTCATCAAAGGAGGCATATTTTGCTTTTGACGACAATCCAAAAGCACATGTGAAATATGAAAAAAGCCGCATAAATATCTGGGTGGAAAGCATTCCAAAAATAACCGAAAGTTCATCTACATCTGACACCATAGTTCAAACTCCAATTGGTAAAATACAAGGAGAAATAAAAATTATTCCAGAAAATCCAAACAGCAAAGTATATGTCTTTTACAACATTCCATATGCCAAACCTCCTATTGGCAACCTTCGATTTGCTAAACCCATACCTTTTGGTAGATTTGACAACATATATAATGCGACAAATATTGGAAGCGCTTGCTTACAACCTGCAGTTTATCCAGACATAAAAAGTTATAGTGAAGATTGTTTACAACTTAATATCTATGTTCCAAACAATATTTCTACCTCAAATAAAAAATCTGTGATGGTTTGGATTCATGGAGGTGGATACGCAATTGGATCCGCCGTTCAAAATGATGGATCCATTTTAGCAACCAAAGGAGACGTTATTGTGGTAACAGTGAATTATCGTTTGGGGATTTTCGGTTTCTTTAGTTTAAATGATGCTGCATCTAGAGGAAACTATGGAATATGGGACCAAATCTTAGCTTTACGATGGATTAAAGATAATATTGCATCTTTTGGAGGAAATCCAGACTCAGTTACTATATTTGGTGAGTCAGCTGGTGGATTCAGTGTGTCACTTCTTTCTCTAATTCCACAAAACCATGGGCTTTTCCATAGAGTGATAGCTCAAAGCGGAGCATCTCTTAGTCCGATAGCTACAGGAGACTCGCTTCCTGGAACAGTAGGGGTTGGCAAATTATCTCAATGCAAACTCAATGGCAGCAGTGAGGAATTCATCAGGTGTATGCGTAGCAAATCTGCAGAAGAAATATCAAAGCATTATTTGACATTTATAAGTAGAAACCCTTTACAATTAGCCCCAATACTTGACTTTGTGCCAAATATTGATAATGAGCTGTTCCGTCAACTTCCCTCTGATATATTGAAGAACACCTCATCTGAAGAATTCAAGTTCTTTTCTTCTCTAGATTTGATTTCTGGAGTAATGAATCAGGAAGGTTCCGTGGTATTTGATACCATCACTGACGCTATTGAAACTCATTTTAACTTTGACCTTTCAGTTGGCATGCCAACTGAGTTCGTTTGCAACTTTTATATCCCTGCTTATCTTGATTTCATCCAAATTCCAGGAAACCAACAACTCATAAGGTCGACTGTATGCGAAAAATATCGTGACGTAAAATCTCAGGAAAAGCAAGCAAAGGCAATGTTGAATTTTGTCGCTGATGTCCTTTTCACTGTACCGTTAGTAAAGGTCCTTGATGCTCACAGCGCAAAGAATGTTCAGACCAGGACCTTCCAGTACCTTGTGACCGAGGATTATCCGTATCCTTATTATTCATTACCCAGTTGGTATGAGGGCCCTGGCCACGCAGACGATGTTGGATTTATATTCCAGTACTACACTCCGCCAACTGATGGAATACAGGACTATTTGGCAGTTTCTGACAAAATGATTGCATATTGGAGTAATTTTGCCAAAAATGGGTTAGTGTTTTTAGATGATAGGGATGTTTTCTGAATTTGAATAAAACGGTGCAATAGGTAACGTACCATTGTGTTGCTAAAATTAAAAATAAATATTTTTATTGTTATCTTTTTACAGTGACCCTAATGACAATTCTCTAGAGAGATGGCCAGTCTACAACCCAGGTACAAGAGGGTATATAATCCTGAACAGAGACACCAAACCTGCCTCAGGGCACGCCGATAGTAGGATTAAGTTTTGGTTAGAAGATCTACCCGATAAGCTAACTAACAAAGTGACAACGACGGCTAAGCCATTTGTTAGAGATGGGGCTTCAAATGATAGAAATGGGGTTGGAAGTATTATACTGGTTGTAGCCTTTATACATTGTTCCTTTAAGTGTTGCTGATTTGAAAAAGGGGATAAAGCTTTTGAATATACATGTACATGTACCTAATGACTTTCCTGTGATGACGGACTTGTTTTTTTAATAACGGACTTTATTGAGAAAAGAATTAATTTTTTGTATAAAGAAATTGTCCTTTACATTTGTCGGGAAAATTAGCTTTTGCAAACATAAAAGTATTTTCTATTTTTCGTATCTTTGTAAAGTACTTATGATACTGTAGTTGGTAATAGTATGTAATCCACACATAATTGTTTTGTTCCTTAAATATATTTAATATTAGATATTTCAGTAGTATTTACTAAAAAAAATTCACTTTTTTACAAAAGAAATATCAATCCATTATTTATATTATGACACAGTGAAGTCAACATGGAACTCCTACATTGAACCGCATTTTTGTATGGTCTTTGATGTATATATATATATATATATATATATATATATATATATATATATATATATATATATATATATATATATATATATAAAGTTAATGGAAAAATACATACTATTTGAACAAGTTCAACTGATATTTTCAGATTAATTTGTCATTTTTTTTTAAAGTTATGGCTTCTTAAGATTGCATTGTAAAAAAATAAATAAATAAATAAAAATAACTGACTGGTAAATGCAAAAAGGAAATTCTTGACATAACTTCGAAGATAGCGAACATGAGATAAAAAAAAGACACTGTGTATTGGACGAACATCAAGAGGTCAAACTTGGCACAAATGTTGCATGTGACTAAAAGGTCTGTTATTATTCTGTCTGTTATCATTGTTCTAGATGTTTGTATAGGTCAAGGTCATACAAATTAAGAAGTTAAATGTTCTAATGTATAGCTATGACTTTTTAATGACGATGGTTATATTTCCATACTCAGCACAAAGATGTTATAACCTTTAACCATTCACAACCAAAATATGATTCAGGCATTGAAAATTTACAGCATACTAAGTACTGTGTTTCTTGCAATATGGCATTTTTATTTTAAAACTATTTTGAAGTTTGCCCTTTCTTTAGTTGTCCCGTTGTCAATTAAATTTATACAATCTTCATTTGTGAAAAAGACCTATTTTTATGAAATCTGTTGGAAAAAAGTTTTCTTATTATAAAAAATATAATGCCGTTACTTGGAAATAAATTAGTACAATGTAGTGTCTGTATTGTTTATGGTCACTGCACACAGAATACGTTTAATAAATGTATTTTATTTGAGAACTGAGCATTATGGCTAGAATTTTAACCACATTTATATGCCTTACAAACTAAAATTATTGTAGCTTCCAAAGTGAGTGGGGCAGTAATTGCAACTACATTTGTATAACAAGACATGAAAACTGACTTCCTCTATCAACGAAATTGGAAGAAGGTTATAATATCATTAGTTTTGTCTGAGTATAGGTGTCCACAAAATACATTTCTCTCCAATGTTTAGGTCGACTCTCTGTTGTAATTTAGAGTACAAAATGTAGTCTAGGACATTGAATACTTCGTAATTATTAAGATAGAAAAAAGATACCAGTGTTACTGGTTGAATATCTGTATTGAAATTGATTCAAATATGACGTTTTTCATTTTTTTAAAACAAGAAAAAGCCCATGGGCCTTACAGAACACCTGAGTATAATACAACACTGTAAAGGATCCAAAGAGGTATAACGCAAAGTTAACAGAAAGATGAAGCTATGTTACCCAAGAATTTCAAAAATCTGGAGAAAAAAATGCCCTTTCTTATTGTAACATGCGAGACCCGATCGATCTCCTTGGGATCATACTTGGTTTATCCAAGTCTTACAAGGATGATAATGAATGCAAAAATACACAAATACAATGGACACTTTCCTAGTGTGTAACGCATTTAATATATACAAATATGTTTTTGTCACTTGCCTAGTGCTGCAATTACATGTAAATACACAGAGAAATCTCTCATGTCTGTATATTTACTCGGGTGATGCTTCTTGGCTACACAAACAACTTAGCTGCTTGCCACTGGGTAACACTTGGTACCAACACTTGTCTCTTGGGTATACACACAACTTGGTAATACTTGTTACCAGCATTCACCACGCATGCACTTGGCTATACAACGGGAATATTTGCTACTTGTGCTACTTGTCACAAACTACATGTCCCCTAGTCACCCTGGCTTTCTGTGATCACTTGGTCATTTTGATAAAGTATAAATCAACTTCCTGCAGGTGTTTACCAACTAATCTATGGTCTCCATGACTTTACCTGACAATAAATCGACGATTGTCAAGCAGGACAACACAGTATACACTTAGTCTGTACAATTTACTATTTTGCTACATAAATAATCTTTATTTCAATCTTTTATAATGCTTTGCAGTCAAGAATCTGACTTTGAGTATGATTTGCTCATTTACACCAACCATTCATTTTCTATATATATAACATTCTTTCTTGTGTTCTCATTCAATCAAATAACCTGTTAATTAAATTATATACAAGGGTTTCTTGAAAAATACAATTTAGCAAAGGGGAGTAACTCTCATTTGCTTCACTCATTACATTTTTGAACTGTTTGCCTCCTAGATATCCAGGAGCAGAGAAGAGGCAAATTTTATTTATATTTATACATTTACATTCATATCATTGCATTTAGTTTGTTTGCTTAATGCTCTGGGGCAGAGGAGAAGATTTATCAAAGAATTAATGCATTTTCACTATAATCAATCGAACCCCGCCCTAATACCAGAACCCCTGATCCAGGAGGCCATGAAATTCACAATTTGGAAGAGGCACCTTTGCTCATCATAACTATGCATTTAGTTTGTTTGCTTAATACACAGGAGCAGAGGAGAAGATTTTCAAAGGATTAATGCATTTTCAATATATAAACAATACAGCCCCGTCCTAAATCAGAACACCTGACTCAGGGTCAATGAAATTCACAATTTTGGAAGAGGCACTCTTGCTCATCATAACTAGGCATTTAGTTTGTTTGCTTAATACCGAGGAGCAAAGGAGTAGATTTTTTAATAAATACTGCATTTTCACCAAATATTTAACAGAGCCCGCCCTAGCATCAGAACCCTTGAAGCTGAGGCCACGAATGTCACAATTTTGGTAGAGGGCTCAATGCTTACTATAATCATGCCAATAGTTCTTGACATTCAGGAGTAAAGAAGATTTTTAAAGATTGCATTAATTTTGATGGATTTAGCCCCACCCTTCAGGCCCCAGAGGGGAGGGGGGGCAGGGGCTATGAATTTCACAATTATGGTCCCCTTAACCCATAGATGCTTTATGCCAAAATTGGTTGAAATTGATTCAGTGGTTCCAAAGAAGAAGCTGAACATGTTCAAAAGTTTACAACCGACGAACTACGGACGACGAAGGACGACGGACGAAAACAGGTAGCAATAGGTCACCTGAGTGACCCAGGTGACCTAAAAATTATATAATTCTGTATCTCAAAAAACATCGTCGCCCGCGAGGCGCAGTGGTTAGAGTGTTTTCTCTAGAGTCGCGATGTAAGGAATTGATCCTTACATTGCGGGTTCGAATCCACTGTGGGACGTGGAGACCGGTCCTTCAGATGAGACCGTATTAACCGAGATCCCGTGTCGCAGTAGGTGTTAGCACGAAAAAGATCCCTCACTGCTCAATGGCCCTGAGTGCCGAGTATAGGTAAAAATTTACAGCCCTCCACAGGCAAGTGGTGGCGTCTCCATATGAGTGAAAAATTCTCGAGAGGGACGTTAAACAACAAACAAACGAACAAAAAATTATCAACAAAATTCAGTGACATTCTGTGAAAGACAGCAAAATATATGAAATGGCTTCCTATAAAAATCCACATGTCTGTAGATTATGCAGATAATAATAACGAACATTTAAAAGCGTGGATTTAATGTAGGTCAATACCCTCCTACCTCTCCAGTCCTAAAAAGCAAAGGTCGCAGACAAAAGTGTAAATCGTCGTACACTTCCACTTTATCAAAAGATTTATTTTCAGAAGTTTGGACAACATAAGTATCATAAGTCAAGAGAAAGTTGAAACAACGAGGACAAGATGGACAACGGAGAACGTACGGTTCAGGTGAACAAAAACGGCTGAAAAGATTTCAATCACTCCTTGAACTGCCCTGAACCTCCCATTTCAAATGCGTCCTGATTCTTGTTATTGATACTCATATACATATACATGTATATGTAAATTTTTCAATGATATGATACTTGATAGTTTGAGATGAATGACCCCATTAAATGTTTGACTGATTGGCGGGGTTAAGAACATTTTTTTTTCTTTAAAATGAAAATATAAAATACCAATTTATTTTTCAACAAACCTACACATTTATTTATGAATATGCGCATCATTGTATTTTCCATTTATGTAACTCGAGAGCTAACGTACATTGTATTTAGCATGAATATCCGTATCGAGTGTTTCTGGTTCCGGAACGTCATCAACATATTTAAAGTCAGCATTGTTATACCTTTAAAAACTAGTTCCTATATAAATCTATGCTAAAAAAGTCTTAGAATATTTCTAATGTTTTACTGAGCGGTCATAAAAAATCGATGTTTGACTGCAGAGTGAGATATTGGAGCTGTGGACGAGATATTGGACCGCTTAAGTCACATCGTGGGCGGGATCAGCTAAATCTTATTTGCATTCGTTGGTATACAAGCCAGCAAAAGATACATGCATGCATAAATAAATAAATAAATAAATAAAAGGTATAACAAAAAGCTTTTTGTCGACCCCTCGAACCAAACTGTTTGCCTTCGGCCTAACGGCCTCAGGCACACAGTTTGGTTCTTGGGTCCGACAAAATGCATGTTGCCCTCGAACCCAGTCAATAAATGTATCTTGTATATAAAGTTTTAAACTTTTAGTCCTACAGCAAGGGTACCCTCCTGTTTTATAAGAAATGGATTTCAGACACCTGGTTCGTGTGTTTATCTGTGTGGCTATCATGCTGATGTTACGTAATGCCAGGATTCATTACACAGGGAAGTCCCTGTACAGAGACTGTCATATATACTGATAAAAAAAATAAAAACAAACCAATACTAGTATACGTATTTATTGTAATTCTTTTTGTTATATTACTGTAGATTCCTAAATCTTAATGAATTAATTATCGCGTAATATCGCGAGAAGCACCACTCGCGAAATAAATTTACTCTCTTTTATTTTTATGCTACTGAAATCCATTTCAAATCTCTTGATCAACCGTCCACAACGTCCAATTGACGTCAAAGAGCCATTTCGCTATATAAAGTACGCGCGAAAAGTAAGTAATCAACAGTATGTGAAATTAATTTCGGAAACTCTTTAATCAATCGTGTTAATGTCTCTTTGCAGTTTCAGAGCTAAGAAATTGGTGGAATGCCCTTACTACGTACGGAGGTACAAGAAAAATTGGTTTGGATAGCGGGTTTGTATAACAGAAAAAAAGGTGCTTCTTCAAATCCAATAAGAGTAATTTTATGATGTAACTTCTCTTTCCTTGACAGTCTTTTTTTCTTCGAATAAAATTATAATCCAGTGAAGTTACGTTAAAATAAGCTAGAAATTATATGAATATATCTGTAATTTTGTAAATTTATTCATTTATTGGAAAATTTATTTACTTATTGGAAAAATTAGCCCAAGCCTTGCTTACACAATATAGATTATGATACGTAAATCAACGTTATCGTTTCTGATGTATTTATTAAGGATCGGACTGTGTTCGAGAATCTTTACAAGAACCATCTACAAGCGTAAACAGATGTCTTTATTCTGTCATGGATACACAGAAACAGCAAACAAATATTGTTCACGAGGTAATGAACTGAAACTTTCAAGAGGTTGAGGCAAAAATCTACATTCAGAACGCATTTCGTTTGTCTACTATTTTTAGTAACGGATCGGAAATTTAATTTAATTTAATTTACAGTATGTGACGATGATAAGTATGGATTTCAATGTCAGTATCACTGTTCCTAGCCCGAGAACGCTTTCGCTTCATGCGACGTCAACGACGGAATTTATACGTGTTTCCTGGTTGGAAAGGAAACGGATGTGACATTGGTATCAAGATATAACTAAACATGTTATTTTTTTTATGTTAAGTTAGTATTTTTAATAACAATGATAAAAACTATTCACTTTATTCATGTTTAATAAGTTAACCTGTCTTTCATTTATCATTTATCCGAGGAATTTGAATAAAATCAAAACCAGGGCACACCAATTTAATTTTTTGCTCGTCAGACCCGCGCGCTCGTATTTAAACAAAACTACATTGTATACAAATAATATTAATTTAAATTTCCCGCACCCGGGAAATTTTGTGCTAATTTCTGTTCTATTTCCGCTCTATAATTTTCTATTTGTATTGTATAATTTTTCATTTGTATTGTATAATTTTTATTTGTATTCTATATTTTTCTATTTGTATTGTATGCTTTTTCATTTGTATTATATAATTTTTATTTGTATTCTATAATTTTCCATATGCATTGTATAATTTCTTATTTGTATTGTAAAAGTTCTTATTTGTATGCGATGTTTTTTCATTTGTATTGTATCGAAGGATTGTTTATTTGTTTCGTTACGAAGGATTTCATTGGTCAAGTTTTAGCCTGTATCGTGTTGAAAACGATGTTCCGGGTGCTCAAAGCAAACTGGGATCGTATGTATTTGCATGCATGTTAGAGAACGATCATTTGATTCTAAAAAGGGAGTGCAAGCAGATGGCAAATGAATTATCTGTCCCTAGAAATGTTGACTGAGAAAATAAATAATATGATCTTGAGTGGTGGTACTTACACCCCACCCCACCTTCAAGAAAGTGAGTTTTCGGGTTTGGGCAGATTTTCTTCTTTTCCTTTTTCTCCTTGTCTCTGGTCATATTGGAAATAAACAAGCATTCTGAGAGTATTGCATTAGCAATACTAGTCCCCTACCGCAAGTGTAATCTGGTTCCCGTTAAAAATTGAAAATGCCATAATTCTGTCAAAAATCATTGAAGCGTAACGAAATGCAAACTTGATCTATAAGTAATCAAGGTAAAGGCACATACCAAAAATCAGCTCAATATCTGCAAGTGTTTAGAAAAAATCGAGGAAAACCCTTAAAAATTGAAAAGGCCGTAATTCTGTCAAAAATCAATGAGGCGGAACGAATGCAAACTTCATCTGTAACTCATCAAGATACAATGACATACCAAAAATCAGCTCAATATGTGCAAGCGTTTAGGAAAAAAGTGCGGAAAACCAAGTGGGACAGACTGACAGACAGATAGAGGGACAGACAGACGGACAGCTAGACAGACGGACGGACAGACTCAGAGGAAACCTGTAGTCCCCTCCGGTTTCACCGGTAGGGGATTAATAATCGGATTCGACAAAATTTGCCCCCCCCCCAATCAAATGGTCGCCTCCTAGCATGCACATAAGAGTGCGCGAACGGAATTCTGGGAAGGATATCAGACTAAGTTTGAGTTGGGCACCTGAACATCTCGCTCGTTTTGAACACCACAGACTAAAACTTGACCAATGAAATCCTTCGTAACGAAACAATCCTCGGATACAATTCAAATGAAAAATTATCGCATACAAATAAGAAATTATACAATATACTTTGTAAATAATACAATGCAAATGGAAAATATAGAATCCAAATAAAAATTATACAATACAAATGGAAAATAAAGAATACAAATAAATGTTATACAATCCAAATGGAAAATTATAGAATCCAAATGGAAAATCATAGAATCCAAATAAAAATTATACAATACAAATGGAAAATTGTACAATACAAATGAAAAATTATACAATACAAATAAAATTTAAACAAATGGAAAGTGATACAAAACAAATGGAAAAGAAAGAATATTGCAACGTTTGACATGCCATATTTACCTACCTTACTCTTTTTTTACTGGAATACGCATGTTCGACTTCACAGTAGGCCATTCTGGTAATAAATTCTGTAGATAAACTGTACCATGTCAATTTCGTTTTATCATCTGAAAATACATATGATCTGAAGGTTCATGTTTTGTTGTATAATATGTACATAAATGATTAAATGTACAAAAAGTGACGGTAACTTAGGTCTTATGATACCAAGACTATATTTGGTTCAGATATCTACTTCGGTGTTTTATGATGGCTACAGAGGTAGCTTACCTTTCTCTTTAAAAGATAACCTTGTAAAGTCATATTGTCATTTTGTATTTTTTTTTAATTTACCGGGTGGCAGTAGATGTAAAATTACAATATGGCAGATTCATAAATGTGACAACCCTCGAAAAATGAAACTAAATCAAAATCTAATTTTGTAAAATCATTAATAAAGAAGATGGGCGAATAAGCATAGAAGAAACACATAGATCGATAAATACAAATAAGACAGTGAAAATTAAATCTCAAGCATAACGAAACTTTTTCATTTTTCTAAAGCCTCTAAGAAAAAAAAAACTGATACTCACTTTATAGATTGGGTTCAAATCCCAAGAAGACCGGATTTTTAAAGCAGTGAATAATGTTTACCGTGAAAAATTTCCGAAGAAAAGTCTTGTTTGTTAATTATGCATGATTTCCATGCCTCTCAAAAATTAGAGCTTTGAATCTAAATACTTAAACAATTGGATTTTACACTCTTGAAGCTGTAACCATTTCGCACGCCTTGTTCGCCCATGTTCTTTTTTCATTTATTAAATAAAATAATTCTACAACATCATTCTCACTAAATATATACTTGTATGTTCATTATTACTTATATATGTATCATACGCCGTAACTTACTACAAAACTTGACGTTATTATTATAATAATAAAAATAATTTTTATACAATTTCAGAATTCGAAAAGTTTTGGTCATTCAATCTCGATCTCTGACGCTGAATGACTGTAAATTAAAACCTACTAATGCGTTACTTACAAATTCAGAATTCAAAATTAAATTTATATAATTAAAAATCTCAATTAACATCTAAAACGATATATAACTGTGTCTTGTTCTACCTTCGAAAATAAAGTTTCTTCCAGTAAATGACATAGACATCTCATTTCTCTATAAAGATTTATAAACTCTTATATAGATAAAATACAAGTATAACATCCCTGAGCCCTGAGTATTCACTTCAATATCAAACCCTGCGGTAACCCTAGTATAGAAATATAAGTTAAGGACCGACAATTGTTTGTAAACAAGGATGGTGGTCAAGAGGAAATCATGCGGAAATACTCACTTTCATCAGTAGTGGTATCATTGTGCCATCACGATCCCCGAGATCTTAATACATCACTACATACAATATATCCATCTCTTTCTCCAGAGTTTTATCTTATTTGATGACATATAGATGGGGATATTTCGACTGGTTGGTGTGTTTGTCTGTGGTTTGTTTGTGATGGATCTTATCAATTCAGTACGGACTAACATGACCGATAAAACGTGTACAGAACGATATACGTAAGTTAATTATTAGGTGATGTCCACTTGTGTGGTTATTGTTATTCAATTATCGAACGGTATTGAATGACCCAAGCGTCCATTTCTAAGAAGCTGATAAATTTAGCCAAATTAATTTGTCAAATAAAGAAGTTTTTTTTTTTTTTGCTTCTTTGGAAATAAAAAATATTCCTGGAATAAAAACCAAAATAGACAAATTCTTATCCTAACAATGATCTTGATGACAACCCCTTCTAATCCCGGTTCATTTTCATAAAATGATTCATTCCAAAGTTTTTTATTAAGAGCGTATATCTCGTTAATTGCACACACATGTATTAGTTACTCCCTAACTAATTTTCGATCGCCATGTTAAATTTATATAAATTTGGCAGATACACCCGTGTAGAGATTTATGAGGGATACACGTCCTGTCCTCACTATGAACAAGTCTGTAATGGTTGGTTCCTCAGCAGAAGATGTCGGACGTACACAAGGTAGAGCTAAGATAGGATTTGATGCCATTTAAACATTTCCTTGTTTTTATTTTTGATTATTGTGAAGAAATCCACTTTCTCTCTCTCTTTTTAATTAGGTATTATCTTTGTCCCCGACAAATGTCACGGATAGTTTATAAATCTCAGAATTTACCTGTATGTTGCCCTGGTTACCAGGAATTAGCCAATGGAACTTGTTTAAGAGGTGAGACAAACAAAGTGTTCCCGATATGAACTTATAGTCATGAAATTTTAAAAAAAAAATCAAAACGTAAATCTTTTAGACATAACTTGTTCTTAATAATTTATCTTTTTTTTCTCAGCATGTACAGAAAATATGTATGGGGAGCAATGTCAGTACAAATGTAACTGTTCTAACCATGCATACCAGGACTGTGATATCGACACCGGAAACTGCACGTGTCTTCCAGGCTGGACCGGAAGTAATTGTGACCAAGGTACGATCAGGGGATGACTTATCATTATTCATCGGAACATCGTCATAAGTTGCACTGATATTGTCCGATTTGAACTTTATTGACGTTTTGTTTAGTTGAACTATTGATTCAAGTCCCTATAGTCTGTCCACGTCAAAATTTTTATATATTATCTCAAAACGCATAAATAATATGTTGACGGTGCAACCGTTAGGGCGAGCGCAGATACCTTTTCGCTGTTTTCAGATGAGTGTATTGTTTATAAACTGTATTTTTAGACCCGTCTCTTCAAACCGCATGTGACATTTGGTACATCTAGACTCTGACGTCACATGACGTCGTATTTAGGTTGCAATACCAAACCGAAGCCTGAACAGTGCTGATTTTAATGAAGAACGTTTTATTTACTATTTTATCTGCAATATATCCATTAAATCAAGGCAAGTTTATTTTTTTGTTGAACTTTTGTTGTTATTCTCGCGAGAACGTAGCTTTAACAAGCGATGCATTGTGTGTCCAGAGTTACTGCGGAAAAAAATTCATTTGGATCAATGTGCAAAGTACGAATTTTCTCTTTCATTTGCCCAGGCAGCTCGCAGTGACGAGCGGCACTTCGCGCCGCTCGCTGCGCTCGCTGTAATGATCTTTAAATTAGGTTCTATAAATAATTATCATTATCACCCAAATTTTCTGCTTTGAAACAAGGTCATTTCAAATTTTTCATATATATGTGAAACAAGGTCATTCCAATATATATATATATATATATATATATATATATATATATATATGTTTAGCGTCCACATGTGCCTTGGTTTTTTTACATCCCAGGTCAGAAAAGCACACAAAATAAATAAAGATATATAAAATTATATATAATTCTATAGTGTGTCCTGATGGGTGGTTTGGTTCCTACTGCGATCGCGAGTGTCTCTGTCAGAACAACGCCACCTGCAGTCCACTAGATGGCGCTTGTAATTGTACATCTCCAGGATGGACAGGAGAATTCTGCGACAAGGGTAAACAGAAAGTATCAGTATAATATTTTATAGTAAATATTTAGATACATCCATCTTAATAAATACAGCAATGATATCAATTTGAAAGCTCTAATTCTATATACTGTGAAACCACTTATTTTCGTTGTGGTTTTATTCTTGTTGTTTTAGAGGTATAAAGAGACCAACAAATGCATGCTCACCACAAAATAAAAAAAAAATCATGTACATAACTACTCAACAAGTCTTCATCCATGAAATCAAATCCCCACCAACCCATAGTTTTCCTTGAAACCACGAAAATTTGACACCAAGAAAGTGTGTTATTTAACTGTATCTGCATATGAAAACTACATTTACATTTGGTATGCCATTGGACCATAGTATAAGGTATTTAAAGAATGCTAGAGAATGTATTTTAGAATTAATCATACTTATACCAATTTGTATTTTAGAGTGTAATTCTACAAAATATGGACAAAACTGTCAGGGTAACTGTACGTGCAGTATCAACCAAACGTGTGATCGCATGAATGGCTTATGCAGATGCATGGCTGGCAGAACGGGAAGAAACTGTACCGAAGGTGACTCAAACACCTAAAGTCCCTTGACTATATTGTTCCTCTACTTTTAAGATATTTAGAAAGACTGAAAAGCAAAAATGTTAGATTATACTTGAAGCTATAAAGTTTGTTTCAGAATGTCCTCTGTTTAAATTTGGCCCTGATTGCAGCAAGAATTGCTCATGCAAACATTCCACCGGATGTGATGCTGTTAACGGAGAGTGTATTTGCGAAGCAGGATTCACAGGGAAGAAGTGTCACAGAGGTTTCAGTCTAATTATAATATCTATAATAGTATACAAATTATGTTCGTATAATTAAAAACAATTAAATAAAAACATGTCTTTAAAAGGTCAAACTTCACCATTTCCTAGTATGTTCGTAAAGTGAAAACCAAAATTTCCCAAAGTTGGAAAAAAATTTTTTTAGAAACTATTTTATATTTATTCGCCGTTATATATGCTTTAGTTTGTGCCACTGGAACATTTGGTAAAGGATGCAATCAGACTTGTAACTGTACAGATGCCGAGATCTGTAATCCGGTGACGGGAGAATGTGTCTCACGTATGTACACCTAAGTCACTAGTCTTACTGTGATATGATAAATCACGTCAAATATTACTTTTTTTGTTAATAAGAGATATTGTATGATATAGGTTGGGTGATCAGAAATATTTTAATGCAGAAAAGAAAGGACATTTTTAATAGCATCAACCGAAGTAGCTAAAGCTAGTTGACTAGTATGCAAACTTGCATCATGTATCCCATGTACAGTCATGTTTTTCTTGCTCATTTCAAAATAGATAACAAACAAAGGTAATTATACAGAAATCTAAGAGTGTTTTTAATAAAACCTTTTTTTTCTGTCGTGTAGGATGTGTTTGCCATGAAAGAGGTACCGCTAACTGTCACACCTTGTATGATTCCTGCAAATGCTTACCCAACCACAACCACACTTGTCATTCTGAAAGTTGGTTTGCAAAGGAAAAGTGCAGAGGTAAAATACTGTCTCAAATGTTGCCCTCCACCTTGTTGTACTTGTGGTTTCCCCTGAATTCCATTTACCTATAGTTCTTGACAGAGATTCTGTTTTGGTTTGTGTTTTGTAGATGTCTGTGAGTGTATATCGCCGGACAGTACTTGCTGCGTTGCGAATACATCTAGATGTCAATGTAAAGACGGATGGACAGGTCCAAAATGTTCTAAAGGTGTGGTATTTCATATTTTAGCATTTCGTATTGTTAATTTTTTTCTTACATTGAAATTAGAAAAAAAAGAAATGCATGTCACGCTGCTTATTACTGACAATTTATTTCTTCAGAATGTCCTCGAGGAACCTTTGGGAGACATTGTGCCAACTTCTGCAACTGTTCAGCAGACGACCAATGTCATCACGAGACTGGTGCTTGTATTTCCAAGAGAAAGCCAGGTATAAGTTTGGGTAGATGTAATAAGAGCTGATAAACAGAGAGTGTGAAATTGCATTAATTAGACAAAAGTGTATACAAAGATAAAATTTGTTTTCACTTCAGCAAGTGTAAAATTGTTAAGGATTAAAATGAGGTTCCAAAAAAATCTTCATTAGAATTTTTTTAAAAAGTCAAACTGACAGAAATGAGTAACAAAAATTTGTTGGGACAGGTAGAATTTTCATTTGTTGATACTTGTGATTTTCAAAAGTTCTGATTAAAAACAGATATATACCTTTTTGCCCGTTCAAATCTTATTTCTTAAAGGAGTAGTATTTGAGAGAAGATACTCTATAATATGTAGCTAAACGAAATTGGCTTTGTAATCAATATTTTCTGAAATTCCCTACTATCATAGCTTAAGTAACAATGATTAAATATTTGTAGTGGCGGAGAAATCAGTCTCTACTAAATCGAGACAAACCTTCTGGATAATTTCTGGGGGATTTCTATTACTGCTTGTTGTCATGACGATATCTCTGATCATCTTTCTAAGGAGTAAGCATGCTGTATCAAGAACACCAAGGCAAGTCCCCCCCCCCCCATTTCTATTGGAATAAAGGAGATGGGCGAACATAGCGTGCAGAAAGCCTATAGCTTCAGATATGTAAAAACCATGTTCAATTTGTGAATTTAGTATTTAGAGTAAAGTTCTCATTATTGAAATTTATGAAATTATAATATACAAAACTTTTCTGGGGAAAATTTTCTCGGAAAAATTTATTCTTATATTAGAATAAATAATGTGGTATTCGTGGGGTTCGAACCCTGGCAATAAAAATTCCTGAGAATCATTTTCTTTCGAGACTAGCACGCTAACCACTAGACTACACAAGTCCTGATGAATAGTGGCATTTAAATCATATGTTTGTAATATGCCCCTTGACTTAATGGACTTCAAGTATTTCTCGAAAAGGTACGAATGTTATGTCATAAAAGTATATTTTTAAGGTATAGTGGGTCTTTACTTCATATTTTTGGTAACCAAAAAATGTATATTTTTATGCAAACTTAGAGGATTAACTGTCAAAAAATGGAGCGAAGACCCACTCATATCGAAAAATAGTGTTATAATATGAGAAAATGACTCTTTTTGCCCTCTTTAGTGTGTGCATAATATTTCATAAGCAAATAATTTCAATCTTTGTGAGATTATTGCCGATTGTAGAGATTTTACATAAAGTATAATTTAATGTTAGATGAAATATCAAGGAAAATTTTTATATAATTGAGATTTAATTTTTCACCTTCATGTTTGTCCCACTATAGGCTTTTCGCTCGTCATGTTCACCCATCTTCTTTTCGAAATGTTGCTAAACACAAATATCTGGTACCATCAGTGTTTAAAACCTTCCTTCAAAAATCATAATGCCGTATAGTTAACACTACTATATCACCATTTTGCAGAAAACATTTTTGTCAAAACTCGGACTGCTTTAATTGCTGTAGACCAAATAAAAAGGAATCTTTAGCGACGCAGAGATACACGGAGCTACAAGAAGATTTGGACTGGGTCGTTCATGATGAGGAATACGATCATTTAAATAGGTCCGGACAGGCCAAGTTCCAGCTCCAGTTAGAATATGATCCAACCTACAGTCATGTGTCTGACAACAGTACTGCATACAGTGCTATAACATCATCTTCTAACACAGTGACTTCAGAGGGCGATTATAGCCATATTAGTCTAGGGAATGCGACTTACGACACTCTGGAGAACAAAAAAGTGAAGTTTTCCGATAATGCAAACACAAGTTGATGCCTGTCTTCTTGATAAATCGTCATTCTTATGACAATATTCTAATGATAAATAATTATATAAATGTATCCTGGTCATGGCACCAGTTTAATGGTTGAATATGGTTGTAGGACTTTTGCCTAAATTTTAATTAAAATCGAAATGTGTGAATAATGATGACTGTGGACTCGTAGTCATATATTTTAAATGTGACCAATAAAAACGATCGATTTTTTGGATCTGATTCAATTCATGAGGTGTTACAAAAATACACTAATTATTACGACTGAGCAAAGTTTGAGTGACTATTCTGGAATATTGCTTCATCTTTGAAAGGTATCTTTGCGGATGAAAACAAGATCAGATGCATGTACATTGTATTTCGTCTACACTGAGCCACTTGGCACATTTTAAAGCTGAACACGATTCGTAAAAGGAATGTGTCTGTATATTCGATTGGTCTCTCGCTATATCTGAGGGCCCCTATATAAAGCCGCTCACTTAGTCACTGTTCAGTGTAATCAATCGCCACCGGTGTAGACGGACGTATGCTATATAGCACTTGGTAGCGACAAAAAATAACTGTGTACTTCTTCTAATCAAAACGCAGGAGAATAAAATACCAAAGAAACTTACAATAGTTGTACAGGTCAGTGCAGTATACAAACAAACACAAATGCACGTTACTGCAATAAAATGTAAACAAAGGTAATGCAAAATAACCAGCACGAACACGGGTTGCCATTCCACGCCGATACCCGTGACAATAAAGCAAGTGTAACGAATGCGAAGAGTATACCCCGGTGCTGATATCGTAGATGGTAATATCGAAAATGGCGTATGCCTATTTACGAGTCGTGTTCAGCTTTAATACAATATATATATATATATATATATATATATATATATATATATATATATATATATATATATATATACATGTATTCATTTTTATGTTCTGTGCGTATGATATGTACGGTATAAAATTGAAAGAAAAAAAAATCGACACAACTTGTTTTGATTTAATACATCGGTTGATTCAAAATCACAAGCACAAACAGTACAATCTGTAAAATTTCTCTTCAAATTTGATACATTTGGCTTGGTCGCCATATTTATTAGTTCTGTTTATATCACCTAAAAGTTTTATATTTCTTTTACCACGATATTCAACAGTCGTTTCAAATTGTGCCCCACCAGGCTTAGTTTTCAGAGTTACAAGAATACGAGTTTTTTCCTTGATTGACCATAAATAACTCCTAAATGAAAAATAGCTTTCGGCTCCTGAGTCCCTTTCCATATCAGCATATACTAAAGAGGCTTTTTCAATTGAGTCAAGGGACAATTTAGCACATCTGCCTGGAATCTCTTGTAGGATTGTGTTGATTTTATCAACAACGAAGTTTGCAACAGTCTGCACTCTTTCGTCTTGTGGAGATATTTCCTTAGATGAGTAACAAGGACAATAATGTTCTGAAATGTCTGCGCTTTTACAGCTCCTACTCGTCGGAATTTCTCGAAACAAACTGATTCCTCTCGGAATGGCAGTGTCGTCTATTGGTGGTTTTTCAGCAAAATCTGAATTCAAAATATCTTTAAGTGTTTCAAAAAAGTCATAGTGTGTTGATAATCTATTGATATTTGTCTTAGCATTTCTGTGTATATGAGGAAACCGGGATTTTATATGATCAGGAAGCACCATTGTAAACAGTGGAAGAAGGTTTGATATCCTTCCAACAGCAGTGTTCTGCATCTCGCTGTACCTTGGGCCGTGATCACCGAAAAAAATCAGTACAGCATTTTCTAATCTTTTGCTTTCCTTTAACCATTTAAAATACCCAAGAACATCCTCATCCGCCAGTTCAACAATATTTATAAAGTCATGCGTAATTTCGTTAATCCACGACCATGCAAATTTTAAATGAGATCCGTATGTTTCAACAAAACGCCGAGTGTAATCCATAACGTATTTATGTTTTAGCTGGTTCCCAAAACACATCGGAGAGGCACTATTTTGCAAAAAGTTTCTGTGTTGAACAAACATATAGGCATTGTTCAGGGCACTGCGAGGACTGACAATTTTCTCCATGGCCATAAAAAATGGCCGCAGATAGTGTGTGACTGGAGGGTCATTAAATCCCTGAAAACAGGCAAGCCCTGGATGGTCCTCTGACTTGAGATCTATATAACCTTTTCGAGTAAAGTTCTTCCATATAAATGGAATATTTTCTATTCCAGGGGGCACTTCTTTTGTATATGCTTTCAAACCCGTAAAAACCGGAAGTAGATTAGGATAAGAGTTATCTGCCACTTTAGTGTATCCTTTGAAAACATATGCATCAAGTTCTTCTCGTAAATATTTCATAGTTTTTGGCATTTTTCTTTCGGTGATGAGTCTCGACATGGAGTCAATTCCGAACAAATAAACACTTAATTGATCCTTACTTTCTGTTCCAATTTGTCTCTGTTTCTTTATGCTTTTAATATCAACATGCATGTGCAGGTTGTCGTAAATTTGTTTATCATCATCATTAAAACACTGTACGTTGATGAAATCCGTATCAATATACTCGGGCTGTTTAAATTCGACTAAATTTCCAATGCTGACTTTGTAATCTCCGTGGAGTTGTATTTTTCCATACTTGCAGGTCACGTGACCGTGTCCACTTCTTGATATGGCGGTTTCGTTGACGTGCAGAATACCATCAGAATCAATGAACACCAGATTCTCCCATGTTTCGCACTTAAGTGGAACTTGGCTCCAGAAAAATCGGTCTAACTGGGGATCATAGATGTCATACTTTGGCAAAATACAAGGAGCGAGTATGTTTTTATTTCTGAACACGTGAAACACCGGCCAGTTGAATTGAATGTTGAAATAGACAGTGGCCGCTACCGCAACAACAAAAAATATGAAGTTACGGAGATATCTTCTACTACGCCGCCGGTTTAGCATCCCGATATGATTAGTAGTCTGTAAAATGGAAAATATTTTTAATGAACATATAAATGTTTAAATGAGATAATATTGATATTTTAAGATACAAATGGTGTTTCAGACAATGGTATTCCAGACCTCAAAATGCCTACAAAATATCCAAATCCTAACATACATGTAACTCCTGAACATAATTTATTGATTTTATTCATTTTTGAATGTTGTTATTAGTATACTGATTTTAGTTCACCAAAACTAGAGAATCAAGTGAGTTTTCCGATCGAAGAGTGTCCAGCGAGCCTTTCTGTCTGTTTTCGTATTGTGTGATCTTCACTATTTCGACTTTTTCTCCAGAACCACTGGACCATCATCGTTTAAAGGGGGTATCCTTGGGTAAAAGAATTTAACAAAGAAGAATACAAGACAAATTTGACAAACTGATAACAGACCCCCATTTGCCAGCATCCCCAGATAGCTTTTACTTTTTAAATGTTCCTTTTCAGAATGCGAATTAAAGGTGATCTACATGTAGATGAGCATTGTGGCCCAGGGCCCCTATTGGCAATGTTTTTCCCCAAGTTCAGTGCTGCCTTTCGCTCTGCAGTAACCAGTTATGCAAGATCGACAGCATATTTAGACTAAATTTAACAAAAAGTCAACACTGAAAAAATGGTCATTACTGACCAAGAGATTTCTGTACGGTCAGACTTTCATTGTAGTCGAGATGGGTACCACTGGGCACGTTCTAAAAGTTAGCTGCACACTGATAGAGAGCGGTGGTTCAGGTAGAGTATATCACGTAGATTAAAACTTGTACATATATTTAAACATAAAATTTCAGAGCTTTTTAGACCTGACAGGTACAGGGTACTGTATTCACTCTCAATAGTGAATTTTGAACAGGGAAAAAGTGGCAAATTTGGAAATATTGATTCCTTATGTTTTAGAGTAGATCGAGACTGATAAATCGTAGGTTTATACTCTCTGCGCACCTCTATATAATCTCCATATTCAAGATTTTTGATAAAACGAACTTGAAAATTCAATCTGTCATTTGGGAATTGTTACCTTAATTTTGGGAAGAGTCAATTTTCAATTGGGACAGATCCTTTTATCGGATCTGCATGCAATAAATGTAAAGCCCTGTTTTCAAATTTTGGGTTAGGGTGGGGCTAAAAAGTCAGGGATCAAATGTTACCTAACCAGTGAGCCAGAATGATAATCACTCCTTAGGGCGATGACTTTCAATAAGGTCATAACTTAGACAGTGGTTCTAAAACATTGAAAGTTGTCTTTCTTTGCCTTGTATACATTAAATTCAAATCCATTCACGCCATTACATACAAATATATTACCATTGGTAAATTTTCCAACAATGCCCTTAGAAAACACTTTTTTCATGTAAGTACATAAGTGGTACAAATCCAAAAAGTTTTTTTTTCTTTCTGTATTAATCATATCATAACAGCACTGATAAGATGCGGCTCAGGTTTATGTTTAACAAATAAATAACAGTCTTTATAGATCACTTAGAAGGGGGTGATGGGGCCCCACACCCTCTTGACGACTTTTTGACGATGGTACGTACTACGTGCCTGTACATTGTTAATTTTTCACACCATTTCAATTCATTAACATTTAATAACATTTTTTTTTAAAAAAAAATACTATATTTCCTTCCCTGTTCATTTTATCTTTAACTTCAAGCGCTATACCTGAGATCCGCCTATAAGCATTTAAACTAATTCTCATTATTCTGTTAACTTAGAGTTGTAATCATGATAGTGACTTTCTGATCACTTCCGTGGAACAATTTGCCTTTGTATACGAGCAACAGAGCGGTATTGATTATTGACGTCCTCAAACGGTGTCCCCTGAAAAAGGAAATCTTTCAATGAAGAAGAAACATTTGTGTACTACCAGTTGTTTACACGTGTGCTGGCAATCACAATTATTTATTTATACACATGAGCACCTACACGTGCGACAAGCACTGGCATTACATGAGGTTTGTAAACAGGTCAAAACAAGCAGCAATTATGAACGGTAACTCCATAATTATACCAATAAATGGAGAGAATTTCGGCATGTACACATTTACAGATTTTGATTACACGCCTAACGCATTTATCTACACACAGGGCCTTCACTATCAATACCCCAGTTTTAGGGGCGTTTTTACTACGCACTATTTATAACATCGACTACAAATACGTTTTATCTTTAGGGAAGAAGTATTTACCTGTTTCGAAAGGGATGAGGATTGATTCCACGTGGAGAACCTACTAACGAACTTCGTCTCCTGTCGTTTCACGACTTAATTCCATTCATGGACGACTTCTTTCCAGCGTGTCAGTCAGAACATATTTCAAAATATCCAGTCCTCTCGATCTGTGCCCCGGCAATCAATAGAGTTTAATGTTGGCACTGTGCAGTCGAGCAATGTACAGGGTGTTTAAATCATAAGCTCCGTTGGTTAGTCTGGACACGCTTCAGGAAATAATCTGCGGTGAAGAAGAAAATAGATTTAAAAAGTTGAATACATATATGAAGAATGAATTCACCGATTATAAATAAGAAATGAGTCAATATCACATTTCCCCTAATCAGACTGTTTATCTTTTTACCCAGCACTCTGTATGCTCAATATGTCTCTTGGAAATTTTTGTCTGCACTTCAACATATGGAACTTATTTATTTCCGAAAGGTTCGAATTTATATCAACAAGAGAAGGGTATATACCCAGTCACCGCCCATAACTAAAACGCTTAGGAAAGGTATAATTAAGTAAATTACATGTATCAAGAGTCCACTTAATATTTTTTTTTTTTAATTTTGATAATATTTTATAAAATTTAATTTGTCGCCTATTCACCAGAAGTCTGAATTTTTCCAAAGTGATTTTTATAAACACATTTTGATAAGTTTATATCATATATGCTCAATAAAAGTTTTATCATATCATTTACTTCAGTCTAACACTTCAATGCACGGAAAACTTCATTCCCAACTGTATTGGTCTGAGCGCGTGCAAACAGAATTTTTACTGGATTAATACAAGTTTTATAAATTTACAGAATGATACACTCAATTAATTGTATTACAAATTGTATCAGAAAAGGGTCATATAATTGTCATACAAACGCTTTTGTGAAAATGAGGAAAATAGTCGTCAACAGCTTAGTGTTTATTCATAGATATTCTTTCTTTTCTTTTTTTTTTCTTCTCTTAAATTAAAAATGGAAGACCTCAGATTAACAAAATGATCATAAGTTAGAAAAAGAAATTTACTTAGCCTTCAGTTTTAAACACTTGATTAACGGTGAACAGAATAAGAGCCCAAAATAGACAACAATAATAGGGAAAAAGACACTCCAATGGATAGTACACTTGTATAACAATAAGTACACAACATTTCTCATTTCAGCAATGATCTTATGACATACCATTTCCGTTTAAAAAGAAAAAAAAATAAATGTCTACTATAACATGTTATCTTAAATTCAATTAAGCAGACACAGCCAGAAAATGTAAGCACAAAATATGAACCTACACTGTCAATCCATTGTCTTAAGAGTCGGCTAAGCCATGGTGATTGTCACATAGTAAATTTTACAAAATTTAATTTACAATGTTACACAATTTGATTTTAAAAAAAGAGTTATTTTAATTACTTACTTTTTGACATATGCTTAAAATTACCTATCTAACAATTAATGTTTAGACAGTAAAAAGGAAATTGTCACTCAATATTCATTTAAGGAATTAGTGTCAATCCTTTCAGCTTGCCTCAAAAGAGTGTCCGACTCGCATGCGTGATAATTGCGCAAATGTGTTTAATTGAAGTTTGAGTGAATGCCGAATGATGTGTGAGAGAGCCAGTGTTAGAACCGCCGTGGACTATCCCGGACGTGAATATTAGATGTACTGGACATTCCGTCATCAGGAACACAAAGTTTTACTCTGGACTATTCCGAGTTTTAGAGCAAAACCGTGTGTGTGTGTATGTAGTTGTGTGAATCGAACTCTCCTTTGTTATATCAACTTATATGTGATCTTACATGTACGTGAATTACTTTTCAAAATACAAACATTTACCTTTTATTGCTTAACTTTCATTAAAATAAATTTTCATCACAAGTTCGCTTGTGTTAATTGTACCGAAAAAGTCACATACTGTGTATGTTATATATTACTTTCAGTTTCGAAACACTTGGGTGACACAAAAGCTAGCTATTAATAAGCCTGTGTACTGATACTGAAAAGAGGCCAATTTACTAATAGATAGGAAAAGTTTTGTACTAGACAGCGTTCATCGAGCACCTGTCAACAAAGAACACTTACTGGAGTTATCTCTCTTTTCATACTATGAAAAAGAGTTCCATGCGCCACAACGCTCACCTGGTCACAATTCCTTCCTAACAATGAAAATGCGCATGCAGGTGAATGAGAACTCTAATGTTGTAACCTACAGTTAAATGATTTAAACGATTTCAATTACAGTCACTGTAAATCCTGTTTCATATCTCGGAACACCGACTTGTCGAGTTAACAAAAAGATTGAATTCCCGATTAGCTCTGAATATTTCTACTTTTTAACTATATACCTGATACTTGATAGTCACGAAGTAAGGTTATAACTGTATGGGATGTATTAGAGCAGTTTTTCAAAAAAGCGCCAAAAGTACTAGTTAAAGCAATTTTTAAGGACTTGAATCGAGTCCATTAGTTTTCCATACATATGACCCTTCCTTTCTTCATAACAGACATATATGACAAAACAATTTTTGCCCTTTTCTTACGAGCTATATCATTATATGCTATGAATAATCTTTCTTTATAACAGACATATATGAAAAAAACAATTTTGCCCTTTTCTTACGAGCTGTAATATCATTATTTGCTTTGAATAATCTTTGAATGTGGAAAAATACAAGGTTTGATTTTTCAATCTCCCTTGCAGAGTTCTCGTTCGTACCTCTCTCAATCACCTCAGCAATGGGCTCGCGTCAAGATTTTTGACATAAGTTAAAAACATGAAATTCCAAGGATTATTTAAGGAATGAATTTAATAGCTACCCAATTTATACTTGTATAACCTGGGTTGGGACAGTTTACGTAAAGCGGTTTATAAAAAAAGCGTAAACTGTTCAAACCCAGGTTATACCAGTTTAACTTGGGTAGCTATTAAATTCATTCCTTATAATTTAATTTTCCATCATTCAGTGTAAAAAAAAATAAGACAATTTCTTCTTCAAAAATGCCTTCAAATTGTACGTATTTTAAATGTAACGTCAAGCGGATTGATACCTTTTTGACGTGTCATTGTGACGTAGGCAACCAGGTTATACGATATATTCTAATTTTTTTATCCAATCAAATGACGCGTTACAACCAAAATTAAATTTATTATTTCAAATTAAACTAATAGTTCTAGATGTAATTATTAAATATATACATTAAAAGACAAATATTAGTGCAGGAATTTAATTAAAATGAATTAAAACAAACGCACTATTTCTTGTGCTTAACACTGTGATATACGCGAGCCAACGACAGAGGTGAACGTATGAGCCGATGGTAGAGAGTGGTGATTTTTGAGTGTGCTGTACTAAGTATTAACACACACACCGGTACCAGAACTGATTATTTAAAAACATATTCAAAACTAAAAATATGAATATTCATGATAACCTATTGTTTTTCCGAAGTAACAATTCAATGACTGATATCTTTTCGACTTCCTTAATTCACAGTCAGTGGAAATCGAAAGGGGGCGACTTGTCCTTGAATTATTTGCCAATAAAAACTATATATAATAGAAAACCAATATTAATTTATGATCCCCTCAATAATGTTTAGTGACCTCATTTTCAACTTCGTCTCTCCTTGCTTGTCAAGGAATTCCTGTTCGGTTGTGCTCCCTTTCCTTCGTGCCTGATTCACTTACGTATCAAACTAAGCTGACCTGTATTATTGAAATATTTTCTGCTATACAAATGCAAAGTGCTGACGCCAGTACTGTAGCAACTTCTGTAGAATCCAAATTGTTCTTTGTAAAATAAAAATAAATATATTCAGATCAAATACCTTCAGTTGATATTTTTATTTATTATAACATCTTTGAAGTTTAAGATAAATCCTCTATAGCCGACATCACCGACATTTTTTAACAGATTAGTTTGGAGTGTTAATCAATCAATCTTTTTTTCCCCACTGTACTGAAATCAACAATAAATATATTCTTACGTAATTAGACCTGGTAGATACATGTATTATGCGTAAAATGCTTTCAGCTGCAATGTCAGTGTTGTAGAGTGAGACTTTCCCCATATATAGTCAGACTTGCCCCAGCTTAAATTGAGCTTATAGGATATTAATTTGGGTCAGACCGTCCGTTTGTCCGTCCGTCCGACTAGCTGCATTTCTCTTTCGTTTCCGGACGATATCTTAGTAAATATTTGAGCTCTTGCAATTAAATTTTATATTTATTTATTACCTCGATTGGCTTAGTTAAGTACACCGTACTCATATGTCTGCTATAAATGATATGAAATAAAAGTTAATAAGACAACATGAGCACTTCATTTATATGTTACTATTACTTGAAGCATAAAAGTGAGAGAGAGAGCCTTTCCACTAGTATCACTTTAGAGCAGATCTTGCGGGGGAAGTAAGGCTCTAAAGTGAAGCTTCCGTTTGGGTAGACTTACTCTCTTTTGATACTTTCGGGTTGGGGGGGGGGGGGTATGGCTCTGGAGAGAAAATATGACTCTTGAGTTAGACATCCCCTTAGGGGGGAGGTTTACTCTAGAGCAAGACTTTCGGGGGAAGTCTCACAAGGGGGGGGGGGGGGCACTTTTGCTCTACAACACCGGGCCTCAGGATTTTTCCCATGACAATGGTTTTTTACCGAGTCTTTGTAGATAAAAGATAATGTACATGTAAATCTGGTCAGAAGATTGGTTGATATCCAACTTTCATCTCTGCCGAATTATTACATTCACTATCTACTGCATGTATTGTATTTTTCTTTAATTTCTCATTTTAAAATCTTTTGCGTTTCACTTCTTTCATATTTTAAATTTTAATAATAATGTTTTGAATACAAAATTTTTGCTATCTCTTGAGCCACTCAACATTGCTTTTATACTTCTTATAATGTTTAAATTATGTATTGAATATTTATGTATTTTTACTTTGTACAGTGATTTAGTGTGTTTTTAACTAATTATATACGGCGCTTTTAAATATTAAATAATAATAACTGTTTCTGTGCTCACCCTCCCCAACTTTCGCTCGGTGAAATAGTTTTGTTGTTTTTTCCTCAACTTTATCCGTTTCCGATTTCAATTTTCAATATCCTCCAACTCCAATTATTAGTATCAAAGGAACAATAACTATCAACCAACGAATATAACATTAAAAATCTTATTGTAAATTGTCAGATTATATGAATCTGCATTCACTTATACGTAAAAATTCAAAAATGTACAAGATGACACAGAAATCTGAACGACACTACATGGTACTGATTTAGTTAATCACAAGTTTTACAAACTACAAATGACTGGTAAACACAATCAACAGTTTTCAATTAACTTAATATGAAATGTTTTACAAAAGCTACTTGTAATAAACCGGTATGCGCAGATTATATTTCATTTCATCCGCGGGATATACGAAGCAGATGTGTTTAAATGGAGACTGTCACACTTTGATCCTGGTGTATCTCCATTTTAATGGGCGCATCAGCTGTTGATTATAATTATTGTACAAATTGCAGGGTCATAGAAGTTCAAATTTCAATACAATGTATAGTAGCCAGCACAACTCAACTCAATCTTTTTTAACATTGTGACATGGCATTTTCCTGAATTATGATATAGAAAATTCTCATTATTTTCCAATGCGGACAGAAAACGCACAACTCATTCGATAAAATGAAAAAAGGCGAAGATAACGAACAGTGACCGATCTCAAAAAAAAATCTATAGATAACGAAAAATGATCGATCTCAAAAAATCTATAAACAACATAATTCTGTGAAGAGGGCATAAAACACGGACCCCTGGAAATTCCAGAGGTGGGATAGGGTGCCAAGGAGGAGTAAGCGTCCCCTGTTGACTAGTTACACCCGCCGTGAGCCCTATGATCAAGTCAGCCAAAATACGACCCAATTATACATGTACATGTAGGTTACATTTGCTCACAAGGTCATTATAACGACCATAAAATTTACGAAATGCCGACTTTAAACGAGGTTTCTGGAATACCTGTAATATCAACTTATCTGTCAGTATCCTGTCTCGGTTTTAAAAATTGATCTGCTCAGAGCATGCTCTTGAGTATCAAATAAGCTGGGAGATGTAAACACCATATGCAGGTGATAGCGGAATATTACTACATAAATATTATTGAGGACAGTTGACGATGGAAAAGTTGAAGTAGTCTCGTTTGTCATACAATTTAGTTGTTAGTTGGCCCTTTTCGTCTACAGTCAGTTAAAACTTACGTCTAATCTAAAAAACATAGTTAATTCTTTATTTTAATGTTTTATATGTACTTTCTTTTATTCGCTTTCCCATCGGCTGCATTACAGTTCATCAATCGCAATATCTCGGGCCTTTTTCCGAGATTGCAAGAAAGGCCCTAGTTGATGCGATTGACAATGCATACAGTGTAATAGTGCATTTTTTTTACTTTGATAAATTATTCAATACTTTTTTCAGCTGTGGTCGAACTATAAAATTTTTTCCCCATAAGTGGTCGCAAGCGTGTTCATCTATACATCTACTGATCTCAGAAAACATAGCAAAATAAACTTTGGATATCAATTTTTTAGCTATAGACAGGAATGTCAACAATTTCAATGCAGTGCAAGGTTTAAATGTCTACAGAAAATTCGGCATTACGAAATACAATGTCATTTTGATTTTTTTTTTCGTTTTAATTAGCGGTTCGTACGAAAATATTTACCGGAAAGAAACTCTTCGATAATCAATGGTCGTGAATTGTCAGAAATCAGGGAGGGAAAGTCACAGGTAAATGGCACATGTTGTCAAGAAAACGGTGAAGTCAATTTGCATACATCTCCTCTCCGTGCGAAGACCCTCGCTAGTGACATGACAGGCTATTCGTTAGGACTTATAACTCCATTTTTCCTTTGGAGAAAGACATGTCGCTTAAACTTTTACTGAAGTGGAAACGGAGATTATATCATAGAGTAACAAAACGGTGAGTGCAAATCAAATATCTTTGTCGAATAGGGTGGGAAAAAATCAGCTCAAATGGTTTACACAATGTCTACATTTGACATTTATTACATTGACTAGCCAGGATACACATGTGTAATTAAATGTCGAGATTAATTAGGCGGCCATCAAAGAGATGTTTTTCTTAATATACTAAATTACTAGTACTCTCTCAACTACCAAGACAACGAATGGAGATCCTCCCAAGGGGGTATTTTTTCGTTTTCCTCCTTAGCAGCAATATTGCCAATGAAGCTATGAAATAATTAGAAATACGTTGTATACTTAAATGAGTTTTTATTTGCGTATTATCAAGGTAATTAAAAATGTAATTAGAATACTACCTATGGCAAAAGTCCCACATTGACTTTTTGTCATGAGGGTTAATCTATGGTTTACAATCATTATGTACAAAGTTAACACACTGACAGTATAACGATCAGCGAGACGAGGGCAAACATCTAGAACTTTTAATGACATAATTATGTCTTCCGCTGACAATTTTTCGATGTAAGACTAAATGTATTTTTTTTCATTTTCCTAAATCATTACATTACATATAAAGGTGTCACATTAGCGGATCACACGAATTTCAGCCGACGTGCTAGTTGAAATGGCATGGTTCAAAACAACGGGAATTTGAATGCAGATATATAGAGAGAATTTTATTGAAGATGTGTTAAGATACAATGTATCCCTCATATATATGCAAAGCCTTTAGCAATCATAAAGGTGCTGCTAATTCTTAACCTACCCACCCCCAACATTTGGGAGGGGATGCTGAATGTTTTGCCATGAATATAAGATTTAGATTAATACTTCTCCAAACGTACAGTGTATATGATTTTCAGAGTTTCTTGGAAAGTCTTTTGAGCGATGACAATGAAAGTAGGGTAAGAAATAAGGTCCACTTAAACGAATTGATGCTAAGAAAAAATAACGGAGATACAGGTCCAAGTTCATATTCATCTATTAGGACGTTTTACATGTAGCGGGAAAAATGGACATTTTGGCGGAAAATTTGTAGACATTTTAAAGGAGGATTTATAGGACATTTAGCTGGAAAGTTGAGTCTAATATATGTATGAACTGTATTTTAGAGGAATTAGGTTTTAATTCTGCTAGTGGTAATCCAACTTATACCCACAGCTCCTTTCTAAGGAGGAAATTCTTCAAAACCATATGTCAGTTTTGAATATTTTTAATATTCCTAAAATCAAAATGAATCTATACTGGATTCCAAAACTCCGTAAAAATCCTTACAAACAAAGATACATCGCGGGTTCCAGTAAATGTTCTACCAAGCCTCTTCCTTTACTCCTCACTAAAATATTTACAGCAGTGAAGGAAAAACTTCAGGAGTACTGTACAACAGTATATTCGAGAAGTGGTGTAAATCAGATGTGGATACTTAAAAAATACAGGGAACCTTTAGAAAATTTGATTCACAAAATTTTACCAAAATCAATAACATCAAAACTTACGACTTTTCAACACTTTATACAACCATTCCCCACGATAAATTAAAATCCAGGCTTTTTGACGTCATCGACAGCTGCTTTTTCAATAAAAATGGAACTCGTAAATATACATGTGCTTACCTTGTCACTGGTCATTTGCAAATTTATTTTGTCCAAAAAAAACCCACATTCTGATTGTACACATAGTACTCTGAAGTTAATATTAAAAAGATACTTGAGTTTCTGATTGACAATATCTATTTAGTTTTTTGGAGATCAGCTCTTCCAGCAATCTGTTGGAATTCCCATGGGTACCAATTGCGCCCCCTTATTAGTAGACCTATTTTTGTATTCATATGAGGCAGAATTTATTCAAAAACTTCTATATGAGAAGAAGAAAACGCTTGCTGTGGCCTTCAACTCGACATTTAGAAATACTGACGACGTATTATCAATTATCAATAGTTACTTCCATTCTTATGTCGACTCGATATATCCCAGTGATCATGAGCTTGAAATAAAAGATTCCACAGAGTCTGATACACATGTTTTATATTTGGATATTTTACTACAAAAAACATTAATGGTAACCTAACAACAAAGATTTATGATGAACATGATGACTTCAATTTTTCAATCGTCAGCTTCCCTAACTTATGTAGCAATATACCCTTATCACCTGAATATAGGGTTTTTGTCTCCTAGTTCTAGAGCATGCTCTAAGTATGAACAATTTCTAAATCGAGGCAAGCTATTGACAAACAAGTTGATGAAACAGAGATATCAGCAGTCTCGATTGAAGTAATCATTTTGCAAGTTTTATGGTCGATACAATGACCTTGTCAGCAAATACAACCTATCGTTAAGTCAAATGCTGACTGGTATTTTTCATACTAATTGATGGGCCATTATTTACACACTGAAATGTCTACGGAATTATCCGGGTTTTTTTTCCTGATCATGACAAGGAGCACACGGCGGGTGTGACCGGTCGGCAGGGGATGATCACTCCTCTATGGCATCTGATCCCACCTCTGATGTTTTTGGAGCTCCGTGTTTGCTTAGATGCAGAACTGTATCGTTATGGTTTTATATTTTAGCCTTTGACCATAACGCTACAGATCCCGTAATGTATATAAAGTGCAATTTACGGCGCAAGTTTTTCTGCACACTCTCGGGGATGTATTTCTCCATTTTCCAGCAATGGTCAATCATTCCTTTAATTCTAGACATATTCTGTTACCAACCTGTATATTTGATCCACCTTCTAACCCTTTGTAGTCTTCTCTACAGACCAATAAATTCACTTGTTTTGAATTTCCTGTCTTCCGACAGCCATGTAGACTAACTGACGATATCTCGCTGAAGATGTCTGTAGATACAGCTATAAAGGATAAGGAGGTGGATAAAATACACAGATTGGTAATAAAATATGTCTAGCATTAAGGAATGAAAGGTAGTTGATTGACCAATGCTGGAAAGTGGAGAAATACATCCCCAAACGCGTGCAGAAATTCTTGCGCCGTATATTGCACTTTATTTACATTACAGGATCTGTAGCGTTATGACTAAATGCTAAAATTTAAAACCACAACGCTACAGTTCTGCAGCTAGTGTTTGCTCTGCTCCCGATTTGTATTGTTTTAATGGAGATTGAGCTTAAATACTGTTCGTTATCTCCATATTTCACGTACATCTCTTCTAGTAGCCAGGTAACTAAGTCTGCTGCCCGCTTCTCACCAACAGGGATGTGGAAGCATGATTTTGATAGGGCTACACGTATATATAGATAATTTTAATACAGATTATAATGCCTAAGACTATCAGATCAGAAACGAGATCAGGAGTGTTCCATCACAGAGCCTCCCCAAGAGCATAATCAGATTTTAGTAATACATCAACTCTGTACTGCAACCCCTTACAAATAATATTCTCCCACTCCCATCCCACACCCCGATTCGTTTCTACCTTCACCACTTTCATTACTGGTCAATGTTTAATTATAGATGAATATGTAAAAGTATTTAACTGTCTGAATATGTATGTATTAGTGAGTAAAGATTCCTAATTTTTGCCATGGAAACGCTCCAATGGAACTGGAAACTTACTAATTAATCCGCTGACCATTGTTGGATGCTCGCTGACTTAAAATTGATTGTTTAAAAAGATTTAAACTTCCATACACAACTACAAAACATTGAATATCCTCTATTTATCCATAATTATATATAAATGTAAACAATACAATGTTTTTCTTTGTTAACGCAGGGAATAACGGTTGCAGTCATTGCAGAAAAAATGTAGGGCAGAAAGGAAACATTACAAACTACTAATAACGCATTCCAAAATCAAAACAGAAAATTTTATTTCTGTTTTAAGCATTTTGCCCTCAGGTATTGACAAAAATTAATAAAGAAGAGTTTTTAAAGATATTTGTTCGTTGGATTGTGAAAAAAAGCATTTTTAATTCCAACATAAAGACTATTTTGGTGACAAGACAAATTGAAATACATGCATTTAGAGGAAAACCCGATGAATAAAATCGCAGCTAAAGGAAACTTAGCATCTTTATGATAGCAAAGTTCTATAGGTTAAATTTCCTCTGAAAGAAGATCCCCGTTACAGTATATATTCTTCGCAACAAAAGCAAACTTAACATCTTGAAATAGGAAGAATCGAAGGGGTAAATTTTCCCCAAATAATATCACTGATACAGTATACTCAGTATATTATTCACAACAAAAGCAAATTTAACATCTTGATGATATCCAGACTCTACGGGATTAATTTCCTCTCAAAGAACATCAACGATTCAGTATATATTATTCACAACAAAAGAAAACTTAACATCTTTATAATAGCGAGGCTCTACGGGGTAAATTCCCCACCAAAGCATATATATTAGAGAAAAAAACACTAACATTACATCTTGATGAAAGCCAGAGTCTACGGGGTAAATTTCCCTTAAATATATCAATAACACAGTATATATATTATTGAAAGCAGAAACAAACATTACATGTCGATGATAGTAAGACTTTGAGGGAGACCCCTTCCCTCCCCCCTCAAGAATATCACTGACACAGAAAATAGTACTAGATAATTATAAAGACAAACTGTGAAAAAGGTATCTATTAATTCACAGAAAACTCCAAACTATACTTGTACAATAAAATAAGACACAACCTCAATATGGAAGAATATCTTATGCTTGAAAATAGTTTCAAGAATGGACAATTGTTAACTAAATTTCGAACAAGTGACCACTGCCTACTGATAGAAACTGGTAGACATAAGAAAATAGCTTGACAACAAAGATTAATTATGCACTTCATGTAATGCTATTGATGATGAATTTCATTTCTTTTTACAATGCAATTTGAATATACAAGCAAGGAATATACTTATAAATTTTTTAAGATAATTGTTCCTCATTCTATCTCAAATCGCCCATACAGAAACTTGATTATATATTAAGCCCAACATTGAAGTTATACTGGATGTTTGTACTTTTATAAAATAA